TCGGAGGTAGAGAGCGCCAGGCTGCTTTGTCTGAACCTCATGAAAAGGGAGATCCCGAAGGACACACTTGCAAAGCAAAATATCACCGGGAACTCCCGTGACGAAAACAACAAGAAGTGCAAAATACCACGAATCGATAGCGAGATTCTCCACAGCATATTTGGCCAAGCCAAGCTTCAGTTCCCAGACTTTAATGAGTGGTACACCGACCACAAGTGCAAGACGGTTGAGATGTTGAATGATGGCTGCAAGAGAGCGAGGAGGGAAATCAAAGAGAGGTCTTCAACTTAAAAGTGACATTTAATCTGTTCACATTGTGCCCCCCAACCCTGGAAGCGAACTGATTAGTTGTTGTTTGAATTGCGCATTTAAATAACGTCTATATATGTATTTGGATATTGGGCTAACCGGAAAGCTTTTATTAATGTTCAGTCTTCGTCTTCTCAAATCAATAGTGTGCTTTAATCACTAGATTACGGATACAGTTGTTTATTTTTTTATGCTTTTTTTACAAAAAGTTTTCTGTGTAATTAATGATCTTCGGTGGCGTTTATCATCATCACGAAGAAATGTTCACACCACCATCAGAATAGATCAAGGGAAAATAATAAAGGTAATGGTAATAACAACAATAAAACGAAAAGACGAAAAGAAAATCAAAGGTTGAAAGCTCTCCATCTTTATTATTGTTCATCATCGGTATACCTCTTTCCCTTTCCTGCCTTTGGACTATCTGGGGACTAAACTCCCTGCAAAATGATTCTTTCTGGCAAGCTGTCATTTAAAAAAAGCAATGAAAGAAGGTCATTTCCAACGATAAGTCCATAGACACATCGTTGGAAATGTTCATTAGTAGTTCATATTTAATTCGGCGAAAAGCGCGCAAGCGTTGACACGTGCATACGCGCGCGCGGTGGGTATAATCGTCCGTTCAGTGCGCGACATCGCGTAGCTGCAATTCAAATCATGACTCGGCAACTTTTGATTTGAAATGTAGATCCTAGAATATAATTTCGTCTTGGAATATACAGCATTCACTGAGCTAAAATTTTGTCAGGTTAGTTTTTAAGCAACCTTCTTTAGATTTTGAGCACTTTTGTTGCTTCAAACGAGCATAACGCACACATTACAAATGATGGACTGTACCTTTAAATGGGTCATTCCATGTCAGACCAACGCACTTTTTACCTCATGTCTGCTGATTTTGATGCAAATTGCTGTGCTTGTAGGTCATGATGAGCAATGAATGCACACCAATTTTTAGCCCGATCCGACCTACCATGTGGTCAGGGCAGAAACCACAAAAACGGACATTTTTAGAGTAAAATACCACCCTTTTGGCAGAAATATGTCAAAACCATGTCAATTTTCATCGAATATATGCGAATTTGGTATCAAAATAATAAGAATTGCATGCTCAAAGCAACTCTTTTGTCAAAATCAAATTTTGTGAAAAGGAGGTCACGTGACCTTTAATATGTTATCTTGACCTTTGACCCAATTTATGTACTAATGTATCTTTCCGAAAATCAACGAAAATAAAATGACTTGATAGAGCATGTCTTCCTCTATTAGAATCCACTAAAAATCAATTGGGGTCTTCAAAATTTACAACTTTATGACTATTTTTGTACAGTTGGTAGATTACAAATTAGTCAGTTTATAGACTTTACATGAGAAATCCACCAACACAACTTACTATTCTGTTTCTAAAGGTACTTATATTAATCTTGGTTTGGGAATTTCTCATGTTTAGGGCTGATGAGGTCAAACCAGACTCATAATATAAATTATCAGCAGTGGCGCACCCAGGATTTTGCTTTGTGTGTGTGGGTGTGTGGGTGGGGGGGGGGGGGGGGCTCATAATTTGTTTGTTTTCAAATTTCTGTAGAAGATTCAAAACCGAAAATTACCTACCCCGGGGTGCCACTAATAATTAGTTATCCCACGAGCGCTTGGAATATGAAACAATGCAATGCTGCTCTTACCCATATGCCACCCGACGCACTACATTATTCCGTGTTCCACGAGCGCAAGTGGGCTAACGAATTTATCTTCAAGCAAACTTGACGTCGAATGCTTGAGAGTCGATTGTCATCAGCAGTTACTGTTTAGGGTACGCAACAGCTCTATGCTTTCTACCCGGACCCAGTACAGCGGACAAACATCCAGGTGAAATTTGCCTCGAAGGAAAAAAATGCCAAGTCTGTGAGACTCATGAAGCGCAGTGATGAATGAGTAAGGTAACTTTGATTGCGATATTGAGTATTATCTTCAAGCAAACTTGAATCCTAGACCCTGATTAGTCCATCTATAGCAACAGTGTGATTTGACATAATATTGCACAGCTATATTGCACCCCAGATATCGAATGTACATGTACATGTATGTATTTGTTCTTTTTTATTTGCTGCTGAACGGTCCGATACACTATGCACTTACATCCCTCACCACGTGCAATGTACACATTCGATGTAAAGTTTGCTTGAAGATAAATGCGTTATATGGCTCTTGGAACACGGAATAATGTAGTGCATCGGGTGGCATATGGGTCACAGCAGCATTTCATTGTTTCATATTCCAATATTCCAAGCGCGCTCGTGGGATAACTAATTATCAGTGGTGGGGGGGGGGGCCTCGAGGGGCTTGAACCCACCCCCTCCAAGGTTGTCAATTTGTTTGTTCGATTTTTTTTTTCAATCTCCAGAAATTTTACAACAAAAAGCTATGACCCGCCCCCCCCCCGCCACAAAAAAAGCAAAATCCTGGGTGTGCCACTGCTGATAATTTATATTATGAGTCTGGTTATACCTCATCAGCTCTAAACGTGACAAATTCCCAAACCAAGATTATTTTAAGTAGCTTTAGAAACAGAATAGTAACTTGTGTGGGTGAATTTCTCATGTAAAGTCAATAAATTGACTCATTTGTAACCCACCAAGTGTACAAAAATAGTCATAAGGTTGTAAATTTTGAAGACCCCAATTGATTTTTAGTAGATTCTAATAGAGGAAGACATGCTCTATCGAGTCATTTTCATTTCGTTGATTTTCGGAATGATACATTATTACATAAATGGGGTCAAAGGTCACAGTAACATATTAAAGGTCACGTGACCTCCTTTTCACAAAATTTAATTTTGACAAAAGAGTTGCTTTGAGCATGCAATTATTATTATTTTGATACCAAATTCGCATATATTCGATGAAAATTAACATGGTTTTGACATATTTCTACCAAAAGGGTGGTATTTTACTTTAAAAATGTCCTTTTATTGTGGTTTCTGCCCTGACCACATGGTAGGTCGGATCGGGCTAAAAATTGGTGTGCATTCAATCACAGCAATTTTTATCAAAATCGGAAGACATGAGTTAAAAAAGCAACCCCTTGTAGCAACGCTGCTTTCAAACCCAATCAGTTAAACTTTACCTGCAAGCAGTTGTTATACCTTTACCAGTGGCGTAGCACGATCACTATTATTGGGGGAGGGGGGGGGGGCGGGGGTAAAATATCTTGAAAAGGGCACTTGCACATCCATGGTGAAATGTAGACAGGTTTTTTTCCGGACTCTTGGACAGGTTTTTTTTCAGGACACACGCTACTCATGTACTCAAAGTACATGTGTAGCATTGAAAATCTACATTCTGACAATCTGCACCAAAAGAACATCTTCCATTGAATCTGTACATGTCTCCAAACGTATTGATAAGCAATTTAAGTCACTTTGATATTAAACGAATTTATTGCACGACTTCGCAAGGACGAGCTATTATTTAAACATCACGAGCACTGAACCTTTTCTCGTACTGAAACGGTTCAATTAGCTGTATCAAGTCTCAATGTGCCATTTTTGGATATTCTTTGTTATTACACAAGATGCACGCCTTGACATACATGCAGGGTGAGTTAAAAAAAACCAGAAACCCAAATGTTGGGACCATTGTTTTAGAGAATTTTTGCATGTAGCATTTTTAAAAACTAGGATATTGAAGCCCAATTCATGAGCTTTCTTTTAGTAAAATAATCATTCAAATCACCCATGTACTTTTCAAGTTACGGAATTTTCAACACAACCACCGTTTTAAGGTTCCGTCCACGGATCGTAAAAAAAAGTTCAGTGTTCTTTCAGCAAAACATAGGGATGTGTGTGAATTATTTTCGTTTTGCTGAAAGAATGCACACCTTTTTGGTGATCCGTGGACAGATCCTTAAAACGGTGGTTGTGTTTAAAATTCGGTAACTTAAAAAGTACATAAATGATTTGAATGATTCTTGTACTAAAAAAAAGCGTATGAATCGGGCTTTGATGTGCTAGATATTGAAAGTGCTACATGCAGAATTTCGATAAACAATAGTCCCGACATTTGGGTTTCGGGTTTTTTTTTTACTCACCCTGTACATGAGCAACACAACTCAAATGATGAAAGGAAACTTGAACTCACCGTGTGGAAACCATGCCACAGCGCACGCAAGGAGCAGTACAGTCGTTTTTGACGCCATCTCTCCGTATAAGTTTAGCCCCAGTTATCCTCTGTCTTATATATCCTGGATGTAACATCACTAAACTAACTATTCAACTTTTGATAGGCCGTTTGAGGAAACACCGGGATACAGTGTCATGTGATTACAGAAAACAGAGAGAAAAGTAGCATTAATAGTGAAATCAAATCCAATGTACAACCAATAGACCGACTTATGTTGTCTTTCGTTGACTGATCGGCGAAGTAAGTGAACTTAATATTTGAAATATTCGTAACGGACTTCCCGAAACCGAGAAGTCTACGTGACCTGTTTATGATAAGGTATTGGATCGTTCCAACATATTGACACGGACTTATCAACGTTTTTGGTAACACAATAGACATATATTACACATCACAAATTATTTCATTACATGAACTTTATTTGCGCTATTAATTGATTATGCTTCGCACATAAATAAATAAATAAATGTCAACCCTTTCTTAACAACAACTTATAGGCTTACTCTTCTCAATCTTGCTCTCACACTAGTGGATTATTTTTATATTGTTCTCATCCCCAAACTTGGTCTATTCAGGGGCGCCCTCTATATTGCCTATTGTTTTCGAACTAGCCAGCACGAGCATTCAGATCAATCGGCATATAGGGAAAGAAATATAAGAAGGTGAACTTAACAACACGGCAACTTTATGAAACCGGGTAAGCGATAAAGTTTACAAATAACGGGGTCATTTATGTTAATAGCTAGATCGACTTACATGGTTTGTACACTTGCACTCGTTTGTGAACTTTGGAAACCAGGATTTCCCTAATCCGAGTAGGTAACTCCACACTCTGCGCGATATGATAGAAAATTGGGTCAACATTAAATACACGTTGTTATTGGTGGCTTGAGTAACTTGGCAGCAAAACTGACAACAGACACATCAAAGACATATCCATGACACTACTAGAAATGGCAAACAAGTACTTTAATTACATGAAACTTTCCCGCTTTCGTAAATAAATGTTCCCCTTGAGAGAAAAGCTTTAGTGAAAGTGTGGGCACAGCAGCCTACACCTGGCACCCAATAGTAGGGTAGGCATATATAGATAATTTTCAAAGACACGCAATGATGACGGGTAAAGATTAAAAGTAGTATTGTAACGAAGTATAACATAGCTTCGGCAAATGGCATGGTGAAAGGACAATTTATAACCTTCAGGGGCCGATTTGTTTTTTTCGATCATTGTCATAATGTAACCGTTTTCCTTGTTCAGAATAAATGCAATTACAAAGGATTTACCGTTTCGTGATGAAACGAATTAGCTTACATTTAAGATTAGAATATGTATTACATGTATGCTTGCCAGTGGGGTAAAAGAGGAACACAATGTTTGATTTACAATGGTTTATCGTGTTTTGTTTGACCTTAACGATTTGCAAGTAGATAAAGGGTATTCTAACATTAATATTATTAAAATACAAGTCTCGAGGGCTAGGGCCCTTAGCAACTTGGATGCATGAACGTTTAATTAGATGAACTAGGTACAAACGTTTGAAAAGGGATAGACCTGTACAATTTTTACGAGGAAAGCCAGTGCTAGTCAGTGACATGTCTCGGGTATCTGGCGGCCAGACTAGTCCATCCCGGCAACGCCGACCCGCCTCCGTTTGAAGACAATTAAACGAACCGCTGTTAAAGGTGACATGCAAATATGCAATCCACACATGTCAAAACAGGAAGAATAAAATCCAATTTTTCCGCTTTGTCTTTACGCATATTATAAGCATCGTATTTTTGAGCCAACTGGTCTCGCAATGAAATATATATAGTTGAAAATCAACTTTGAGCTAACAGGTCCTACGCCAGTTTCTGGATGACCCACGGCTATTTAAGCGCAGACGCTATTTGAAAAACTTTCTGAAAATAAATCTTGACTGGCATGGGCTCCGGAAGGCCGGAAGCTCTTACCGGAAGGCATGAAGTGTTGGATCGAACATTGCACTGACCATCATAGCTGCCACTGCTGCCGTGGAAATCTTGCACTAGTGATAATATGGCAAAGTGGGGCATTTGGCATAACTTTTCTATATACTTTTTTGGTGCTTGATACTTCAGTACCAAGATGGCAAGATTTATCGTCTTAAAGATTGTATTTGCGCATTAGGCCCCCTATTTCCCAAACTTCTTGCTCTCTGACTTGCATTTTCTCAATTTGTCATTTTTGTGTGGGCAGGCTGGCATTGACACCCCAGCGGACGCCCATACTGTTAAATGTGCGACGCCCCAGGGGTACTGGAATGACAACTATTGCATGCTCCAATGACTCGATTCTTAGGGAAACACAACCTTCTTATCCCCAATTTCCTTCCCGTGGTGATCATACAAAAACAGCACATGTCTATGATAGGTTTGTGAACGGTCAAATATACCTGTTAGCAATCGTTTCAACAACATGCATTATCATTTCATAGTGAATTATGTATTCTGTTTGTTATTCTGTACAGTTTTGATCGCACTTGCTCATAGCTGTTTGTCAGTGTAACGATGTTCAGCTGGGAATGGGCGCAGCTTGCTCGACTAGTCGAAGGTGAGTCCGGTGCCGTGCAGCTTGTCCTTAATAAGGGCGTCCATGGCTTCGTTCTGTGCCACAGTGAACCAATCTTTCCAACCCCCAACGTTGCCTGTTGAGAAAAAACAACACCATTAGGACAATGGATGTAGTCAGCAACAGTTCCAGTTAAACCCAAAACACAATCGCTTCAACCTCGTCCCCAGTGCTTATACTTTATTTCCAACCTCGTTTGTAATAGTATGCCCTGGATAGGAAACTTTCTTCCTGTATCCCGAGGCGATCCCGCATTTGGCAAGTAATGGATTTATATCGTGTACTTGGTGCTGTTATTTCCAACATGCATTACGTGTCTTCACGTTCATTTGAATAATTACGTCCACACCTTCCCCCAAAAAATCCTTTTCTTTCCAATTTGCTCATTTTAATATGAAATGTGATACTGCATATTGGCTGGAAAAGATTGTAACATTTTGACTTTGAAACAAAAATGGGTTGAGGTAACTCACGCCGCGACGATTTGATTCTGTTTTACCCCAGACACCGCATACAAAAACAAACGCTAACGTAAAGCACAGGCCGGTATCAGACTAATCCAATTTGCATACCTGTTTAAAATTGTGCCCATGCAAATGATCCAATACCAGTATGAGAGAGCAGTAGTGGTGGGCGCTTACTGCTCGACACCATGGGAACGAGTTTGCGCTACGTTTTGACAGTAAATGGATTGGTCAACAGACAACAAATTTTAAACGAAGCGATTATCGCGGAGAATCAACAGTTAATATGCAGCATTTTCTCACAGTTCCCACAAAAATTTCCCTTATGAACCCCACAATGTATATTAAACTGCCCTTTCTATTTTTTAAATTCGATTTCACAAGAACGACTTTTTGATAGTAAAAGCCAGTTTGAATATACTTTAATAGCGTAAAACCGAACTCAAACTCGAATTTCCAAGCGAGTGTTGGGTTTGGTCAATTTCCCTTCGCATTCGCGTGTAGTTCGAACAGGTCTAAAACAACGGGGTCTACCCAATGTTCCCAAATACATATATGTTCCCCAAAATCCCTATAGGGTTAGGGTTAGGGTTATAGGGTTTGGGGAACATAGGTATGCACTTTCAACAAGTACCTTTTCGCATAAAGGTACCTCCTGTTTTTATGCTGTGCGGGTACAGTGTGTCCATGTTTATTATTGGGTTCTTCTTCATGTTGCTGAACGTGCAGTGCTCCGTAATCGCATCCAGTATCTCGGCTGACAGGTTCTTGCCCAGAAACAGACTGACCCTCTCGATATTACCTCGCAGATCCTGAATGAGAAATTGGATTGTATTCAATTAGTTACAACTGATAATGTAGTAACCAACCGATAACGTATGTATACAACAATTGACCAATACCGTATCATTAACCGATTATGTAACGAAAAGTTACCGATAGTGTAGTAGAATGTGCTACACTATCAGTTAATTTGTGTTACATTATCAGTCCTAACCGATAATGTAACAAAACCTTACTTCACTGTTAGTCAATTTTATTGTTTTGTCGGTTAATTGCTATTATAGTACCGGTTGGTAATACGTTATCCGTTGGTTATTACATTATCGTTTGTAACACAAATATTCACAGGTTGTCACATGTAAGTCTCAGATTATAAAATCAGTCACCAGTTACATCTAAGCTCACGTGAAGTGACGCCTCGTTGAACTGTCATTAAAGTGACGTATCATCAAATGTTTTGTCATTGTTCATACTCGTGACCTGACTAGTCATTGACTTAACTTTGATCTAACTTTGATAACAAAATAATCGTCAATGTTTAGACAAATTGACGAATCTGTCCAAAACCGGTTTTAGAATATTCTCACAGTTTATGAAATTCCTCTGTATTGTCTGCTAAATTTCAAGACACAAGATTGCACCTTTTATTAATTACTCTCATTTAACAAAGTGGCCGATGCGGTTTTTTGTTCATTTGTCGTCAGTCGGAAAGCTTCCAGGAAATTCTTTCTATTGTATCGTGTATGCTACCCCTGCCTGTAAGCGTGAGCAACTCCCACGTGGAGGGGCAACCGTTTCAACAGAAAATTCTGATAAAGTTTTATCAGACAATTATCTATTAATCATGTTAGCAAAACAGTGGAACAAAAATAAGCATCTACTCACTTTCTTCAAATCTTCGAATCTCAACAGGAGAACATTCGGTTCGTGTCTTCTCTTCCAAAAGTACAAATAGTGATCCCACCATGCCCCGTACATAACTTTAGAAAAACCAAACGAATGGAATGAGGTGATGTTTGTTTTGCGCTACCTGTCCACTAATAAAATAAAGTAAAATGTAAACGTTGAATAAGTACTGACTGGCGAGCGGGTACAAATAGTAAAATCCAGTGGTCACATGTTCAAACCCCCATCGGTTTATTTCGTTACCATTTTAGATTATTTTACTACATACATTCACTTTGTTACACCGTGTTTTTAAATAATAAATAATATAACAAATACATAGTTTAAAACGTCACCCTCAACAGGTTCTTGCAATTTTGTGTGGTATTGGAACGAACAATGAAGATGTATTGGTTTGTACATGCAAAAAGTAGGTAAGTATACAGTCTTGTCACGATGTGGCCCATCAGGTTGGCGTTTATCTCCAGTTTCAGTAGCTGAAACGACTGAGAAAATTTCTACTCCCCCTGGATGGGATGCTAGTCCATTGCAGGTTACTCCCCAGCTAATGCCGGTACCAATTAATACTCCTGGGTAGAGAGAGGCAGGTGGGGATGAAGTGACTTGCCCAAAGACACAACATATGGCCAGCAGATGGAATCGAACCCCTGATCCTGTGAACATAAGTTACAGATCCTAAAAAGGCCACACTCCTCAACTCTGTACATGTATGGGAAGGCAATAAATGAAATGCAGCAAGAGAGAAATGTGCGTTACCTTTCCCGGTCATCGCCCTTTCGTAGAGATCCGCAAAAGATTTCTCAGCTTTCTCCGGATCAAACATCTTCTCGAAGTGGAAGAAGGACACAATCACGTCCTTTGGGTCGCGGATAACGTAGACAAGCTTGGAATGTTTCTGCCACAGCTGCGGGGGCAGGAGTTGACCTGGTAGATGCGACTTAATGACCCGGGGTGACGGCATCTCAGCCACGATCTTCGGAATGGGTGGCATCTGTAGACGACATTTTAGAGACCAAAAAAACCAACAAAGTGAAAAGAGTGTTTAGCAAACACATACCAAGTGGTGCAACCCACGGCGGCCGGATAGCGTGCGGAGACGGTTTACGGCACATCCGTGCGCACATGCAGGCCGTACCTGTACCTCGAGAGTAGAGAATACAAAAACCAATAGGGCATGATCGAAAATGTAAAAAATATGCCAATTTGAACTATTCGCATCAGTGTTATCAAAACCGGCCTTCCTTAGCAGAGCTGTGATACTCGAGTTGCATGAATACATTATATGGCCTTCCACCAACCAACCAACCCAGTGAACCCACCCACCCGCCGACCAACCACTGTCCAACTAACATAAGGAGCTCAAGCCCACGGCATGTTTTATACTTACCCCGAGAAAAAAAGTATAGCCGTCTAATGCCTGTGTTGGGGTAACTCTATAACTATTGTATTAACACTGTTGAAAAACTTTGACTGATACGATTATTAAATTTGAGAGAACATTGCTTGAATTTACACAAACGATTTAGTACAAAAAAAGATGTAAGAAGTTAAAAGATTAAGTGTTTTCCATTTGCAAACTTGCCTAGAAAGCGTTGCTTGGATATAGCTTTGTTTAAATAATCCCAGGGGTGGATCCATGATCCCAGTATTGCGGACAGGCATACATATATGTCTTATAATATTTGTCGTGTGTGCTCAGATTGCGACTCCCCTCCACTTGAAACTAAGGCAAACCTAGGTTCTAAAATTCTTTAAAACAATTTCCATTTAGAGAGGGATTCGATGATATTTTGCTCTACCCTAAGGGGATTAAAATATTGTTTTAAGGGCGTGAAAATTCACTGGATCATCTGAAAGCGTTCCAGATTTTGGACAGTTTTTTTGTAAAGAAGACCCAGTAAAGTAGACCCAGGGGGAGCTCGAGGGAAGGGTCTGTCATGACGCAATGGGAACGAGGTTGAGACCCCCTTGTTCCGCCTCCATGCATCCCCACACAATTCGGGCGAGTCGCAATGCAGTGCTCCACCCAGAGTTTGCCACGCAGAATTCCCCTTTTCTCCAGTGCATTGTGGTAGATGGTCCACAAATTCGCAATTCGCAGCTCGGTACATTTGAAATTGTTATTTTTCCGCCCAGCAGTTTCGTAAGCGTATGATTCGAGTATCTGTTTCCCCATTTCTTTTCATTTTATCGATATGGTGTTTTTTTGTAAGGCGGCAGATGCCCCAATCTATGACATATTAGCTCAAGTTTTCTACTGACCTCATTCAAATGGGCCATGTTTTGTCGACCGTAAACCTGAAAAAAAATGGACTCTCCAATGCAAACTCTTGGTGGTGCAGTCATTTTGAATCGCCCGAATTAGAAACGACATTGATGTGAACCTACACTTTTCCATTGTCGTGCTCGCGCAGGAATCGTCTGATCAATGTACGGCACACGGAATATGGTATGCCTCCCGTTAACTGCTTCCAGGTTCCCGTCATGCATCACGCAGGACACAATCTCTTGCACCCAAGTTGTACCTGTTCAAAATAGTTTAATGAAATGAATATGAAAAGTGTAACACATTGCTACGTTAAATTACGTTCAAACAAACACTGAAAAAAAGGTGGATAAAACACTGTTGGGTATGTTATTTGCCCAATATTGGGAAGTATTAATTAGCCGAAGCGTGTCGGCATTTGGTATATGTGACTTGCTCTATCATTATGAGGAATAACCCCCACCTTTGACTTTTCACGTTATGTACATCATGCTAAACGCAATTCTGATAATTGGCTTTCCAATGATACAAAATTTACTTCTGTATCTTTATTTATTCCAACGATATGCCGCAGGAACTTCAACAGTGTCCTGCCAAATTTCAATAACCTCATTTCAAGAAAAACGGCTTTGAAAACAAAGACATACATTTCGCCGCCAACGACAGTGAAAAACATTATTCCGTTTTTCCACTTTTGTTGGTATTTTTTTTCTCCATTTTCCAACGAAAATGCATAGTGTGTATACCGAGACACGTTGGTTATTCAAAAATACAAAACAATCAATATAGATTTTGACACGATTTTTCTAGAATATCCGACTCCAGGCGTCCATTGCTCAAAACAGTTAATGGGGGACATTCCTCATTTTGCCTTAGTAGGTCACATATTGAATAATAATTGACAAAATACCAAGCAATTTGCAGATAGAGTAACACAGAATGCTAGGCAACAATTTGATACAAATAGTGGATATTTATGAGTGCAATTTTTATATTACTTTCATGAGATGACAGACAAAATATTCCATTCCTCGGTCGCGAAGCCGAGCGGAATGGAGCATTCTATCTGTCACCGAATGCTATTATTATTACCATTGCACGAATTGAAATAGTTTTTATTTGTTTTATACAAGCCTTAAATTAACCTTTGTCGTGTGATTGGTAGCTTATAAACTGCTACTATGAATGTACAACATCAGAGCTGTGTTATAGCGCAACAATAATGCGACTGCGCAATAGAAGTTATATTCACCTTGGAGTGGAACTTCTATTTTTTTTTTTTTGGCAGTGTGGTCGTACTGCGCGTTGGGACAATAATGCAATGACACAGGATTAGCGACCCGTCAATCATATTACGGGAATGTATTAAGGCGTTGTTTAACACACAGTTTCTCATGATGTCGTCACCGTTTTCACGAAGAGGCGAATTTAGTATTTCACTGTCTGAACAAACATTCGAGATAATCGCGTTTAAAGTTGATCCTTTATTCATCCGACAATTTGAAACTTAAAGATGCATAAAATATGCCAGATTTAGGTATCAGAGGAAAGAAGAGCTTTTAATCTTCCTAGATGTAGCAAACTTTAAGAAAATTAGGTGATTAGTTTTGCAGAATTAATCAATTAAGAGAAGTGGCTGTTCGTGAAAACGAAAAAAAAATAGACCAATTAGCAACACATTTCTCAAAACGTATTCATTAAAACATTCATATAAATCTAAAGATAAAATGGAATTTGCATCGGGGCGATGAGTATTCAATATTTGGTGTTTGCCCTTCATTAACAAACCTGCTTTGGGATATGTAACGACCCAACAGTCATCTTCTCTGACGTCATACGTCTTGAGTTCCTTAACCACCTCGTCTACTTCTGGGAATAGAGGCACTCCTTCGTAATCGCTTAGAACTCGAGGAAACTCGTCCGAAAACCGTCGGCTCAAAACTTCCCTAACTACAAGACAAAATAATATAAAAGTTGCTCCCCCAAAAACATAATAATAATAAACTTTTGCAAGCAGATATCCCTTAATTTCTCAACAAGTTCCAAAACATAACTACTCCATCTTGATGGAGCATAATCAATTATACGTTTGGGTATATTCAGTTAAAAATGTCATGGAAATCCGTTTATGCAAACAAGAAATCTATCAAGGCCATGGGTTTTGCACCCATTCCAATGAGATGGGATTTCCCGGCCACAGTGAACTTAATTACATCAGAGTTAAAAGACCCATTACAATCCGAACCACTGATATCACTTACTGTGTTAATCCCATTGAAAAGAGTGAAACCCATAGCCTTTTATACAATCTGTTAAATCTCTGGTTTTCCTAAACGGATATCTGTGGATTTTCAATGATTATACACAAGAGTATAATTATTATTGAAGGATATCTGCTTGCACAACTTTTTTGGGGACACCCTGTAATTGTTTGGGGAAAGACACACAGTATATTGTATTCTCACTATTGACACACCTTATCATCTGCCCGTTTTATTGGTTTAAGGTTATGCGACATTATTGTGTTCATTAGAAACACATCGGGTTCCTACGGAGCTCTGGAAGTGCCATCCGACTTGTTCAGATACTGACTTATTTTATCTCCAGATGACGACCAAATACTGGCAAGATGACGACATCCTGATATAATTTGTTAGGGATGACGACATCCTCAAAGTAGGATGATGACATCTCGTCATAATCTAATATGGCATGACGACATCCTGAAAATCGGATGACGACATCTTACGACAATCTCTTCTGGCATGATGATATCCTGAGATAGTTTTTTAGGGGATGACGTCATCCTGAAAATAGGATAAGGACATCCTGAGATATTACGGGGTGCATTGAATCCATCATGGGAACGCACAGACATCATGACCTCTCATCATCAAATAAATACCATGTATATACAGCGATGGGGTGAATTGGATACAAGCCACACGTCCACCTGTGCGTTTTGAAGATGGCTTCAATACACCCTGTGATAAATTATGTCACGATGTCGTCACCCAGCTTCCAGGATGGCGTTATCCCATAACAAACTATCTAAGGATGTTATCATCCTACTTTCAGAATCTCGTCATCCCATAATAAATTATTTCAGGATGAAGTCATCTTACTTTCAGGATGTCGTCATGCCATAATAAATTGTATCAGGATGTCGTCATCCTATTTTTAGGATGTCGTCATCCCCTAATAAACTATCTCAGGATGTCGTCTTCCTCAATTTAGGATGTCGTCATCCCCTAATAATTTATCTCAGGATGTCGTCATCCAACTTTTAGGATGTTGTCATGCTATAATAAATTATATCAGGATATCATCATCCTATTTCCAGGATGTCGTCGTCCATAATAAATTATCTCGAGATGTCGTCATCCTACTTTCAGGATGTCGCGATCCCCTAATAAATCATCTCAGGATGTCGTCATCTTGCCTGTATTACGTCGTCATCCTGAGATAAAGTAAGTCAGTATATGAACAAGTCGAATGGCACTTCCAGAGTTCCGTAGGTTCCTTCGCCAAGTTGCTACGGACGCAACATTGAAACAAACAAAAAGCCGTCAACGGTCGACGTAACAATACAAGAAAACATGTTGATTCTTGAATGCCCAAATTGACACTGACACACGGCAACAGGTGATTTCACTTTAAGAGACAAAAAAAAGAGAAAAACATCAACAAGTGTTGTCCATCCCAGGCCTGTGGTGTATACTTACATTCCTCGAGAGTTACATATTTTTCCATGACGATCCAGGGGGCCAAAATCAATCCTACGCGGATGCATATAAAACAATACAGTACGTTTTATGCTTAGGTTGGTCGGCAATATACAAATATAACATGGTTTGAGGGTGGACAGTCAATATTCGCTCCCCGAGGTACTTGAAGTTGACAAACTAGTTTGTCAATACCGAGGGGAGTTAATATCTGCTGTCTACCCGAAATAAACCATGTTATATTTGCTTTACTATACCCATACATATTCAGCGCCGGTTTTTTTTCGTTGCAGTATGCACCTCAAATTGTTTTTTTTTTTTTGAAAAACATGTCCAGTTCACCAAAAGAATCGTATTGATCAACTTCACTAGTTCTGTTCGTTTACAGTACAGTGCAGCTGTAAATAGAGTAGTTTGTTGTACGACATTCTTTTGTACAACATTCTTTTGTACAGGATGCATCTTTATTGTCCATCAATATATTCTTGTTCGGCATCATTGAGCTCGGGAAAATAACGCGCCGTGCAACCATCTCTTTGTGTGTAGCTCGTTTGGGCGATGTTCGCGCGTGCGTACTACATCCGTGCGACAGTTCCACGATTGCTTTGTAAAGCGCATGCGTAGAGGACTGTGGTAAACAGCAAAAATATCATCTGGCTCGTGATGGTGAATTGACCAGTGAGATTTCGGCTCTCGATTATGAATATATATGAGGTATAGTAATTTCAATTTAAAACATCATTGTACATTCAGCATCATCACCATATAAAGTGGAACAAACCAGTCTCGAGAGTGTTATATTTATGTGCATCAAACTTACGGACATACTAGTTCTGGTCAGCCGTGCGCGTTGAATTGATTTCAAGAGCTAATCTTTGTACCTGCAGGCATTTGCAACTGTTCAACTGAATTTGGTCATTGTATATAATTATTTTTAGAAAGGTTATCGTCATTGAACTTTGGAGTAAAATATATTAGAGCAAGGGTCATTTATTTTTAAGCCAGGGGTCTTTTTTTGGGGGGGAAATGACCATTGCAAGTGTTTAGTGGGTATTTTTTGAAAGGTTACAGCTTGAGGAATTTGAATTGGCTAGTCTTATGGTTACCTGGCGGTGGACCTGGATGCCAGGGGCAGATAAGTGACGTCACATAAGCAGTGTTTACCCTTACAAAAATGTCCCATGACGAAGCCATGGGATCCCCATGGGACCCCATGGGGAACCTATGGGAATCAAATGGATACACATGGTGGTTTCTTAAAACACCATGGAGATCTCTTAAAACACCATGGTGTCCCATGGAAACACCATGGTGTCCCATGGGAACACCATGGACAGCTAAAGAAACGCCATGGTGTCCCTTGGGAACACCATGAGCAGCTACTGTAACCCCATGGCACCACCATGTGGTCTCATGGTGGTCTCTTTGAATACATGGTGGTCTCTTAAAACACCATGGCGATCTCTTAAAACACCATGGTGTCGCATGGGAACACCATGGACAGCTACAGAAACGCCACGGTGCCCCATGGGAACACCATGAGCAGCTACTGTAAACCCATGGCACCACCACGTGGTCTCATGGAGGTCATTCTAAATACAATGGTGGTCTTTTAAAACACCATGGTGGCCCATCTAACGCCATGTCTAGTCAAAGTAATCACGCCATGATGTACCATGGGAACACCATGGACAGCTGTTGTAACACCATGGCACCACCATGAGGTTTCAAAACCACCATTAAAGCAGGTCCACCATGAAATGTTGGGGTGACCACCATGGGGGCCATGGTGACCAATGGCATCGCCAAGGAAATGCTTTTCTACTCAACGGATTTGCGCCCATGGGGAAATACCATGGGGATTAACACCATGGGATCGATGAACACCATGGGAATGATGAACACCATATGGTGATGAACACCATGGGGATGAACACCATATGGAGATGAATACCATGGGGATGAACACCATGGGGATGAACACCATGGGGATGAACACCATGGAGATGAACACCATGGGAACACCATGGGGATGAACATCATGGGAACACAATGGGGATGAACACCATTGGAACACCATGGGGTGCACCATGAGACCTTTTTTGAAGAACTGTGTCAATTTTGAGTGTTCTAAATGCATTTTATTTTAAATTTTGCTATTGATAATGTAAGTCAAATGAAGAATGCAGTCTATTTTTATGTGGAGATTTGGCCGATAAAAATACTGTGGCTAATTTTCATTCATTTATTATTATTGAAAACAATTTATTATCAAAAATAATTAGGATGCTGTGATTTTATGGTACAACCTTACAGTGTAATTAAGAGTTGTATCGGTCTACAATGAACAGTTTTATGCAAGTATTTATTTTCCGATGAATTTGTGGACCTTTTCGGTGTTTTTTAATTGCATATTTCATAAATAAAAAATCACACAAAAATCCAGGCGGCCTCCAAAAAGGAAGCGTGCGGGGATGAGAAACGTGTTTGTTTTTTACTTCACCTAATTTGTCACAATACCCATCTGTATATTTGCATTTGCAAACTTTAAAAAATACGATAGTTATGATTACCAACCAATATACAATGTACTTATCACTAAAACTCAAATATTAAGAACTCACCCACATAAAACATCTATGTACATGTACAAACATTGCCCCAATATGTGCTGAACAGTACATGTACATGTACATAAAGCCCATGCATACTTACATGTATATTGCAGGGTACACTGTATCGATCCCACAACCATATGTGTAACCTTACCGCCCTGTGCAGTGCGTGACCCGTATAATTATGATCCATGCGTGATTCTATGTACAGTGTGCATTATCCATGCAGGGGTCAAGTTCTGCACTTGCAAGGTCACCCACACCACGGATCCTACACACAAGGATTAACGACTCGGCCAAACTCCTGGTTATACTTGTGATATTACGGCCCGTACTGGTGGCAAATACCATGAATACTTTTCAACAAAGACCACTGCGCGCGGAGGCTTTCGTGTTTTTTTTTTTTTGGGGGGGGGGGTATTGCAAATGTTGGCACTCACAGCTTTCGAAGCTTTCAAATTTGCAAGGCTTTGCGCCCGATCTGGCCTCGAAATCTGTCAAGCCAGCGAATTATATTTTTTAATATTCATGAGTCTACGTTTTGGTCTTTATTATTGAATTCTGATAAGTGATAACCCTAACTAACCATGGTAATGCCATGCCGAGCACAATATGTTCAGCTTTAAGATGAAAAAGAAACGTCGCTTTTGTTTCATCGGTTCGGCATCTTATTTCTCTAAAAGCCTAATTAAAAACAAATTTTGGGTAAACGGTGTTCTCCTCGAAATTTGACGTTGATTTCCCGGGTAAATACTTCATCTACGACGACAAAAACTGCACAATATACCATCTGTTATATCCTGAAGTATTTATTTTAAAACAATTTTGGAACAATTAAATCTTAAATAAGGAGTAGTTTTCCTTACAGTTTTATGAATATTTTCGTTTAAGATGTCTTGAAAAAAACCAACACAATAGGACACCTGAAAAGTTTGCGATTACGCGCCAACGGGTATTAATGCCTGTTTCCACGCGTCTAACCAATTAAGGCAAGTCCGCTCAGTGCATTTTGTACTAGAGCTCGAACAGTCGTTTATCCTGGTGTCTAGGATCCGTGCCCACACTAAGTGTGTGGAAGGTATGCATGGGGCAGGACATGGCAGAATTCAAAACAGTGAATACTTGTATGAAATAAGTGCCTCACTTCTGCCTGTAAGCAAAGATCAATTGCCAGTATAATATACTGTGTTGCTGTGAGCTTGAACATACAGAAGATAGACATGTTACGTTTTCTGGATGATAACTGGACCGAGTGGATCGAGTCATGTTGAATGGATCTTGCAGTACGTCTGTCTAAAAACAGTACTGTTAATGTACCGGTAAGTCTGGATTTTGATGTCTCTACCCTCTAGCATGTCTAGCTAGTGCCAATGCAGCAATTTGTGTCAAAGACATTTACGTGCATCAGTTAGGAATTCCCAACACAACTTCATAGAATGCAAGTGGGGTACGTCACAAAACTCTACAATTTGTCATTGGCATTATATAATATTCAGGCCAGTTTGCATTACTACTATACGTACATGCATCCACGCATATTTAACATGAAAGCTTTTTTGAAAAATCCCATGCTCTTTACGAACCGTGTCACATGACTTTATGGCAATGCTGCATTTGTTCAGCGCATCTTCATAGATCTGTCTCATCAAAAGTATAAACTGTTCGTGCTCTTAATGTCAAATTGGAAAACTGTCTTCAAGTGATTTGACTGGGAATTTAAAAGGAGTAAGAAGATGTTGTTCATAAAATGACACCAAACATTAACCCTAAAGGGGCCGACGGTGGAATTCGCCCCCCCCCCCCCCAGTTTTTCCGCGATAGCTTTGAAAAAAAATCGCGACCCGAGCTGTAACAACTTTTGAGCTTGGAGCCTTGCGCATCTTTTGATGCCCAAAACAAGAAAATCTTGAGAAATTTTCTAGCGCTACGCGCCGTGAATACTGTATTTTCATATATACGTCGTGCACACGGAGCAAAATTACTACTCATACATATGAATAATTAATTAGCCATAATTGCACAACCCTTTGACGTATAGTCATAAAATTTCTTGGGTATGTTTATGAACAGTTGCTCTATGCATTTACTGAGTTTCAAAAATGTTCGTCACTCGATGGCCGAGATCTTAGGGGGGGGGGGGGCGGAATCCGCCGCCCCCCGGCTGAGAGATGGTCAAAATAACCCGGCCCTCTTAGGGTTAAGATTTAAACATAGTAAAAGTTAAATGCAACTCAGTACTTTATATGTCAAGTATGGAACTTGGACGAATTTTGGTAACACAATCTGCTCATGACCATGGAAAAATACTCTCCAGGTTTAACTTCTGCATTGATAACTTAATAATCAATTCTTAGGATGTTACCGCAAACTTCCATACGTAAGTGATTGGTTGTCTCATGCACTCTTTGGTATTTTAACAAACGTTATTATTCTTTTTTTTTAATATGAAACGTATATTACAGAAATGTACAAAAAATATTTGTGTTTGACTGCAACTAAAACACAACTTAAAAGGGAAACTGCATCTGCTCATTTATTTTCTTCGTTGAACACCATGTTGATTCAAACAAACTAACAAGTTTGTTTCTTTTCTTTTCCAGCTTTCCTGACTTAATTTCCACCATTGATGTTGGTTCATGTGCAGAAGAAACCATGGATATTTTACCCCAAGGATCCCGTTCAATCGGATACAATGGAATCCCATCAAGCGATTACTACAAGAACATTAATACATTACCACAGTGCAGGAACAGGTACTGCAGGATCAGGTACCACAGGAACTAACAAAGGAACATTACCCCCGGCAACATTGCCACAAAAACATTATATTATGGTCACTTTACCACAGGAACATTTACCACAGGAACATTTACCACAGGAACATTTACCACCGGAACTTTTACCACAGGAACATTGACCACAGGAACAATAACAACGTACACAACATTCTAAAACTCGCGTTTTGCGTTCATAACTCCATTCTGCAACAAAGTCGTATCTCGCGCGAATACGCTCCGTGCAACAAGGTCGTATCTCGACGTCCATTGACTTTGCGTAAACATCCGGGTTATTTTAAGCGAGATAAGCCTTTTTGACATTCTAAAACTCGCGTTTTGCGTCGTTCATGCCATTTTAGGAGAAACGACCTTGTTGCACTGACGCGACGATTTGTAACTTTCTAAAAAAAAAACCACGGATTTCCCGAAACCGAGAAGCCTACTTGACATGTTTATGATCGATAAGGCGTTGGGTCGTTCCAACATATTGACACGGACTATATTATCGGCCTATATTATACATTACCAACTATTTCAGTACATCTACTCTTTTGCGCTAATTGATTATGCTTCGCATAATACCAACCCTTTCTTAACAACAACTTATAGTCTTACTCTTGTCAATCTGGGACTCACACTGGTGGATGTATTTTTATATTGTTCTCATCCCAAAAATTGGTTTTTCAGGGGCGCCCTCTATATTGCTTATTGTTCTCGAACTAACCAGCATTTGCGTGCAGATAAATCGGGAAATAGGAAAAGGAATATAAGAAAGCAATCTTAAAACCACGGCAAGTTTATGAAACTAGGTAAGTGATAACGTGTACAAATAACGGGGTTATATATAGCGAAATTGACTTACATGGTTTGTACACTTGCACTTGTTTGTGAACTTTTGAAACCAGGATTTCCCTAAATTGAGTAGGTAACTCCACACTCGATATGAAAGATGATTGGGTCAACATCAAATACACGTTGTAATTGGTGGCTTGAGTAACTTGGCAGCAAAATGACAACAGACACATCAAGGACCTATCCAAGACACTACTATAAATGGCACACAAGTACTTTAATTGCATGAAACTTTCTCGTTTTCGTAAATTGATTGTCCCCTTTAATGACAAGCTTTAGTGAAACTGTGGGCACAGCAGCCTACACGTGGCACCCAATAGCAGGGTAGGCCTATATAAATAATTTTAAAAGACACTCAAGGTGACGGGTAAAGATTAAAAGTAGTATTGTAAGAAGTATAACATTCGGCAATTGGCATGGTGAAAGGACAATTTATGACCTACAGGGGCCGATTTATTTTTTCGATCATTGTCATATTAAATGTAACCGTTTTCATTGGTAAGAAATATTGCAATTATTTTTTTTTTTTTACATTTCGTGATGAAACGAAATGAGAATATGTATCACATGTAATCTTGCCAGTGGGGTAAAAGAGGAACACAATGTTTGATTAACATTGGCTTATTGTGTTTTGTTTGACCTTAACGATTTGCGAGTAGATAGAGGGTATTCTAACACTAATATTATTAAAATACAAGTCTCAAGGGCTAGGGCCCTTAGCAACTTGGATGCATGAACGTTACTAAGATAAACTAGGTACAAACGTTTGAAAAGGGATAGACATGTACAATTTTTACGAGGAAAGCCAGTGCTAGTCAGTGACATGTCTCGGGTATCTGGCGGCCAGACTAGTCCATCCCGGCAACGCCGACCCGCCTCCGTTTGAAGACAATTAAACGAACCGCTGTTAAAGGTGACATGCAAATATGCAATCCACACATGTCAAAACAGGAAGAATAAAATCCGATTTTTCCGCTTTGTCTTTACGCATATTATAAGCATCGTATTTTTGAGCCAACTGGTCTCGCAATGAAATATATATAGTTGAAAATCAACTTTGAGCTAACAGGTCCTACGCCAGTTTCTGGATGACCCACGGCTATTTAAGCGCAGACGCTATTTGAAAAATTTTCTGAAAATAAATCTTGACTGGCATGGGCTCCGCCAGTTGTTGTTTTTTTTCCAGGGGGGGGGGGGGCAAAGCTCTTACCGGAAGGCATGAAGTGTTGGATCGAACATTGCACTGACCATCATAGCTGCCACTGCTGCCGTGGATATCTTGCACTAGTGATAATATGGCAAAGTGGGGCATTTGGCATAACTTTTCTATATACTTTTTTGGTGCTTGATACTTCAGTACCAAGATGGCAAGATTTATCGTCTTAAAGATTGTATTTGCGCATTAGGCCCCCTATTTCCCAAACTTCTTGCTCTCTGACTTTCATTTTCTCAATTTGTCATTTTTGTGTGGGCAGGCTGGCATTGACACCCCAGCGGACGCCCATACTGTTAAATGTGCGACGCCCCATGGGTACTGGAATGACAACTATTGCATGCTCCAATGACTCGATTCTTAAGGAAACGCAACCTTCTTATCCCCAATTTCCTTCGCGCGGTGATCATACAAAAACAGCACATGTCTATGATAGGTTTGTGAACGGTCAAATATACCTGTTAGCAATCGTTTCAACAACATGCATTATCATTTCATAGTGAATTATGTATTCTTTTTGTTATTTTGTACAGTTTTGATCGCACTTGCTCATAGCTGTTTGTCAGTGTAATGATGTTCAGCTGGGAATGAGCGCAGCTTGCTTGACTAGTCGAAGGTGAGTCCGGTGCCGTGCAGCTTGTCCTTAATGAGGGCGTCCATGGCTTCGTTCTGTGCCACAGTGAACCAATCTTTCCAACCCCCGACGTTGCCTGTTGAGAAAAAACAACACCATTAGGACAATGGATGTAGTCAGCAACAGTTCCAATTAAACCCAAAACACAATCGCTTCAACCTCGTCCCCAGTGCTTATACTTTATTTCCAACCTCGTTTGTAATAGTATGCCCTGGATAGGAAACTTTCTTCCTGTATCCCGAGGCGATCCCGCATTTGGCAAGTAATGGATTTATATCGTGTACTTGGTGCTGTTATTTCCAACATGCATTACGTGTCTTCACGTTCATTTGAATTATTACGTCCACACCTTCCCCCCAAAAATCATTTTCTTTCCAATTTGCTCATTTTAATATGAAATGTGATACTGCATATTGGCTGGAAAAGATTGTAACATTTTGTAACAGGCCTAAAACAACGGGGTCTACCCAATGTTCCCAAATACATATATGTTCCCCAAAATCCCTATAGGGTTAGGGTTAGGGTTATAGGGTTTGGGGAACATAGGTATGCACTTTCAAAAAATACCTTTTCGCATAAAGGTACCTCCTGTTTTTATGCTGTGCGGGTACAGTGTGTCCATGTTTGTCATGGGGTTCTTCTGCATGTTGCTGAACGTGCAGTGCTCCGTAATCGCATCCAGTATCGCGGCTGACAGGTTCTTGCCGAGAAACAGACTGACCCTCTCGATATTACCTCGCAGATCCTGAATGAGAAATTGGATTGTATTCAATTTGTTACAACTGATAATGTAATAACCAACCGATAACGTATGTATACAACAATTGACCAATACCGTATCATTAACCGATTATGTAACGAACATTTACCGATAGTGTAGTAGAATGTGCTACACTATCAGTTAATTTGTGTTACATTATCAGTCCTAACCGATAATGTAACAAAACCTTACTTCACTGTTAGTCAATTTTATTGTTTTGTCGGTTAATTGCTATTATAGTACCGGTTGGTAATACGTTATCCGTTGGTTATTACATTATCGTTTGTAACACAAATATTCACAGGTTGTCACATGTAAGTCTCAGATTATAAAATCAGTCACCAGTTACATCTAAGCTCACGTGAAGTGACGCCTCGTTGAACTGTCATTAAAGTGACGTATCATCAAATGTTTTGTCATTGTTCATACTCGTGACCTGACTAGTCATTGACTTAACTTTGATCTAACTTTGATAACAAAATAATCGTCAATGTTTAGACAAATTGACGAATCTGTCCAAAACCGGTTTTAGAATATTCTCACAGTTTATGAAATTCCTCTGTATTGTCTGCTAAATTTCAAGACACAAGATTGCACCTTTTATTAATTACTCTCATTTAACAAAGTGGCCGATGCGGTCTCTCGTTTTTTTGTTCATTTGTCGTCAGTCGGAAAGCTTCCAGGAAATTCTTTCTATTGTATCGTGTATGCTACCCCTGCCTGTAAGCGTGAGCAACTCCCACGTGGAGGGGCAACCGTTTCAACAGAAAATTCTGATAAAGTTTTATCAGACAATTATCTATTAATCATGTTAGCAAAACAGTGGAACAAAAATAAGCATCTACTCACTTTCTTCAAATCTTCGAATCTCAACAGGAGAACATTCGGTTCGTGTCTTCTCTTCCAAAAGTACAAATAGTGATCCCACCATGCCCCGTACATAACTTTAGAAAAACCAAACGAATGGAATGAGGTGATGTTTGTTTTGCGCTACCTGTCCACTAATAAAATAAAGTAAAATGTAAACGTTGAATAAGTACTGACTGGCGAGCGGGTACAAATAGTAAAATCCAGTGGTCGCATGTTCAAACCCCCATCGGTTTATTTCGTTACCATTTTAGATTATTTTACTACATACATTCACTTTGTTACACCGTGTTTTTAAATAATAAATAATATAACAAATACATAGTTTAAAACGTCACCCTCAACAGGTTCTTGCAATTTTGTGTGGTATTGGAACGAACAATGAAGATGTATTGGTTTGTACATGCAAAAAGTAGGTAAGTATACAGTCTTGTCACGATGTGGCCCATCAGGTTGGCGTTTATCTCCAGTTTCAGTAGCTGAAACGACTGAGAATATTTCTACTCCCCCTGGATGGGATGCTAGTCCATTGCAGGTTACTCCCCAGCTTATGCCGGTACCAATTAATACTCCTGGGTAGAGAGAGGCAGGTGGGGATGAAGTGACTTGCCCAAAGACACAACATATGGCCAGCAGCTGGAATCGAACCCCTGATCCTGTGAACATAAGTTACAGATCCTAAAAAGGCCACACTCCTCAACTCTGTACATGTATGGGAAGGCAATAAATGAAATGCAGCAAGAGAGAAATGTGCGTTACCTTTCCCGGTCATCGCCCTTTCGTAGAGATCCGCAAAAGATTTCTCAGCTTTCTCCGGATCAAACATCTTCTCGAAGTGGAAGAAGGACACAATCACGTCCTTTGGGTCGCGGATAACGTAGACAAGCTTGGAATGTTTCTGCCACAGCTGCGGGGGCAGGAGTTGACCTGGTAGATGCGACTTAATGACCCGGGGTGACGGCATCTCAGCCACGATCTTCGGAATGGGCGGCATCTGTAGACGACATTTTAGAGACCAAAAAAAAAAAACAAAGTGAAAAGAGTGTTTAGCAAACACATACCAAGTGGTGCAACCCACGGCGGCCGGATAACGTGTGGAGACGGCTTACGGCACATCCGTGCGCACATGCAGGCCGTACCGGTACCTCGGGAGTAGAGAATACAAAAACCAATGGGGCATGAGCTAAAATGCAAAAAATATGCCAATTTGAACCATTCGCATCAGTGTTATCAAAACCGGCCTTCCTTAGCAGAGCTGTGATACTCGAGTTGCATGAATACATTATATGGCCTTCCACCAACCAACCAACCCAGTGAACCCACCCACCCGCCGACCAACCACTGTCCAACTAACATAAGCAGCTCAAGCCCACGGCATGTTTTATACTTACCCCGAGAAAAAAAAAGTATAGCCGTCTAATGCCTGTGTTGGGGTAACTCTATAACTATTGTATTAACACTGTTGAAAAACTTTGACTGATACAATTACTAAATATGAGAGAACATTGCTTGAATTTACACAAACGATTTAGAAGTACAAAAACGATGTAAGAAGTTAAACGATTAAGTGTTTTCCATTTGCAAACTTACCTAGAAAGCGTTGCTTGGATATAGCTTCGTTTAAATAATCCCAGAGGTGAATCCATGATCCCAGTATTGCGGACAGGCATACCTATATGTCGTTATAATATTTGTCGTGTGAGCTCAGATTTCGACCCCCTCCACTTGAAACTAAGGCAAACCTAGGTTCTCAAATTCTTTAAAACAATTTCCATTTAGAGCGGGATTCGATGATAGTTTGCTCTACCCTAAGGGGATTAAAATATTGTTTTAAGGGCGTGGAAATTCACTGGATCATCTGAAAGCGTTCCAGACTGTGGACAGTTTTTCTGTAAAGAAGACCCAGTAAAGTAGACCCAGGGGGAGCTCGAGGGAAGGGTCTGTCATGACGCAATGGGAACGAGGTTAAGACCCCCTTGTTCCGCCTCCATGCATCCCCACACAATTCGGGCGAGTCGCAATGCAGTGCTCCACCCAGAGTTGGCCACAGAGAATTCACTTTTTTTTCCAGTGCATTGTGGTGGATGGTCCACAAATTCGCAGCTCGGGACATTGTTCATTTTTCCGCCCAGCAATTTCGTAAGCGTATGACTCGAATAGCTATTTCCCCATTTCTTTTCTTTTTATCGATATGGTGTTTTTTGTAAGGCGGCAGATGCCCCAAACTATGACATATTAGCTCAAGTTGTCTACGGACCTCATTCAAGTGGGCCATGTTTTGTCGACCGTAGCCCTGAAAAAAAAAATGGACTCTCCAATGCAAACTCTTGGTGGCGCACTGCATTTTGAATCGCCCGAATTAGAAACGACAATGATGTGAACCTACATTTTTCCATTGTCGTGCTCGCGCAGGAATCGTCTGATCAATGTACGGCACACGGAATACGGTATGCCTCTCATTAACTGCTTGCAGGTTCCCGTCATGCATCACGCAGGACACAATCTCTTGCACCCAAGTTGTACCTGTTCAAAATAGTTTAATGAAATGAATATGAAAAGTGTAACACATTGCTACGTTAAATTACGTTCAAACAAACACTGAAAAAAAGTGGATAAAACACTTTTGGGTATGTTATTTGCCCAATATTGGGAAGTATTAATTAGCCGAAGCGTGTCGGCAGTTGGTATATGTGACTTGCCGTATCAATATGAGGAATAACCCCCACCTTTGGCTTTTCACGTTATGTACTAAAACGCAATTCTGATAATTGGCTTTCCAATGATACAAAATTTACTTCTGTATCTTTTTTTATTCCAACGATATGCCGCAGGAACTTCAACAGTGTCCTGCCAAATTTCATTAACCTCATTTCAAGAAAAACGGCTTTGAAAACAAAGACATACATTTCGCCGCCAACGACAGTGAAAAACATTATTCCGTTTTTTCACTTTTGTTGGTATTTTTTTTCCATTTTCCAACAAAAATGCATAGTGTGTATACTGAGACACGTTGGTTATTCAAAAATACAAAACAATCAATATACATTTGACACGATTTTTTTAGAATATCCGACTCCAGGCGTCCATTGCTCAAAACAGTTAATGGGGGACATTCCTCATTTTGCCTTAGTAGGTCACATATTGAATAATAATTGACAAAATACCAAACAATTTGCAGATAGAGTAACACAGAATGCTAGGCAACAATTTGATACAAATAGTGGATATTTATGAGTGCAATTTTTATATTACTTTCATGAGATGACAAACAACATATTCCATTCCTCGGTCGCGAAGCTGAGCGGAATGGAGCATTCCATCTGTCACCGAATGCTATTATTATTACCATTGCACGAATTGAAATAGTTTTTATTTGTTTTATACAAGCCTTAAATTGACCTTTGTCGTCTGATTGGTAGCGTATAAACTGTTACTATGAATGTACAACATCAGAGCTGTGTTATAGCGCAACAATAATGCGACTGCGCAATAGAAGTTATATTCACCTTGGAGTGGAACTTCTATTTTTTTTTTTTTTTTTGGCAGTGTGGTCGTACCGCACGTTGGGACAATAATGCAATGACACAGGATTAGCGACCTGTCAATCATATTACGGGAATGTATTAAGGCGTTGTTTAACACACAGTTTCCAATGATGTCGTCACCGTTTTCACGAAGAGGCGAATTTAGTATTTCACTGTCTGAACAAACATTCGAGATAATTGCGTTTAAAGTTGATCCTTTATTCATTCGACAATTTGAAACTAAAACATGCATAAAATATGCCAGATTTAGGTATCAGAGGAAAGAAGAGCTTCTAATCTTCCTAGATGTAGCAAACTTTAAGAAAATTAGGTGATTAGTTTTGCAGAATTAATCAATTAAGAGAAGTGGCTGTTCGTGAAAACGAAAAAAAACACCCAATTAGCAACACATTTCTCAAAATGTATTCATTAAAACATTCATATAAATCTAAAGATAAGATGGAATTTGCATCGGGGCGATAAGTATTCAATATTTGGTGTTTGCCCTTCATTGACAAACCTGCTTTGGGATATGTAACGACCCAACAGTCATCTTCTCTGACGTCAAACGTCTTGAGTTCACGAACCACCTCGTCTACTTCTGGGAATAGAGGCACTCCTTCGTACTCGCTTAGAACTTGAGGAAACTCGTCCGAAAACCGTCGGCTCAAAACTTCCCTAACTACAAGACAAAATAATATAGAAGGTCCTCCCCCCCCCCAATAATAATAATAAACGTTTGCAAGCAGATATCCCTTAATTTCTAAAAAAGTTCCAAAACATAACTACTCCATCATCTTGATGGAGCATAATCAATTAAACGTTTGGGTATATTCAGTTAAAAATGTCATGGAAATCCGTTTATGCAAACAAGAAATCTATCAAGGCCATGGGTTTTGCACCCATTCCAATGAGATGGGATTTCCCGGCCACAGTGAACTTAATTACATCAGAGTTAAAAGACCCATGACAATCCGAACCAGTGATATCACTAACTGTGTTAATCCCATTGAAAGGGGTGAAAACCCATAGCCTTTTACAATCTGTTAAATCTCTGGTTTGCCTAAACGGATATTTGTGGATGTTCACTGATTATACACAAGAGTATAATTATTATTGAAGGATATCTGCTCGCACAACTTTTTTTGGGGGGACACCCTGCAATTGTTTGGGGAAAGACACAAAGTATATTGTATTCTCAATATTGACACACCTTGTCATCTACCCGTGTTATTGTTTTAAGGTTATGCAACATTACTGTGTTCATTAGAAACACATCGGGTTCCTACGGAGCTCTGGAAGTGCCATTCGACTTGTTCAGATACTGACTTATTTTATCTCCAGATGACGACCAAATACAGGCAAGATGACGACATCCTGATATAATTTGTTAGGGATGACGACATCCTCAAAGTAGGATGATGACATCTCGTCGTAATCTAATATGGCATGACGACATCCTGATAATCGGGGTGACGACATCTTAAGACAATCTCTTCTGGCATGATGATATCCTGAGATAGTTTTTAAGGGCATGACGACATCCTGAAAATAGGAAAAGGACATCCTGAGATATCACGGGGTGCATTGAATCCATCATGGGAACGCACAGACATCATGACCTCTCATCATCAAATAAATACCATATATATACAGCGATGGGGTGAATTGGATACAAGCCACACGTCCACCTGTGCGTTTTGAAGATGGCTTCAATGCACCCTGTGATAAATTATGTCACGATGTCGAAACCCTGCTTCCAGGATGGTGTTATCCCATAACAAACTATCTAAGGATGTTATCATCCTACTTTCAGAATCTCGTCATCCCATAATAAATTATCTCAGGATAAAGTCATCTTACTTTCAGGATGTCATCATGCCATAATAAATTGTATCAGGATGTCGTCATCCTATTTTCAGGATGTCGTCATGCCATAATAAACTATCTCAGGATGTCGTCTTCCTCAATTTAGGATGTCGTCATCCCCTAATAATTTATCTCAGGATGTCGTCATCCTACTTTTAGGATGTTGTCATGCTATAATAAATTATATCAGGATATCATCATCCTATTTCCAGGATGTTGTCGTCCCATAATAAATTATCTCGCGATGTCGTCATCCTACTTTCAGGATGTCGCCATCCCCTAATAAATCATCTCAGGATGTCGTCATCTTGCCCGTATTACGTCGTCATCCTGAGATAAAGTAAGTCAGTATATGAACAAGTCGGATGGCACTTCCAGAGTTCCGTATGTTCCTTCGCCAAGTTGCTACGGACGCAACATTGAAACAAGTAAAAAACCGTCAACGGTCGACGTAACAATACAAGAAAACATCTTGATTATTGAATGCCCAAATTGACACCGATCACGGCAACAGGTGATTTCACTTTAAGGGACAAAAAAAAAAGAAAAACATCAACAAGTGTTGTCCATCCCAGGCCTGTGATTCTAAATTGTGTGGTGTGTACTTACATTCCTCGAGGGTTACATACTTTTCCATGACGATCCAGTGGGCCAAAATCAATCCTACGCGGATACATATAAAACAATACAGTATATTTGATGTTTAGGTTGGTAGGCAATATACAAATATAACATGGTTTGAGGGTGGACAGTCGATAATCGATGTGGGCTGTTCTACGTAATAGGAGCGGCTTGAGCACTCTATAACTGAAGTCCACATTATTGCTCCCATACCACTTGTCAAGTTGTACCATATTATCACAGTGTTCCCAATTTATTTTCTCATAAATGTTTCCAACCATAATAATAAATAAATCAATATTATCCAAAGTTTGAATGACACATTGTCTACATAAAAAAAATACTGTATGCATCATTTAACTTCACTTATCAACAAAAAAATTCAAAAATGTGCAATTACAACACTCGTTATTGTAAGAGATTGTCACAAAAATGTCCCATGGTGGTCCCATGGTGTTCCCATGGTGTCCCATGGTGTTTATCCCATTGTGTTCAATTGGTGAACATCCACAGGAGTTTCCCATGGTCAGCTTAACAAATATAATTCTTGATAACCTCTATGGCCACAAGGGAAATATTTTTAATTGAATTCAAATTTACAGCTAGGCGAATAAGTAATTAAATCAAAGAAAGGTTTGCCTATAACTTGGGAGTGCAATTGGGTCTATGATGGTTTTTCATGGCACATGGATGTTCTCCAGTATAACCCGGCAGTGTCCCCGTGCTGCCTTTTAAATCTCCATGGTGTTCCCATTGTATCCATAATTTATATCACCCACATTATGGTGTTCCCATGGCGTACGAATCCTCATGGTGTACCCATGTGTCTAAAATCCCCATATCCTCATGGTGTACCCATGTGTCTAAAATCCCCATGATGTTCCCATGGTGTCCAGTAAATCCCCATGGTGTTCCCATGGTGACATACAATCCCAATGGTGTTCCCATGGTGTTCATAAAATCCCCATGGTGTTCCCATGGTGTCCATAAAATCCCCATGGGGTTCCCATGGTGTTCCCATGGTGTCCATAAATTCCCATGATGTTCCCATGGTGTTCATTAATTCAACGTGGTGTTCCCATGATGTTCATAAAATCCCCATGGTGTTCCCATGGTGTCCGTAAAATCCCATGGTGTTCCCATGGAGCTCATAAAATCCCCATGGTGTTCCCATGTTGTCCATGCAATATCCATGGTGTTCCCATGGGTTTCCCATGATGATCATTTTAACTTACATGATGTTCTTGATGACCCCATGGGTTTCCCATGGGGTCCCATGGGACCCCATGGGAATCCCATGGGACCCCATGGGAATCCCATGGGATGCTCATGGGACATTTCTGTAAGGGTGGACAGCTGTTGTAACACCATGGCACCACCATGAGGTTTCAAAACCACCATTAAAGCACCACCATGAAATGTTGGGGTGACCACCACGGGGGCCATGGTGACCAATGGCATCGCCACGGAAATGCTTTTCTACTCAACGGATATGCGCCCATGGGGAAATACCATGGGGATAAACACCATGGGATTGATGAACACCATGGGAACGATGAACACCATATGGGGATAAACACCATGGGGATGAACACCATGGAGATGAATACCATGGGGATGAACACCATGGGGATCAACAACATGGGGATCAACAACATGGAGATGAACACCATGTGAACACCATGGGGATGAACACCTTGGGGATCAACACCATGGGAACACCATGGGAACACCATGAGACCTTTTTTGAAGAACTGTGTCAAGTATGAGTGTTCTAAATGCATTTTTTTTAAAATTTTGCTATTGATAATGTAAGTCAAATGAAGAATGCAGTCTATTTTTATGTGGAGATTTGGCACATAAAAATACTGTGGCTAATCATTCATTCATTTATTATTATTATTGAAAACAATTTATTATCCAGAATAATTTGGATACTGTGATTTTATGGTACAACTTTACAGTGTAATTAAGAGTTGTATCGATCTACAACAAATTTATGCAAGTATTTATTTTCCGATGAATTTATGGACCTTTTCGGTGTTTTTTATTGCATATTTCATAAATAAAAAATCACACAAAAATCCAGGCGGCCTCCAAAAAGGAAGCGTGCGGGGATGAGAAACGTGGTTTTTTTTAATTTTACTTCACCTATAATTTGTCACAATACCCATCTGTATATTTGCATGTGAAAACTTTAAAAAATACGATAGTTATGCTACCACATAAAAATACCAAAGGAAAAGAGATTACCATCCAATATACAATGTACTTATAACTAAAACTCAAATAAGACTCACCGACATAAAACGTCCATGTACATGTACAAATATTGCCCCAATATGTGCTGAACAGTACATGTACATAAAGCCCACGCATACGTAAATGTATATTGCATGGTTCACTGTATCCCCACAACCACATGTGTAACCTCACCGCCCAGTGCAGTGCGTGACCCGTATATGATCCATTGTGATTCCATATACTAAGTGCATTATCCATACAGGGGTCACGTTCTGCACTTGCAAGGTCACCCACACCACGGATCCTACACACAAGGATTAACGACTCGGCCAAAGCCCTGGTTTAATGCGTGATAACAGCCCGTACTGGTGGCAAATACCATGAATACTTTTCAACAAATACCGCTGCGCGCGGTGGTTTTTGTACGAAAGCCCGTTAGTGCCAACTTTTTTTTTTATGAATTTTTTGTTTGAATTTTTTTTGGGGGGGTATTTTTTTGTTTGTATTTTTGTTTGGGTTATTAAAAATGTTGGCACTAACGGGCTTTCGTAGCTTTTAGATTTGCAAGGCTCTGCGCCCGATCTGGCCTCGAAGTCTGTCAAGCCAGCGAATTATATTTTTGAATATTCATGAGTCTACGTTTTTTTGTCTTTATTATTGAATTCTGATAAGTGATAACTAACTAATCATGGTAATGCCATGCCGAGCACAATATCTTCAGCTTTAAGATAAACAATGAAATTTCACTTTTGTTTTATCGGTTCGGCATCTTATTCTCTAAAACTTTTAAATAAAAGCCTAATTAAAAACGAATTTTGGGTAAACGGTGTTCTCCTCGAAATTTGACGGGTAAATACTTCATCTGTGACGACAAAAACTGCACAATACCATCTGTTATATCCTGAAGTATTTATTTTTAAACAATTTTAGAACAATTAAATCTTAACTAAGGAGTAGTTTTGCTTACAGTTTTATGAATGTTTTCGTTTTAGATGTCTTGCAAAAACCCCAAACAATAGGACACCTGGAAAGTTCGCGATTACGCGCCAACGGGTATTAATGCCCGTTATCACGCGTCTAACCAATTAATGCAATAAGTCCGCTCAGTGCATTTTGTACTAGAGCTCAGAACAGTCGTTTAACCTGGTGTCTAGGATCCGTGCCCAAGGTGTGTGGGAGGTATGCATGGGGCAGGACATGGCACAATTCAAAACAGTGAATACTTGTGTGAAATAAGTGCCTCACTTCTGCCTGTAAGCAAAGATCAATTGCAAGTATTATATACTGTGTTGCTGTGAGCTTGAACATACATAAGATAGACATGTTAAATTTTCTGGATGATGAAAACTGGACCGAGTAGATCGAGTCATGTTGAATGGATCTTGCAGTACGTCTGTCTAAACACAGTACTGTTAATGTACCGGTAAGTCTGGATTTTGATGTCTCTACTCTCTAGCACGTCTAGCTAGTGCCAATGCAGCAATTTGTGTCAAAGACATTTACGTGCATCAGTTAGGAATTCCCAACACAACTTCATATAATGCAAGTGGGGTCACAAAACTCTACAATTTGTCATTGGCATTATATAATATTCAGGCCAGTTTGCATTATTACTATACGTACAAGCATCCACGCATATTTAACACGAAAACTTTTTTTGAAAAATCCCATGCTCTTTACGAACCGTGTCACATGACTTGATGACAATGCTGTATTTGTTCAGCGCATCTTCATAAATCTGCCTCATCAAAAGTATAAACTGTTCGTGCTCTTTATGTCAAATTGGAAAACTGTCTTCAAGTGATTTGACTGGGAATTTAAAAGGAGTAAGAAGATGTTGTTCATAAAATGACACCAAACATTAACCCTAAAAGGGCCGGGGCGGAATCCGCCCCCCCCCCTCCCCCGTTTTTCCGCGATAGCTTTTAAAAAAAAAATCGCGACCCAAGCTGTAACAACTTTTGAGCTTGGAGCCTTGCGCATCTTTTGATGCCAAAAACAAGAACATCTTGAGAAATTTTCTAGCGCTAAGCGCCGTGAATACTGAATTTTCATATATACGTCGTGCCCACGGAGCAAAATTACCACTCATACATATGAATAATTAATTAGCCATAATTGCACAACCCTTTGACGTATAGTCATGAAATTTCTTGGGTATGTTTATGAACAGTTGCTCTATGCATTTACTGAGTTTCAAAATTTTCGTCACTCGATGGCCGAGATCTTAGTGGGGGGGGGGGCGGAATCCGCCGCCCCCCCCCCCCCCCCCCCGGCAGAGAGATGGTCAAAATAACCCGGCCCTTTTAGGGTTAAGATTTAAACATAGTAAAAGTTAAATGCAACTCAGTACTTTATATGTCAAGTATGGAACTTGGACGAATTTTGGTAACACAATCTGCTCATGACCATGGAAAATTACCCTCCTGGTTTAACTTCTGCATTCATAACTTAATAATCAATTCTCAGGATGTTACCGCAAACTTCCATACGTAAGTGATTGGTTGTCTCATGCACTCTTTGGTATTTTAACAAACGTTGATTATTCTCTTTTTTAATATGAAACGTATATTACAGAAATGTACAACAAATATTTGTGTTTGACTGCAACTAAAACACAACTTAAAAGGGAAACTACATCTGCTCATTTATTTTCTTCGTTGAACACCATATTGATTTAACAAACTAACAAGTTTGTTTCTTTTCCTTTCCAGCCTTCCTGACTTAATTTCCACAGTTGATGTTGGTACATGTGCAGAAGAAACCATGGATATTTTACCCCAAGGATCCCGTTCAATCGGATACAATGGCATCCCGTCAAGCGATTACAAGAACATTAATACCGCAGGAACATTATCAAATATACATTACCACAGTGCGGGAACAGGTATTGCAGGAACAGGTACCACGGGAACTAACAAAGGAACATTACCCCCGGCAACATTGCCACAAAAAACATTATACCATGGTCACTTTACCACCGGAACATTTACAACAGGAAATTTACCACAGGAACAATAACAACGTACGCAACATTCTAAAACTCGCGTATTGCGTTCATATCTCCATTCTGCAACAAAGTCGTATCTCGCACGAATACGCTCCGTGCAAAAAAGGTCGTATCTCGACGTCCATTGACTTTGCGTAAACATCCGGGTTATTTTAAGCGAGATACGACCATTCTAAAACTCGCGTTTTGCGTCGTTCATGCCATTTTAGGAGATACGACCTTGTTGCACTGACGCGACGATTTGTAATTTTCTTTTACAAAACACGGATTTCCCGAAACCGAGAAGCCTACTTGACCTGTTTATAATCGATAAGGCGTTGGGTCGTTCCAACATATTGACACGGACTTATCAATGTCTTTGGAAACACAATCGGCCTATATTATAGACTACGAACTAGTTCAGTACATTTACTCTTTTGCGCTAATTGACAACATCAACTTATAGTCCTACTCTTGTCAATCTGGCACTCACACTGGCGGATGTACTTTTATATTGTTCTCATCCCAAAAATTGGTTTTTCAGGGGCGCCCTATATTGCCTATTGTTCAGCATGTGCGTGCAGATAAATCGGGATATGGGAAAAGGAATATAAGAAAGCGATCTTAAAACCACGGCAAGTTTATGAAACTAGGTAAGCGATAACTTGTACAAATAACGGGGTTATTTATAGCGAAATCGACTTACATGGTTTGTACACTTGCACTTGTTTGTGAACTTTTGAAACCGGGATTTTCCTAACTTGAGTAGGTAACTCCACACTCGGTATGATAGATGATTGGGTCAACATCAAATACACGTTGTTATTGGTGACTTGAGTAGCTTGGCAGCAAAATGACAACAGACACATCAAGGACCTATCCAAGACACAACTAGCAATGGCACACAAGTACTTTAATTGCATGAAACTTTCTCGTTTTCGTAAATTGATTGTCCCCTTTAATGACAGGCTTTAGTGAAAGTGTGGGCACAGCAGCCTACACCTGGCACCCAATAGCAGGGTAGGCCTATATAAATAATTTTAAGACACTCAAGGTGACGGGTAAAGATTAAAAGTAGTATTGTAAGAAGTATAACATAGCTTCGGCAAATGGCATGGTGAAAGGACAATTTATGACCTACAGGGGCCGATTTAGTTTTTCGATCATTGTCATATTAAATGTAACCGTTTTCATTGGTAAGAAATATTGCAATTAATTTTTTTTTACATTTCGTGATGAAACGCATTAGCTTACATTTAAGACTAGAATATGTATCACATGTAATCTTGCCAGTGGGGTAAAAGAGGAACACAATGTTTGATTAACATTGACTTATTGTGTTTTGTTTGACCTTAACGATTTGCGAGTAGATAGAGGAGTATTCTAAGACTAATATTATTAAAATACAAGTCTCAAGGGCTAGGGCCCTTAGCAACTTGGATGCATGAACGTTACTTAGATAAACTAGGTACAAACGTTTGAAAAGGGATAGACATGTACAATTTTTAAGAGGAAAGCCAGTGCTAGTCAGTGACATGTCTCGGGTATCTGGCGGCCAGACTAGTCCATCCCGGCAACGCCGACCCGCCTCCGTTTGAAGACAACGAACCGCTGTTAAAGGTTACATGCAAATATGCAATCCACACTTGCCAAAACAGGAAGAAAAAAATCCGATTTGTCCGCCTTGTCTGTACGCATATTATAAGCATCGTATTTTGAGCCAACTGGTCTCGCAATGAAATATATATAGTTGAAAATCAACTGTGAGCGAACAGGTCCTACGCCAGTTTCTGAATGACCCATGACTATTTAAGCGCAGACGCTATTTGAAAAAAATTTCTGAAAATAAATCTTAACTGGCATGGGCTCCGCCAGTTTTTTTTTTTTCAGAGGGGGGGGGGGGGGGGGGGGGGGGCAAAGCTCTTACCGGAAGGCATGAAGTGTTGGATCGAACATTGCACTGACCATCATAGCTGCCACTGCTGCCGTGGAAATCTTGCACTAGTGATAATATGGCAAAGTGGGGCATTTGGCATAACTTTTCTATATACTTTTTGGTGCTTGATACTTTAGTACCAAGATGGCAAGATTTATCGTCTTAAAGATTGTATTTGCGCATTAGGCCCCCTTTTTCCCAAACTTCTTGCTCTCTGACTTGCATTTTCTCAATTTGTCATTTTTGTGTGGGCAGGCTGGCATTGACACCCCAGCGGACGCCCATACTGTTAAATGTGCGACGCCCCAGGGGTACTGGAATGACAACTATTGCATGCTCCAATGACTCGATTCTTAGGGAAACACAACCTTCTTATCCCCAATTTCCTTCGCGCGGTGATCATACAAAAACAGCACATGTCTATGATAGGTTTGTGAACGGTCAAATATACCTGTTAGCAATCGTTTCAACAACATGCATTATCATTTCATAGTGAATTGTGTATTCTGTGCATTTTCTCGATTGTGCTTTTTTGTACAGTTTTGATCGCACTTGCTCATAGCTGTTTGTCAGTGTAATGATGTTCAGCTGGGAATGAGCGCAGCTTGCTTGACTAGTAGAAGGTGAGTCCGGTGCCGTGCAGCTTGTCCTTAATGAGGGCGTCCATGGCTTCGTTCTGTGCCACAGTGAACCAATCTTTCCAACCCCCAACGTTGCCTGTTGAGAAAAAAACAACACCATTAGGACAATGGATGTAGTCAGCAACAGTTCCAATTAAACCCAAAACACAATCAACCTCGTCCCAAGTGCTTATACATTATTTCCAACCTCGTTTGTAATAGTATGCCCTGGATAGGTAACTTTCTTCCTGTATCCCGAGGTGATCCTGCAATTGGCAAATAATGGATTTATATCGTGTACTTGGTGCTGTTATTTCCAACGTGCATTACGTGTCTTCACGTTCATTTGAATTATTACGTCCACACCTTCCCCCCCCAAAATCATTTTCTTTCCAATTTGCTCATTTTAATATGAAATGTGATACTGCATATTGGCTGGAAAAGATTGTAACATTTTCACTTTGAAACAAAAATGTGTTAAGGTAACTCACGCCGCGACAATTTGATTCTGTTTTACCCCAGACACCGCATACAAAAACAAACGCTAACGTAAAGCACAGGCCGGTACCAGGCTAATCCAAATTTGCATACCTGTTTAAAATTTTGCACATGCAAATGATCCAATACCAGGATGAGAGAGCAGTAGTGGTGGGCGCTTACTGCTCGACACCATGGGAACTGTTTTGACAGTAAATGGATTGGTCAACAGACAACAAATTTTAAACGAAGCGATTATCGCGGAGAATCAACAGTTAATATGCAGCATTTTCTCACAGTTCCCACAAACATTTCCCTTATGAACCCAACAATGTATATTAAACTGCCCTTTCTATTTTTTAAGTAAAAGCCGGTTTGAATATACTTTAATGGCGTAAAACCGAACTCAAACTCGAATTTCCAAGCGAGTGTTGGGTTTGGTCAATTTCCCTTCGCATTCGCGTGTAGTTCGAACAGGTCTAAAACAACGGGGTCTACCCAATGTTCCCAAATACATATATGTTCCCCAAAATCCCTAAAGGGTTAGGGTTAGGGTTATAGGGTTTGGGGAACATAGGTATGCACTTTCAACAAGTACCTTTTCGCATAAAGGTACCTCCTGTTTTTATGCTGTGCGGGTACAGTGTGTCCATGTCTGTCATGGGGTTCTTCTTCATGTTGCTGAACGTGCAGTGCTCCGTAATCGCATCCAGTATCTCGGCTGACAGGTTCTTGCCCAGAAACAGACTGACCCTCTCGATATTACCTCGCAGATCCTGAATGAGAAATTGGATTGTATTTAATTTGTTACAACTGATAATGTAATAACCAACCGATAACGTATGTATACAACAATTGACCAATACCGTATCATTAACCGATTATGTAACGAAAATTTACCGATAGTGTAGTAGAATGTGCTACACTATCAGTTAATTTGTGTTACATTATCAGTCCTAACCGATAATGTAACAAAACCTTACTTCACTGTTAGTCAATTTTTGTTTTGTCGGTTAATTGCTATTATAGTACCGATTGGTAATACGTTATCCGTTGGTTATTACATTATCGTTTGTAACACAAATATTCACAGGTTGTCACATGTAAGTCTCAGATTATAAAATCAGTCACCAGTTACATCTAAGCTCACGTGAAGTGACGCCTCGTTGAACTGTCATTAAAGTGACGTATCATCAAATGTTTTGTCATGTTCATACTCGTGACCTGACTAGTCATTGACTTAACTTTGATCTAACTTTGATAACAAAATAATCGTCAATGTTTAGACAAATTGACGAATCTGTCCAAAACCGGTTTTAGAATATTCTCACAGTTTATGAAATTCCGCTGGTCGCAGGTTCAAACCTCCTCCGGTCAATTTCGTTACCATTTTAGATAATTTTACTACATAAATTCAGTTTGTTAAACTGTGTTTTAAACATATATATAATAAAACAAATAAATCGTTTAAAACGTTACCCTCGACAGGTTCTTGTAATTTTGGGTGGTATTGGAACATCGACCAATGAAGATGTATAGGTTTGTACATGCAAATAGTAGGTAAGTATACAGTCTTGTTACGATGTGGCCCATCAGGTTGGCGTTTATCTCCAGTTTCAGTAGCTAAAACGACTGAGAATAGTTCTACTCTTCCTGTGTGGGATGCTAGTCCATTACAGGTTATTGCCAAGCTAATGGGTGAAGAGAGGCAAGTGGGGATGAGATGGCTTGCCCGAGGACACAATTATGGCCAGCAGCTGGAATCGAACCCCTGACCCTGTGATCATAAATCACAGATCCTATAAAGGCCACACTCCCTAACACTGTACATGTATGAATGAAATGCAGGGGTTACCTTTCCCGGTCATCGACCTTTCGTAGAGGTCCGCAAAAGATTTCTCAGCTTTCTCCGGATCAAACATCTTCTCGAAGTGGAAGAAGGACACAATCACGTCCTTTGGGTCGCGGATAACGTAGACAAGCTTGGAATGTTTCTGCCACAGCTGCGGGGGCAGGAGTTGACCTGGTAGATGCGACTTAATGACCCGGGGTGATGGCATCTCAGCCACGATCTTCGGAATGGGTGGCATCTGTAGACGACATTTCAGAGACCAAAAAAACCCCAACAAAGTGACAATAGTGTTTAGCAAACACATACCAAGTGGTGCAACCCACGGCGGCCGGATAACGTGTGGAGACGGCTTACGGCACATCCGTGCGCACATGCAGGCCGTACCGGTACCTCGAGAGTAGAGAATACAAAAACCAATGGGGCATGATCTAAAATGCAAAAATATGCGAATTTGAACCATTAGCATCAGTGTTATCAAAACCGGCCTTCCTTAGCAGAGCTGTGATACTCGAGTTGCATGAATACATTATATGGCCGTCCACCAACCAACCAACCAACCAACCTACTCACCCACCCGCCGACCAACCATCCAAATGACATAAGAAGCTCAAGCCCACGGCATGTTTCACATCTAATCTAACACAAAAGTATGGCCGTCTAATGCCTGTGTTGGGATAACTCTTTAACTATTGTATTAACACTGTTAAGACTATGACTGATAAGATTATTAAATAAGAGAGAACATTGCTTGAATTTACACAAACGATTTAGAAGTACAAAAACGATGTAAGAAGTGAAAAGATTAAGTGTTTTCCATTTGCAAACTTGCCTAGAAAGCGTTGCTTGGATATAGCTTTTTTTATTAAATAATCCCAGGGGAGGATCCATGATCCCAGTATTGCGGACAGGCATATATATATGTCTTATAATATTTGTCGTGTGTGCTCAGATTGCGACTCCCCTCCACTTGAAACTAAGGCAAACCTAGGTTCTAAAATTCTTTAAAACAATTTCCATTTAGAGAGGGATTCGATGATATTTTGCTCTACCCTAAGGGGATTAAAATATTGTTTTAAGGGCGTGGAAATTCACTGGATCATCTGAAAGCGTTCCAGATTTCGGACAGTTTTTCTGTAAAGAAGACCCAGTAAAGTAGACCCAGGGGGAGCTCGAGGGAAGGGTCTGTCATGACGCAATGGGAACGAGGTTGAGACCCCCTTGTTCCGCCTCCATGCATCCCCACACAATTCGGGCGAGTCGCAATGCAGTGCTCCACCCAGAGTTTGCCACGCAGAATTCCCCTTTTCTCCAGTGCATTGTGGTAGATGGTCCACAAATTCGCAATTCGCAGCTCGGTACATTTGAAATTGTTCATTTTTCCGCCCAGCAGTTTCGTAAGCGTATGATTCGAGTATCTGTTTCCCCATTTCTTTTCATTTTATCGATATGGTGTTTTTTTGTAAGGCGGCAGATGCCCCAATCTATGACATATTAGCTCAAGTTTTCTACTGACCTCATTCAAATGGGCCATGTTTTGTCGACCGTAAACCTGAAAAAAATGGACTCTCCAATGCAAACTCTTGGTGGTGCAGTCATTTTGAATCGCCCGAATTAGAAACGACATTGATGTGAACCTACACTTTTCCATTGTCGTGCTCGCGCAGGAATCGTCTGATCAATGTACGGCACACGGAATATGGTATGCCTCCCGTTAACTGCTTCCAGGTTCCCGTCATGCATCACGCAGGACACAATCTCTTGCACCCAAGTTGTACCTGTTCAAAATAGTTTAATGAAATGAATATGAAAAGTGTAACACATTGCTACGTTAAATTACGTTCAAACAAACACTGAAAAAAGGTGGATAAAACACTGTAGGGTATGTTATTTGCCCAATATTGGGAAGTATTAATTAGCCGAAGCGTGTCGGCATTTGGTATATGTGACTTGCCGTATCAATATGAGGAATAACCCCCACCTTTGGCTTTTCACGTTATGTACATCATGCTAAACGCAATTCTGATAATTGGCTTTCCAATGATACAAAATTTACTTCTGTATCTTTATTTATTCCAACGATATGCCGCAGGAACTTCAACAGTGTCCTGCCAAATTTCAATAACCTCATTTCAAGAAAAACGGCTTTGAAAACAAAGACATACATTTCGCCGCCAACGACAGTGAAAAACATTATTCCGTTTTTCCACTTTTGTTGGTATTTTTTTTCTCCATTTTCCAACGAAAATGCATAGTGTGTATACCGAGACACGTTGGTTATTCAAAAATACAAAACAATCAATATAGATTTTGACACGATTTTTCTAGAATATCCGACTCCAGGCATCCATTGCTCAAAACAGTTAATGGGGGACATTCCTCATTTTGCCTTAGTAGGTCACATATTGAATAATAATTGACAAAATACCAAGCAATTTGCAGATAGAGTAACACAGAATGCTAGGCAACAATTTGATACAAATAGTGGATATTTATGAGTGCAATTTTTATATTACTTTCATGAGATGACAGACAAAATATTCCATTCCTCGGTCGCGAAGCCGAGCGGAATGGAACATTCTATCTGTCACCGAATGCTATTATTATTACCATTGCACGAATTGAAATAGTTTTTATTTGTTTTATACAAGCCTTAAATTAACCTTTGTCGTGTGATTGGTAGCTTATAAACTGTTACTATTAATGTACAACATCAGAGCTGTGTTATAGCGCAACAATAATGCGACTGCGCAATAGAAGTTATATTCACCTTGGAGTGGAACTTCTATTTTTTTTTTTTTTGGCAGTGTGGTCGTACCGCGCGTTGGGACAATAATGCAATGACACAGGATTAGCGACCCGTCAATCATATTACGGGAATGTATTAAGGCGTTGTTTAACACAGAGTTTCTCATGATGTCGTCACCGTTTTCAAGAAGAGGCGAATTTAGTATTTCACTGTCTGAACAAACATTCGAGATAATCGCGTTTAAAGTTGATCCTTTATTCATCCGACAATTTGAAACTTAAAGATGCATAAAATATGCCAGATTTAGGTATCAGAGGAAAGAAGAGCTTCTAATCTTCCTAGATGTAGCAAACTTTAAGAAAATTAGGTGATTAGTTTTGCAGAATTAATCAATTAAGAGAAGTGGCTGTTCGTGAAAACGAAAAAAAAAATAGACCAATTAGCAACACATTTCTCAAAACGTATTCATTAAAACATTCATATAAATCTAAAGATAAAATGGAATTTGCATCGGGGCGATGAGTATTCAATATTTGGTGTTTGCCCTTCATTAACAAACCTGCTTTGGGATATGTAACGACCCAACAGTCATCTTCTCTGACGTCATACGTCTTGAGTTCCTTAACCACCTCGTCTACTTCTGGGAATAGAGGCACTCCTTCGTAATCGCTTAGAACTCGAGGAAACTCGTCCGAAAACCGTCGGCTCAAAACTTCCCTAACTACAAGACAAAATAATATAAAAGTTGCTCCCCCAAAAAAATAATAATAATAAACTTTTGCAAGCAGATATCCCTTAATTTCTCAACAAGTTCCAAAACATAACTACTCCATCTTGATGGAGCATAATCAATTATACGTTTGGGTATATTCAGTTAAAAATGTCATGGAAATCCGTTTATGCAAACAAGAAATCTATCAAGGCCATGGGTTTTGCACCCATTCCAATGAGATGGGATTTCCCGGCCACAGTGAACTTAATTACATCAGAGTTAAAAGACCCATTACAATCCGAACCACTGATATCACTTACTGTGTTAATCCCATTGAAAAGAGTGAAACCCATAGCCTTTTATACAATCTGTTAAATCTCTGGTTTTCCTAAACGGATATCTGTGGATTTTCAATGATTATACACAAGAGTATAATTATTATTGAAGGATATCTGCTTGCACAACTTTTTTGGGGACACCCTGTAATTGTTTGGGGAAAGACACACAGTATATTGTATTCTCACTATTGACACACCTTATCATCTGCCCGTTTTATTGGTTTAAGGTTATGCGACATTATTGTGTTCATTAGAAACACATCGGGTTCCTACGGAGCTCTGGAAGTGCCATCCGACTTGTTCAGATACTGACTTATTTTATCTCCAGATGACGACCAAATACTGGCAAGATGACGACATCCTGATATAATTTGTTAGGGATGACGACATCCTCAAAGTAGGATGATGACATCTCGTCGTAATCTAATATTGCATGACGACATCCTGAAAATCGGGATGACGACATCTTAAGACAATCTCTTCTGGCATGATGATATCCTGAGATAGTTTTTTTAGGGCATGACGACATCCTGAAAATAAAAATAAGGACATCCTGAGATATTACGGGGTGCATTGAATCCATCATGGGAACGCACAGACATCATGACCTCTCATCATCAAATAAATACCATGTATATACAGCGATGGGGTGAATTGGATACAAGCCACACGTCCACCTGTGCGTTTTGAAGATGGCTTCAATACACCCTGTGATAAATGATGTCACGATGTCGTCACCCAGCTTCCAGGATGGCGTTATCCCATAACAAACTATCTAAGGATGTTATCATCCTACATTCAGAATCTCGTCATCCCATAATAAATTATTTCAGGATGAAGTCATCTTACTTTCAGGATGTCGTCATGCCATAATAAATTATATCAGGATGGCGTCATCCTATTTTCAGGATGTCGTCATCCCCTAATAAAGTATCTCAGGATGTCGTCTTCCTCAATTTAGGATGTCGTCATCCCCTAATAATTTATCTAAGGATGTCGTCATCCTACTTTTAGGATGTTGTCATGCTATAATAAATTATATCAGGATGTCGTCATCCTATTTCCAGGATGTTGTCGTCCCATAATAAATTATCTCGCGATGTCGTCATCCTACTTTCAGGATGTCGCCATCCCCTAATAAATCATCTCAGGATGTCGTCATCTTGCCTGTATTACGTCGTCATCCTGAGATAAAGTAAGTCAGTATATGGACAAGTCAGATGGCACTTCCAGAGTTCCGTATGTTCCTTCGCCAAGTTGCTACGGACGCAACATTGAAACAAACAAAAAACCGTCAACGGTCGACGTAACAATACAAGAAAACATGTTGATTCTTGAATGCCCAAATTGACACTGACACACGGCAACAGGTGATTTCACTTTAAGGGACAAAAAAAGAGAAAAACATCAACAAGTGTTGTCCATCCCAGGCCTGTGGTGTATACTTACATTCCTCGAGAGTTACATATTTTTCCATGACGATCCAGGGGGCCAAAATCAATCCTACGCGGATGCATATAAAACAATACAGTACATTTAATGCTTAGGTTGGTCGGCAATATACAAATATAACGTGGTTTGAGGGTGGACAGTCGATATTCGCTCCCCGAGGTACTTGAAGTTGACAAACTAGTTTGTCAATACCGAGGGGAGTTAATATCTGCTGTCTACCCGAAATAAACCATGTTATATTTGTTTTACTATACCATACATATTCAGCGCCGGTTTTTTTCGTTGCAGTATGCACCTCAAATTGTTTTTTTTTTTGAAAAACATGTCCAGTTCACCAAAAGAATCGTATTGATCAACTTCACTAGTTCTGTTCGTTTACAGTACAGTGCAGCTGTAAATAGAGTAGTTTGTTGTACGACATTCTTTTGTACAACATTCTTTTGTACAGGATGCATCTTTATTGTCCATCAATATATTCTTGTTCGGCATCATTGAGCTCGGGAAAATAACGCGCCGTGCAACCATCTCTTTGTGTGTAGCTCGTTTGGGCGATGTTCGCGCGTGCGTACTACATCCGTGCGACAGTTCCACGATTGCTTTGTAAAGCGCATGCGTAGAGGACTGTGGTAAACAGCAAAAATATCATCTGGCTCGTGATGGTGAATTGACCAGTGAGATTTCGGCTCTCGATTATGAATATATATGAGGTATAGTAATTTCAATTAAAAACATCATTGAACATTCAGCATCATCACCATATAAAGTGGAACAAACCAGTCTCGAGAGTGTTATATTTATGTGCATCAAACTTACGGACATACTAGTTCTGGTCAGCCGTGTGCGTTGAATTGTTTTCAAGAGCTAATCTTTGTACCTGCAGGCATTTGCAACTGTTCAACTGAATTAAGTCATTGTATATAATTATTTTTAGAAAGGTTATCGTCATTGAACTTTGGAGTAAAATATATTAGAGCAAGGGTCATTTATTTTTAAGCCAGGGGTCTTTTTTTTTTTGGAAATGACCATTGCAAGTGTTTAGTGGGTACTTTTTGAAAGGTTACAGCTTGAGGAATTTGAATTGGCTAGTCTTATGGTTACCTGGCGGTGGACCTGGATGCCAGGGGCAGATAAGTGACGTCACATAAGCAGTGTTTACCCTTACAAAAATGTCCCATGACGAAGCCATGGGATCCCCATGGGACCCCATGGGGAACCTATGGGAATCAAATGGATACACATGGTGGTTTCTTAAAACACCATGGAGATCTCTTAAAACACCATGGTGTCCCATGGAAACACCATGGTGTCCCATGGGAACACCATGGACAGCTAAAGAAACGCCATGGTGTCCCTTGGGAACACCATGAGCAGCTACAGTAACCCCATGGCACCACCATGTGGTCTCATGGTGGTCTCTTTGAATACATGGTGGTCTCTTAAAACACCATGGCGATCTCTTAAAACACCATGGTGTCGCATGGGAACACCATGGACAGCTACAGAAACGCCACGGTGCCCCATGGGAACACCATGAACAGCTACTGTAAACCCATGGCACCACCACGTGGTCTCATGGAGGTCATTCTAAATACAATGATGGTCTTTTAAAACACCATGGTGGCCCATCTAACGCCATGTCTAGTCAAAGTAATCACGCCATGATGTACCATGGGAACACCATGGACAGCTGTTGTAACACCATGGCACCACCATGAGGTTTCAAAACCACCATTAAAGCAGGTCCACCATGAAATGTTGGGGTGACCACCACGGGGGCCATGGTGACCAATGGCATCGCCAAGGAAATGCTTTTCTACTCAACGGATTTGCGCCCATGGGGAAATACCATAGGGATTAACACCATGGGATCGATGAACACCATGGGAACGATGAACACCATATGGTGATGAACACCATGGGGATGAACACCATGGGGATGAACATCGATGAACACCATGGAGATGAACACCATGGGAACACCATGGGGATGAACATCATGGGAACACCATGGGGATGAACACCATTGGAACACCATGGGGTGCACCATGAGACCTTTTTTGAAGAACTGTGTCAATTTTGAGTGTTCTAAATGCATTTTATTTTAAATTTTGCTATTGATAATGTAAGTCAAATGAAGAATGCAGTCTATTTTTATGTGGAGATTTGGCCGATAAAAATACTGTGGCTAATTTTCATTCATTTATTATTATTGAAAACAATTTATTATCAAAAATAATTAGGATGCTGTGATTTTATGGTACAACCTTACAGTGTAATTAAGAGTTGTATCGGTCTACAATGAACAGTTTTATGCAAGTATTTATTTTCCGATGAATTTGTGGACCTTTTCGGTGTTTTTTAATTGCATATTTCATAAATAAAAAATCACACAAAAATCCAGGCGGCCTCCAAAAAGGAAGCGTGCGGGGATGAGAAACGTGTTTGTTTTTTACTTCACCTAATTTGTCACAATACCCATCTGTATATTTGCATTTGCAAACTTTAAAAAATACGATAGTTATGATTACCAACCAATATACAATGTACTTATCACTAAAACTCAAATATTAAGAATTCACCCACATAAAACATCCATGTACATGTACAAACATTGCCCCAATATGTGCTGAACAGTACATGTACATGTACATAAAGCCCATGCATACTTACATGTATATTGCAGGGTACACTGTATCGATCCCACAACCATATGTGTAACCTTACCGCCCTGTGCAGTGCGTGACCCGTATAATTATGATCCATGCGTGTTTCCATGTACAGTGTGCATTATCCATGCAGGGGTCACGTTCTGCACTTGCAAGGTCACCCACAACACGGATCCTACACACAAGGATTAACGACTCGGCCAAACTCCTGGTTATATACTTGTGATATTACGGCCCGTACTGGTGGCAAATACCATGAATACGGAGGCTTTTTTTGGGGGGGGGTTATTGCAAATGTTGGCACTAACAGCTTTCGTAGCTTTCAGATTTGCAAGGCTTTGCGCCCGATCTGGCCTCAAAATTTGTCAAGCCAGCAAATTAAATTTTTTAATATTCATGAGTCTACGTTTTTGGTCTTTATTATTGAATTCTGATAAGTGATAACCCTAACTAACCATGGTAATGCCATGCCGAGCACAATATGTTCAGCTTTCAGATGAACAATGAAATGTCGCTTTTGTTTCATCGGTTCGCCATCTTATTTCTCTAAAAGCCTAATTAAAAACAAATTTTGGGTAAACGGTGTTCTCCTCGAAATTTGACGTTGATTTCCCGGGTAAATACTTCATCTACGACGACAAAAACTGCACAATATACCATCTGTTATATCCTGAAGTATTTATTTTTAAACAATTTTGGAACAATTAAATCTTAAATAAGGAGTAGTTTTCCTTACAGTTTTATGAATATTTTCGTTTAAGATGTCTTGAAAAAACCAACACAATAGGACACCTGAAAAGTTTGCGATTACGCGCCAACGGGTATTAATGCCTGTTATCACGCGTCTAACCAATTAAGGCAAGTCCGCTCAGTGCATTTTGTACTAGAGCTCGAACAGTCGTTTATCCTGGTGTCTAGGATCCGTGCCCACACTAAGTGTGTGGAAGGTATGCATGGGGCAGGACATGGCAGAATTCAAAACAGTGAATACTTGTATGAAATAAGTGCCTCACTTCTGCCTGTAAGCATAGATCAATTGCCAGTATAATATACTGTGTTGCTGTGAGCTTGAACATACATTAGATAGACATGTTACGTTTTCTGGATGATAACTGGACCGAGTGGATCGAGTCATGTTGAATGGATCTTGCAGTGCGTCTGTCTAAACACAGTACTGTTAATGTACCGATAAGTCTGGATTTTGATGTCTCTACTCTCTAGCATGTCTAGCTAGTGCCAATGCAGCAATTTGTGTCAAAGACATTTACGTGCATCAGTTAGGAATTCCCAACACAACTTCATAGAATGCAAGTGGGGTCACAAAACTCTACAATTTGTCATTGGCATTATATAATATTCAGGCCAGTTTGCATTATTACTATACGTACAAGCATCCACGCATATTTAACATGAACACTTTTTTCTAGCGCTAAGCGCCGTGAAAACTGAATTTTCATATATACGTCGTGCCCACGGAGCAAAATTACCACTCATACATATGAATAATTAATTAAATAATGAAAGGTTTGCGGAAACACCATGTGCGAATAATTTCTCAACTAAGAGAATGGTTCTGAAAAGAACCAGAGGTATAAACTCGACGTTCCGGTCAGTATGCTCTGACCGTCTTCAGGAGAGTGCCTAAACTCTAAGAAAGTGAATACTTAAGTGGCAAAAGGGGAATCAATGGAGTGTGAAGTTGCATCCTGTGCAAGTTGCATCCTGTGAAGTTGCATCCTGTGAGGATGCCAAGTAGACAGGATCCCTGAGCAAGCTTAGTACCCACTGAAGTGGAACAGTAGGGTTGCAGTGTCAGTAGAGGGAGGACCTAGGGTATAGGAGACCCATCAGTCTAAGATATTAGCTGAGGACCTAGGGTATAGGAGACCCATCAGTCTGGTGTTTCCGCAAACCTTTCATTATTTAGTATCTCCACCATGCAAAGCCTCAAATCTTAATAATTAATTAGCCATAATTGCACAACCCTTTGACGTATAGTCATGAAATTTCTTGGGTATGTTTACGAACAGTTGCTCTATGCATTTACTGAGTTTCAAATTTGTTCGTCACTCGATGGCCGAGATCTTAGTGGGGGGGGGGGGGGGCGGAATCCGCCGCCCCCCGGCTGAAAGATGGTCAAAATAACCCGGCCCTTTTAGGGTTAAGATTTAAACATAGTAAAAGTTAAATGCAACTCATTACTTTATATGTCAAGTATGGAACTTGGACGAATTTCGGTAACACAATCTGCTCATGACCATGGGAAATTACTCTCCTGGTTTAACTTCTGCATTCATAAATTACATACAACTAGTCATTTTACAGGATGTTACCGCAAACTTCCATACGTAAGTGATTGGTTGTCTCATGCACTTACTCTTTGGTATTATTACAAACGTAGATTATTCTTTTTTTTATGAAACGTATATTACAGAAATAAGAAATAATTGAGTTTGACCGCACCTAAAACACAACTTAAAAGGGAAACTGCATCTGCTCATTATTTTCTTCGTTGAACACCATATTGATTCAACTGACAAAGTTGTTTCTTAATTCTTTTCTTTTCCAGCTTTCCTGACTTAATTTCCACCATTGATGCTGGAACACGTGTAGAAGAGACCCACCCCAAGGATCCCGTTCAATCGGATGCAGTGGAATCCCATCAAGCGATTACTACAAGAACATTAATACCGCAGGAACATTATCAAATATACATTACCACAGTGCAGGAACAGGTACTGCAGGAACAGGTACCGCAGGAACTATACAAAGGAACATTACCCCCGGCAACATTGCCACAAAAAACATTATACCATGGTCACTAAACCGCAGGAACATTTACCACAGGAAATTTACCACAGGAACAATAACAACGTACACAATATTCTAAAACTTGCGTTTTGCGTTCATAACTCCATTCTGCAACAAAGTCGTATCTCGCGCGAAGACGCTTCGTGCAACATGTGAAATATATAGTTGAAAATCAATTTTAGTGCGGACGCTATTTGAAAAACTTTCTGAAAAGAAATCTGTACTGGCATGGGCTCCGCCAGGATTTTTTTAAAGGGGGCAAAGCTCTCACCGGAAGGCATGAAGAGTTGGTTCGAAAGTTGCACTGACCATCATAGCTGCCACTGCTGCCGTGTGTATCTTACACTAATGATAATATGGCAAAGTGGGGCATTTGGCATAACTTTTCTATATACTTTTTGGTGCTTGACACTTCAGTACCAAGATGGCAAGATTTATCGTTTTAAAGATTTTATTTGCACATAAGGCCCCCTATTTCCCAAACTTCTTGCTCTCTGACTTTCATTTTCTCAATTTGTCATTTTTGTGTGGGCAGGCTGGCATTGACACCCCAGCGGACGCCCATACTGTTAAATGTGCGACGCCCCATGGGTACTGGAATGACAACTATTGCATGCTCCAATGACTCGATTTTTAAGGAAACACAACCTTCTTATCCCCAATTTTCTTCGCGCGGTGATCATACAAAAACAGCACATGTCTATGATAGGTTTGTGAACGGTCAAATATACCTGTTAGCAATCGTTTCAACAACATGCATTATCATTTCATAGTGAATTGTGTATTCTGTGCATTTTCTCGATTGTGCTTTTTTGTACAGTTTTGATCGCACTTGCTCATAGCTGTTTGTCAGTGTAACGATGTTCAGCTGGGAATGGGCGCAGCTTGCTCGACTAGTCAAAGGTGAGTCCGGTGCCGTGCAGCTTTTCTTTAATGAGGGCGTCCATGGCTTCGTTCTGTGCCACAGTGAACCAATCTTTCCAACCCCCAACGTTGCCTGTCGAGAAAAAAAAATCATAGAAGTCAGCAATAGTTCCAATTTAACCCGAAACACAATCGCTTCAACATCGTCCCCAGTGCTTATACTTTATTTCCAGCTTCGTTTCCAATAGTAAGCCGTGGGTAAGAAACTTTCTTCCTGTATCCAGATCCGATACCGCAATTGGTAAGCAATGAATCTATATCATGTACTTGGTGTTGTGCATAACGCGTTTTAACGTTCATTTTCATTATTACGTCCACTCCTTCCCAAAAATACTTCTTTTCTTTCTCAATTTGCTCATATTATAATGGAAATGTGATACTACATATTCGCTGGAGAAGATTGTGACATTAAAACTTTGAAAAAAAAATAAAGCCGTAGTTAGGCCTACCGAACTCACGCCGCGACGAAAACAAACGCATACAGAAACAAACGCTAACGTAAAGCACAGGCCGGTATCAGACTATTCCTAAATTGCATACGTATTTTGCACAAGCAGATGATACAATACCAGGATGAGAGAGCAGTAGCGGTGGGAGCGTACTGCTCGACACCCTGGAAACGAGGTTGCAATCGCTACGTTTGGACAGTAAATGGATTGGTTACAGACAACAATTTTTAAACGAAGCAATTATCGCGGAGAATCAACAGTTAATATGCAGCATTTTCGTTTGTCTCATTATAGTGATATGTATTTCTGTGTGTTGTTTTGAACTCAGTGTGTGATTATTAGTGTAGCCGATAGTGCAGAAATTGTGTCTTTGATAATGGCCGTTATTGCTAGTTTTTTACATATTATTATTTAAAGGACAAAACTGCCGTGGCCCCATAGCGAAAAATCGTTCTTAGGAAAAACTCCGACTATGTGCAAAATGTCATTCGTGTATCATCAAAGGCACAGTTCACACAAACATTTCCCTTATGAACCCCACTATATGTATTAAACAAGGACACTGCCCTTTCTATGGTTCAGATTGGATTTCACAACAACGACATTTTGATAGTAAAAGCCGGTTCGAACTTTAATAGTGTAAAACCGAACGCAAACTCATATTTCCAAGCGATTGTCGGGTTTGGCAAATTTCCCTTCGCATTTGCGTTTAGTTCGAACAGACCTCGACAACGGGGTCTTCCCAATGTTCCCCAAAACCTATGATATCCAAAATCCCTATAGGGTTAGGGTCCCTAACTCTAGGATCATTGGAGAACATAGGTATGCACTTTCAACAAGTACCTTTTCGCATAAAGGTACGTCCTGTTTTTATACTGTCCGGGTACAGTGTGTCCATGTTTGTCATGGGGTTCTTCTTCATGTTGCTGAACGTGCAGTGCTCCTCGATTGCATCCAGTATCGCGGCTGACAGGTTTTTGCCCAGAAACAGACTGACCCTCTCGATATTACCTCGCAGATCCTGAATGAGAAATTGGATTGTATTCAATTTGTTACAACTGATAATGTAATAACCAACCGATAACGTATGTATACAACAATTGATCAATACCGTATCACTAACCGATTATGTAACGAACATTTACCGATATTGAAGTAGAATGTACTGCACTATCAGTTAATTTGTGCTGCATATCAGTCCTAACCGATAATATAACAAACACTTACTACACTATTAGTCAATTTTGTTGCATTGTCGGTAAGTGATACAGTACCGGTCAATTGCTGTTAGAGTACTGGTTGGTGATACATTATCCAGTAATTATTTCATAATCATTTGTAACAGAAATATTAACAGGTTGTCAGATGTAAGTCTGAGATTATAAAATCAGTCATCAGTTTCATCAAAGCTCACGTACAGTGACGCCTAACTGGAATGTCATTGAAGCGACGCATCATTGAAATGTTTTGGGCATTGTTCATACTTGTGACCTGACTAGTCATTGACTTAACTTTGATTTAACTTTGATAACAAAATAATCGTCAATAAACAGACAAATTGACGAATATGTCCAAAACCGGTTTTGGGATATTCTAACATATTATGATGTGCTCTACATAGTCTGCAAAATTTTCAATACAAAAGATTGCACTGTTTATTAAATACTTCCATTAAACAAATTGGCTAACGAGGTATCTCTGCTTTGTTTCATATGTCGTAAGTCGGAAAGCTTCTAGGATTTTTTGTTCTATTGTATCGTGCATGCTACCCTTGCCTGTAAGCGTAATTGCAACTCCCACGTGAAGGGGCAACCGTTTCTACAGAAATTTCTGGTGACGATTTATCAGACAAATATCGATGGAATCATGTTTGCAAAAGAGTGGAATAAAAATAAAACATCTACTCACTTTCTTCAAATCTTCGAATCGCAACAGGAGAACATTCGGTTCGTGTCTTCTCTTCCAAAAGTACAAATAGTGATCCCACCATGCGCCGTACATAACTTTAAAACAACCAAACGAATGGAATGAGGAGACGTTTGTTTTGCACTACCTGCCCATTAATAAGCTTAGATAAAGTAAAATGTAAACGTTGAATAAGTACTGACCGGAGAACGGGTTTCGAACCCGTAACAGTATAATCCAGTGGTCGCAGGTTCAAATCCCCTTCGGTTAATCTCGTTACCATTTTAGATTATTTTACTTCATACATTCAGTTTGGTTCACTGTGTTTTGAATAATAAATAATATAACAAATACATCGTTTAAAACGTCACCCTTAACAGGTTCTTGCAATTTTGTGTGGCATTGGAACGAAGAATGAAGATGTATATATGTTTGTACATGCAAAAAGTAGGTAAGTATTCAGTCATGTCACGATGTGGCCCATCAGGTTGGCGTTTATCTCCAGTTTCTTTAGCTAAAACGACTGAGAATACTACTCCCCCTGGATGGGATGCTAGTCCATTGCAGGTTACTCCCCAGCTATTGCCGTTACCAATTAATACTCCTGGGTAGAGAGAGGCAGGTGGGGATGAAGTGACTTGCCCAAGGACACAACATATGGCCAGCAGCTGGAATCGAACCCCTGATCCTGTGAACATAAGTTACAGATCCTAAAAAGGCCACACTCCTCAACACTGTACATGTGTGGGAAGGCAATAAATGAAATGCAGCAAGAGAGAAATGTGCTCAACCTTTCCCGGTCATCGCCCTTTCGTAGAGATCCGCAAACGATTTCTCAGCTTTCTCCGGATCAAACATCTTCTCGAAGTGGAATAAGGACACAATCACGTCCTTTGGGTCGCGGATAACGTAGACAAGCTTGGCCTGTTTCTGCCATAGCTGCGGGGGCAGGAGCTGACCCGGTAGATGCGACTTAATGACCCGGGGTGACGGCATCTCAGCAACTATCTTCGGAATGGGTGGCATCTGTAGACGACAATTTGGAGACCAGAAAAGGTTACAAAATTGTTGAGCCAAATGGTACATTGTGATTGGTAATGACTGCGTTCAGCTGTGTATGCCTCCCTTGAGCTGTCAAGTGCTTCTACTGGTGAAAATCTATCACTATGGACCGATCCAGTAAGCTCCGCCCAGTGCGCACGTGGGCAAATTAACACGTGCTCCTCTCTAATGTCACGCTGCATTTTTGTTCTGCGCGCATCATACGCGCGCTAGCATGTCAGACTTTAGTGCACGCACGTCGGACATAAATCACGGCTGTGATTGGTCAGAACACAATGGGGCGGTGTTTACTGGATCGGTCCATTGTATTATACTGATGAAAACAATGACTGGTAGGATTAATAGGCATGAGACGATTGCTTGATGTTACCGAAGTAATTTGGAAGCACAAAAAAGCTGTAAAAAATTACAGGATTGAGGGGTTTCAATTTACAAAATTGCCGAAAAAGAGTTGCTTGGAATCTAGCCTTGTTTTTTTTTTTTTATAATCTGTTTTGGTTTTGGTTTGGCAAAAAAAAAATAATTTGTATTGGTAGGGCGGGATCCGAGGATTGTTAACTTTGCCTTATAGGGAGTACAGTATAGTTTAAAGGGCGTGAAAATCGGCACTAAATCATCTAAATAAAAGCATTGCAGTTTTTGGACAGACTTTTTTTTCCTCACGGTATTGGATGGCGGATCGGTGTTCGTTTTTTTGAGTGTATCAATTCGATGTTTTCAAAGGTAAAATGTTAAGATCGTTACTCATAAAACACACAACACTACATATTATTCTAATGACGTAATAATACACAATGAACACAACAATCAGTAGTCTTGTCAAACCTCACCACTGATGAGCTTCAAATTCACAAAATTGTTTACTGGCACGGTTAACATGATACAATTTATGGAAAATCACTTGAACAATGATAACATCACGATTGTTAGCTCAGAACACAAAAAAGGAGAAAAGAGATGTCCGTAAATTGGGATAAAGGTTAGATTAATTACGTTTCTGGGCGAAATATCAAAATCATATCACTTTCACGAAATTTTCTGTTGATTCTGTTAGGATGACTGATCCAGTTTAATACGTTTGTAAATTTTAAGCTCATTTTAATGAAATTTTGGAAAACTACTTGATGATACCAGGTCTGTCATGCCGCAATGGGAACGAGCTTTAAAGCCCCTTTGTTTTGCCCTTATCCCCGCACGCATAATGCGAACGGCACTGAGGTGAACCTACATTTTTCCATTGTCGTGCTCGCGCAGGAATCGTCTGATCAATGTACGGCACACGGAACATCGTAGGCCTCTCGTTAACAGCTTGCAGGTTCCCGTCATGCATCACGCAGGACACAATCTCTTGAACCCAAGTTGTACCTGTTCAAAATAGTTAAAAGTGAAAATGAAAAATGGAGTAGGACATGACTACCTCGAAATACGTTTATGCAAGGTCCCAATCCCTTCAACATACTGGGCGGGCTCATCCCCGAACGGTCTGGGGAGGGATTCTAATTTGAGTGCTCGCTAACCCTGAAAAAGGGTGTGTAAAATACTTTTGGCTATGTTTAATTTGCCCAATATTGGGAAGTATTAGCCCAAGCGTGTCAGCAGTTAGTATGTATATGAATAACTATGGACACAATACCCACTCACTTGCCAAATGGTTTGTGCAGTGTAGCACGGAATGTTAGGCAACAGTAATATACAAATAATGGATGTTGATGAGTGCAATGGTAATATTACTTTCATAAGATGACAGACGGAATGTTCCATTCCTCGATCGCGAAGCCGAGCGGAATGGCAGATTCCATCTGTCACCGAGTGGTATAATTATTACCATTGCACGAATGTGAAACATTCCTTGTTTTATACAAGGCCTCAATTAACATTCGTTGTCCGATTGGTAGCTTATAAACTGGTACTATGAATGTTCAACATCAGAGCTGCGTTATAGCGCATCAATAATGTAACTGTGCAATGGAAGTTATATTTAGCGTGGAGTGGAACTTTTTTTTTTTGCGGTGTGGTCGTACCGTGCGTTGGGACAATAATGCAATGGCACATGATTAGCGACCCATCAATGATATTACGGGAATGTATTCAGCCGTTGCTTATGGGATGTACAGTGTTGTAAAATATGACCCAAAGACAAACATTGTTTTTTTTTCCCTTGTAGGTATCGTACGGTTTGATTATATCCACGCAAAGTTCTAAAATGATATTCGTATTATCCTGTTTGTGGTATCAAAATGTTTGCCTCTCAATATGAACTCCGCTACATGTTTAACCTGTACTTTCCATGAGGACAAGGGTACCGTATGATGGCGCGGCAGTGATTTCAACCTGCAATCTGCAAACACTGCTAAGTCAGTTTTCAGAAACCAGTAATCAAACCTATCCTTAAACGTATTCATACAACACTATTCATAAGATGAAATTTTCATCAGGGTGATGAGTATTCAATATTTAGTGTTTGCCCTTCATTAACAAACCTGCTTTGGGATATGTAACGACCCAGCAGTCATCTTCTCTTACGTCATACGTCTTGAGTTCCCTAACCACCTCGTCTACTTCTGGGAGTAGAGGCACTCCTTCGTACTCGCTGAGAACTGCAGGAAACTCGTCCGAAAACCGTCGGCTCAAAACGTCCCTAACTACAACACAAAATAATATACAAGGTGTCCCCACCCCCCCCCAAAAAAAAAGTTGTGCAAGCAGATATCCTTTAATCTCTCAAAAACTTTTTAACGTAAGTATTCCATCTTGATGGAAAATATTAATTATACTTTTGGATATATTCAGTAAAAAAAATGTCATGAAAATCCGTTTATGCAAACACGAAATCTATCAGGGCCATGGGTTTTCCACCCATTTCAATGGGATGGGACTCCACAGTGAACTTCATTACATCAGAGTAACATGGCCCATGACAATCCGAGCCACAACTGTGTTAATCCCATTGAAATGGGTGAAAAACCCATAGCCTTCTACAATCTGTTAAATCTCTGGTTTGCCTGAACGGATTTCTGTGGATTTTCACTGATTAGGCCATACACTAGATTATAATTAATATGTTGATTAAGATGAAACATTCATGTTAAGTATATATTCGAGAAATTGAAGGATATCTGCTTGCACAACTTTTTGGGGGACACCCTGTAATTGTTTGGGGAAAGATAGACAGTATATTTGTATTCTCAACATTGACACACCGTATCATCTACCCGTGTTATTGGTATTAAGGTTATGCGATATTATTATGTTCATTGGAAATACATCGGGTTCCTTTGTCAAGTTGCTACGGACATAACATTGAAACAAACAAAAAACCCGTCAACGGTCGATGTAACAACACATGAAAACACCTTGATTCTTGAATGCCCAAAATGATACTAACGGTAACCGGTAATTTCACTTGAAGGGACAAAAAAACAGAAGAAAAAACAACAACAACAAGCCTTGTCCATCCCAGGCCCAAGATTTTAAATCGTATTGTGTATACTTACATTCCTCGAGAGTTACATATTTTTCCATGACGATCCAGGGGGCCAAAATCAATCCTACGCGGATACATATAAAACAATACAGTACAGTTTTTGTTTAGGTTGGTCGACAAATTAAATTAAAAACGTCACTGTACATTCAGCATCATCACCATATGAAGTGGAACAAACCAGTCCCGATAGTGTTATATTTATGTGCATCAAACTTATGGACATAATTCTGGTCAGCCGTGTGCGTTGAATTGTTTTCAAGTGCCAATCTTTGTATCTGCGGCATTTGCAACTGTTCAACTGCACTTCGCCATATATACAACTATTTTTAGATAGGTTATCGTCATTGAACTTTGGAGTTAAAGATTTTGTTGACTGTTCGGTGTTTAGATTAAATAACGTTTCATCCTAAAAGCGAACAATAAACTATAACACTGAGACATAGTTCCAGTACTGTTGTTGTTTTATGTTGACTGTGCTATTTTCGAGATTCAATTGGAACCAAACAATAGTGGCTTGTTTCAAGTCTAATACAAAGATATTCACTTATTAAAGAGGCCCCGAACAAAAGGAAAAAAATGCCCTCGCTTTATAAAGTAATGATTACTAAATAGATTTCAAATGTGCAAGTAAGGTAGCACTTTAAAACGACTAACAGAGTGAACGTGTGCATAATCATAAGGGGCATGATCATACATCTACCTACATATACCTCTATATAAACCTTGTATGATGATGCACCTCTTCATTGCATCTGATGAAGTAATTGCAGCTACGAAAGCCTATGCACACTTTCACTCTGGTAAGTCATTTAAAGAGGTTGTGGAATACTCGAAAACATTTCCGTCATTTTTCGGGTACATGTAGCCTAAGGTACGTGTGATGAAATAAAAACGACTATTGTGTCTGTCATGACATGAGTACAAAAGGTACTTTTGAGAGCTGTTTTTCAGGTCCTATTTCGACCCGAACGTGCAATTTGTGTAAAAGTCGTTGTTAGGGGCAGCAAACAAAACAAAGTAAATCGTGACGTAATAAACAGGACTCGTTTATACTACAATCAAAACGTTCGTGAGCTTCATTTTAATGTATAATGTATTTTCAACTGCATGTATATTTCGTCAAAGATGACCTAATTTTTTTTTAAATGACACCAACTCCTGATGAACCTTTGTTTTTTTTAATAAGATTCAATACTTACCTTGTGTCAGGAACTATGATGTTCCTGGAGAGGGGTGACTATGGTAGCTCATCACCATGCATGGGTGAAGAATTGCTTCTCCGAGGACCGACCAGTAATTGACACTCTCTTGGGTGTCAATTCAACAGTACGTGGTTTAATTGTGGTCAGTAGATCAACTCTCCATACAATCAAGATACAAAGAAAAACCCCTAATAAAAGTACAAAAACAAAGGCAAGAGTTGGAGATGTAATTACACCAGTGTACATGTACATGTTAAAGTTCTAATACAATTGCATTACCACAAATAAATTAGAGTTTGTTCATTCACTTACACAATGCCAGGTAAGGAAACAACTTCTCGGCTTCTGCCTCGAGTCTTATAGCATGCATAGCATGTTTATGACATGTACAGTGCAGCGGTCGCTGTCTATATAACCCTGTATTTAAATAATAACATTTACACATATATATGATAGGAGAGGATATAATATTTAAACCCTGTATTAATGCTTTTCACATGTATATTAATTATCTCCCTTTTTGACGGTGTCAACTGTTAGTGTATAAATGTACGTGTATTACCCTTGCACCGTACGACAGACGGCAAAGGCCCAGTCGTTTTGGAAACAAGGTCACAGGTCAACTTCGAGACACACACAATACGTATCTCACCTACATGTACATTAGTCCGAACATTTGGGACTCTCAATACTGTGTATGAGAGTCCCAAACCTTAAGGTATCCATATCATGCAAAAGTTTGTGCTGCATAATAACACCAGTGTGAATCAAATTTGCAAGCTTCTTGCTCACTACAGTTTCCTCAATAATCCCCGAAACTTCTGCCTCGCAAAGTTGCTGTTGTGAGCATTGCATCACAAACAAATTCAGCTTTTAATTCTAATTTTGCAGAGAGTTATCGAAATCCAAACGTGAGAATCACGTTGACAAATGGTTGATGTGTACTGCAATGCATTGTGCAAAAAAACTCCCTAGCTAGAACATTTTCATCTTGTAGATAAAGCAGCGCCCTTTTGTTGATCTGAGTGAATGTAGAATGTTTCATTTTTTAACAGAGGGCGCTGTGTTCATTTGGCTATCAATTAAAAAACAAGTAAGCTGCAGGGCACTTCCTACACCTACCCAGAATACATTGGGAATCACACACCCATCTCCAGAGCATGGAGATTGACGTGGATGGTTTTTGAACTGCCAAAAACTTGCCTTAAAATTGGATTTAAGGTCTCAAATTTCGCAGATGACATGCTTGCAACTGTATCATTTTGATGTATGTGTTGTGTGGCCATTAATTAGCCTAATGGTGAGTAAAAAAACGTCAGTAGTAATTTTGCACGTTTTTATGCACTCACGGTCCCAGTCTGCATGTACATGTACATGTACGTGCGTAGCAGCACCACACATTAGGCCCCACAGCCAAACTACATATACCATGGAGAAATGTGTTTTATTTCTCTATGCCTTGCTCTATGCATATACACTGTGACTTCTAGGTATCCTACATTCATTAATGATTGCCCTTACTAACTGTTAATCAACCCAAAAGATGGGGAAAAACGAAATATTTACCCAGGAGATCTTGCTCCCAACTCGTCATGATTTCATGCATTGTGCTGTGCATGCATAACTAGAGAACAGTGGTCGTAAGGAAGGGCGCCACTGGGACGCAGCAGGTATAACATTAATAAACGATTCCCCACACTTGCATTATCTTATTTAGCCATATTTAAGGGCGCAACTGCAGGTGTTTTAATTTCTTCAAATTTTGAAATGTTGCCGACCAACCGACCCGGCCTGCTTCCGAGGCAAAACAATGAAAGTGTTGCATTCAAAGCCTCCCCCACCCGTGTTCCTTTTACTTTCTCCACTGCTTGTAAAACGGACAGCAAATGTTTTACAAAATGTGTATAGAAAAATCCGTTCATTATTCAGGCCGTAATACCTCTTTAGCAATTTTGAACGGAATCTGTCCGCACGGAGTGCATGAGAAGGGGGAAACCAGGATTGTTTTGCAAGGTGGGATTCATCAGCAAATTAATCCTGAAATGTAGACATTTTCTTTTTTTGCTCGGACATTTGGCTCCGTAAAATCAATAGGTTGGGTGTCTGAGGTTTTTTCGCATTTAATATGGGACGTTGAACAATAGAGGACAATAGGGTCCCCAATTCCCGAAAGGTCCCCAATTTGGATTCGTATACAAAACATATGGTCTTCCTAAAATTTACTACACAATTAAACAAAAGAGGTACAATAATTTCAATGAGGGGCGTTGTTCAAATCCGACGATTACAAGATAGTGTATACTTACACTATCTGTCCGTATTTTGTGCACATGCGCATATTAATACCAGTATAATTGTTTAGGGGTCTCACAGCGGGCGATTTCAACTTTATTTTTGTTTGAATTTCTATGAAAAAAATAAAATAATTGACAGAGCTGGGGGCTTGGTACGAGATGTTACAGATCAAGAGAAGATCGCCTTTAGAGGGCGCCCTTATCCACAACACATTCCGAACATCTCTCACTAACATCTTTGAAATCATGGCGCATTTGAGTCTTTTTTTAACACAGGTGTGCTAAAAGAGAAAATTAAGAGGTGGTAATGTTTGGAAACTGCAAAAAAAAAAAAAAAATATCAACTTTAATTGAATGTTTTCGTAAAGCTACATTCTTTATCGAAACAAAGTAACATTTGATCAAGTCAGTTCGTTTTTTTTTTCGAAAATGGTCCGACATTCTTTGTATTACTGTTACGTTTTGGGCGTTTCCTCTGTTTAGTGTTCGACATTACAGTTAAATAACCGCACACTTTCGTGGTGTTTGGTATCTGCAATGACCTGTCCGATCAATGACGCGTCTAAATCAAGTGGATGCGGCGGGCATGCGTCTATGAAAAAGGGACATCAGCCAATTCCATAGGCGTTTTTGTGTAATTACCAGCCTCAGAATGTAACTCGGCCGTGGCTTAACTCAAACAAAACCTTTTAGCATATAGAGACAATTCTAAACACTTTCTTGCTATCACCTCATGCTAATAATGTTTAGCATGTAAACATGTTTACAAACTGATAACAAAACGCGTTTAGAATTGTGTTTACTCGCTAAACACACTTTTTGTAGTCCAGGCAATATTATCCACACAGAGGCAATCAGGCTATACCTCTGTCGATCCCAATGCCTAAATTGAAAACAACGTCCCATGGTCAATTTGACCTCCCTTCGAAAATTACTCATAACTCTGACACAAACACTATCAAATTTGGACGTTTGATGTCTCATTTATAAGTAAAAAAAAAACCCCGGGCGTATCTTTCAAAGAATGCAATATATAATCTATGTTGGTGACACATTCTACCTCTGGCATTCCGTTGTTTTTTGTTTTCCTTTTTGAGCTGACACACTTTATAGTGGTCAATTCTGATATATACACAAAAAAAGGAGATTTATAATTAATCACTGTGTACATAACTATCAAATATTATACATAACTATCAAATATTATACTAGTGACTTTTTCTAATGTATACATGTTTGTACATAATTGTAATGAATGACATCATTGAAATAAATGTTACTAAAGATACTAAAGATTACGTTGGATACAACATGCGAAGGATACTGCACTTCAAGCTTCGCGCTGACTTTTCTGTACTCTGTTGGGGTGGTTTTTATTATTTATATGTTGACCGTTCGAGAGGCACTTGTGCAAAGAGTCTATGTTTCGGCTATAATCATCCCTTATAATCTGCTGGCTGCCAGGTTGTGTGTATCCGGCACGTGATCTGATACACGGTACCTGTGGAGACATGTGTATAATAGGGAACAAAATATTGTATACGTCTCCACGGGGCAGTTTCTATAGGTGAATACAATGTCTCCACAAGGTTATCACGAAAGAGTTAATAATTATGTGGATTGTCAAAAACCAGGAATATCCAAGGTGTGTTGATTTGTCGCAAATTGAAGTATTTTATGTACAGGGTCATTAAGTCCAAATTTCAGCCCAGGAAATTAATTTTTATTAAAATAGGAGCATTTGGAAACTAAATTTTCAAACTCACACAAATGTTAGTACACGAGAACAAACAAATGACTCCACAAGGATACGAATTTAAATGACTCCACAACGACACAAATTTCAGTATACATGTACACATGAGCCTCTTCCGGTGGAAAAAGCAGTGTGCAAAAAAAAAAAATGTGGAAAGCCATTGCTCCACAACGGATGATCTGAACAATGGCTTATACAATGCATTCGCCATTGAAGGGGGCTTTCGTGACAGAAATGACAGCGTGCCCAGATTGGTCTATATAGGTGTGCTGTCTAGATAAACGGCCATTCCGTCATAAGTGGTTGGGGTTTAAACATGTAATATCATTTAACAAACAAGAAAATGAATAATGCTCTGTTCTGATTGGGTGATCCCTCCTTTCACTCGGTTCGTCGAAAATGTTAATTGGCTACTCGTATTCGAAGGTGAGCCCAGTACCGTGCAGCTTTTCCTTAATGAGGGCGTCCATGGCTTCGTTCTGCGCCACGGTGAAGTGGGTCTTCCAATCCCCAACAATACCTGAAATCAAACGAACATATTTTTTTTTTTTTTTGATGAATGGTTGGAATGCCAAGAAAATTAGGGTCAGTTTTGGTCACAAACAAAAAAATAATTAAGATAACGAAATTTACCATCTTAAGAGCCAATATTCATAGAATGGGGTGTCTGAAATCAATGTGCTTGATGTACCCCCCCCCCCTTATAAAATTACCCGGTCATATAATATGACGCGGCATCTGGGTTCTGTTTGACCTGATCATTTTCATAGTCAAGATGACACTTTATCGGGTCACAAATCACACTTCTGAGAAGGTTTCTGGGTCAAAATGACAAACAAACTGATGCAGAGAGGGGTCACATCTCCCATGGGGTATTAAGAGGGAACTTCACCAACATTGTGTGTTAATCAAGCTCAAATCACTGGCATTGAATATTGGCATTACAAATAATTTAAAACAAAAAATGCGTATGTTCTGAGCAGCCAATGATACAGTATAATATACCTTTTCGCATAGAGAGGTACGGGGAATCTTTCTGTGCAAACACGTAGTCCTGGTTTGTCATTGGGTTCTTCTTCATGTTGGCGAAGGTGCAGTAATCCGTAATAGCATCCAGTTTCTCGGCTGGTAGGTTTTTGCATAAGAACCGACTGATCTTCTCAACGTTACCTCTCAGATCCTACCACATAGAAAAGTTAACAAATTACAATGAACTCAGCACTTCCTCTACATGTAGTGACAGATCTACGAGTGGGCTTTAATAGAGGAATTAACACACCCATCTCCTGGGCCGCAGAAAAAAAATCAAAATAATCATGATGGAGAAAAACGCAGCTCATGTCTGCTATACACCCCCTTCCCCTGACAGTTAACCCCATTTCTCCCCCAACCTTCCCCCTCTCTTGAGCCAAAGTTGGTTCCGAACCCGGAGTGTCGTAGTTGAGTCCATCACAAGAGCGGTCAAAGGTAAATCGCAAGTCCTTTCACAAGCCGTTACAAGAAGCAGTGGATGAACAATTACCAATGACTACTTTTGTCAACGTTCGTAAGTATAGCTTGTGTCATGACACGAGACTGGAGGACTTGTGATGGAATTGTGATTGACGTGCAGGGACTAGTAATGGCTATGTATGGACTTGTAACGGACTCGACCACAATACTGGGTGTACTCAACTTAGTGAACGACAGTGTACGACTATGTGCGACACAACAATGGCAATGAAATGTTTTGCCATGTTTAGCGTTTTGCTGACTGAGGCTCATCAATACTTCAAACACTTTTCAACGCTCACCCTTTTCATGTCTTCATATCGCAGCAAGAGGATGTTTGGCTCTTTACGTTTCTCCCAGAAATACAAATAATGATCCCACCACGGTCCGTAGAAAGCTGAAAACACATTTCAAAACGATATCCACAAATACAATTGAAAATTGAAAACACGAAAAAGAAAAATGGCTCATCATTTGTATAATTATTGTCATTTGTTCTCTATTTGTCTGGTTGAGAATTAAGAAGTCGATGAGTGTAACCGAGCCGCCTATTCATTTAATCGTCATATCACTATGAACGTCATGGTATTATTTATTATTTTTAAGCGGGAACGATATCGATTTTGTTCTCAAACAGTGTTTAGTGAATGTATAGATTTATTGTCGCCTTGCGTTATTTACCACCGTTATACTGTGAAGTTTTTTATTTGAAGAAAGACTTATAGTTTAGTTTAGGCCCAACAAAAAGTTTCCGGTTTCTGGTATGCGCGCGCGTCGCCGTAGCCATGCGCGTCGGCAAAATGATTTTTTTTGTCCCAATAAAAGATGATGTCTCAAAACCGACAAACTCACTGGTTTGACTGGAATCCTGCTGCTGCACAATTTTAACGTGTTTTTAGATGGGGTTGTGATCGAGAATAAGCTTTATGTGGTCTCTCTGGACTCCCATATATTTGCTCTAAGTTTAGTCGGGCACCATTTGCAGTCATCAGCCGTCATTTGAAAAAAAAAAACCAGGTAAAACAAAAAAAGCTGCGTCGCCGCACCACTTTTTGGGCAAGCTCCATACCAGAAACTGGAGACTTTCTTTTGGCCTTACGATAACAAACATAATTATGTTATCCGTGCCTAATCAGTTTCCCTTGTGGTTTAATAATGACTTTTGGTTAGGTTGAGTTTTAATATACAACAGCGCGCATTCTGATTTAATTTGTTTGAAACCTAACCGATGATGGTACGTAACTGGTCGGTATTTCAATCAATTTACCACTTCCTGTGAGCATTCTGTCAAAGAACTCTCCGAAAGATTCATTCAAGGAGTCCGGCGTAGGGTTCATCATCTTCAGGAAGTAGAAGTAGGAGACCACGACGTCCTTTGGGTTGCGCATGACGTAGACAATCTTGGGTTTCTTCTCCCAGAGTTGAGGAGGCAGGAAGGGGCCTGGCAGGTGGGTCTTGAGTACCCGGGGTGACGGCATCTCCTCCGCTATTTCATGAATGAGTGGGAACTGAGGACAAAACACAAGTGTTAGGCTCGATAGTTTGGACTGTCTTGGCCTTATAGTTGACCTTGAAGGGATGTCTGCGTGGGCGTCGCCAGGATTTTTCCAGGAGGGGGGGGGGCATAGCAAATTTTCCCCAAAAATTCCATAACTTTTTCATTATATTCTCAATTTATCATTTGTTTATAGCGTGAGCAGGGGAGCATTTGCCCGACCTCCTCCTATCAAATTGACAGCAATATGGCTTCGCACCTCTTCCCCCCCCCCGTTTCTGTTTTATTTTATTTTATCCAGGGGGCGGCAAGCGCCCCCCGCCCCCGCCCCCTTCCTTCCCGACGCCCATGGATGTCTGGATTGCCGAAGCCCCTAAGTGAAGTCTGGATTGATAAAGCCCATAATAATAGACTCTGTCTGGATACACTACGACGATAAGAGAGGGGATTCCTGGTCTGTATTTTAAAGAACTGGGTACCGCCACGTGCAGGGCACGTACTTTCCATGCATCATGCCCATTAATTCGAGCCCCCGATCAACGGTCAATCTAACCCTACCCAAGCTCAGAAATAAGAGGTCGGCAGCTCTTTTTTTGCAGACGGCAACAGGTAGGCTTACCTGCGAATGGTATGGATAACATAATGGAAGCCAGTTATGGTAGCTTTAGCGTATTGATTACTACGCCTTCGAAACAAATTGGACATTAATTTGTCTTTTCTACATTTTAAATTAATGTGGCCTGACGTTGCGAACTTAGCAAGTTCTTCTTCAGAGGCTAAAACAGCCTCTGAAGAAGAACTTGCTAAGTTCGCAACGTCAGGCCACATTAATTTAAGATTTATATATTTCAGGTCCATCCAGTCAGTAAGCAGTTTGCAGCAGTTTTACTTTTTTACATTTTTCTACATTTTGTCATCTTCTATCACTCACATTTTTCGCTTTCCTTATGGGGTCTGGAAGGTTCATTTCCAGGAAAAGAACACGAAACATAGTGTTTTTCGTCTTGACTTCCTCCAGGTTTCCATCATACATCACGCAGGATATGATCTCCTGGGCCCAGGTTGTGCCTGCATGTATCGAAACATGAAATTCTCACACTTGATCGTGTTCGCTTTTTTTTTTGGAAAGATTGTTGATGTTCCAACTTTACCAAGTAAATAACACCGACAACAGCAACTCTGCAGTGCGCAAAGATGCGATGTTCTCTTCATCAGCTCTCCTGTGGGGTCCACACAATGCTAAACTTGGCCAAAGTTGGGGTTTGCCGCGTTTGGTCTATATTATGCGTATACGTACAATGTACGGGACAGATACATACAATCAAACACTAGCAAAATGTAAGAATGTGACGTACATGCAAACGGTCTCCCCTATATGAATATTCGTGAGAAGGGTACATTTGGACACTTTTAGTTAATATAGTGTGCCTGATTGTAGGATTTTATCAGCGCTCCCCATTGCAAATATGACACGACACCTTCTTGAGATTTAAATTAAAATTGATAATTGTCTAGCATTACATTAGTTATGAACTTTCCAATGAGTCATCGCACGAAAAAAAATCAGCCCACAAGTTATCAATTATTTAATTAAGAGTGGGACGCTCCTAATTCGTTCTGAATAGTGTGCACAATTTATGACATGGAGCGCGCCATTTAAAACCACTTAAAAAAACTGTATAAACAAAACAAAAACAAGCAACTGTATTTATTGCAGAACATCATATTCCTTTAATTTCCGTTCGGAAATGAAAATCGAATTTTTGAAAAAGCACGTATATACCAACAACTTTCACTGAATTAAGGTTAGTGAGTTTATCTCTTTTAATGTTAATGGTTTTGAGGTTTACCCCGACGCAAATCATGTTATGAATAGGTTTATGTTTACAATCAACATAACTGTCGTGTGGGGTGAGGGACTGGATGGGTTTAAAAGATACTCAGGGACAAACTTAATTTAAAATATCATGTTACATCGGATGAACAAGTAGTGGGGGCGAGCGTATACCACCGCGGTGTCAATTCACTAATGGCTCCTGCTTTGGTCGTTGGATAAATCCATACCTGCTTTTGGAAACGTGACCATCCACACATCATCCTGCCTGACTTTGAAATGTCTAAATGCCTCCAACACGGTAGTCATTCCTAGTGGCAGATTTATTCCGTCCACCTCGCTGTGAACGGATGGCTGGCCCGCCGGCTGATGTGACAGAAATTCGTGCAAGGACTTCCACATTTCCCGATCTGACACAATAAGAAGCAACATCCTTCCTTGAATGTTTGCGGTAACACTATACGTGGAAGTCTCTTCTGTGAAGATATGTGGTTCTGAAAAGAACCGGTTGGTTGTAAAACCTGACTTTCCGTTCAGTATGCTCTGATTGTCTTCAGAACCACACATCTTCCTAAAAGAGATTTCCACATGGTGTTACCGCGAACCTTCACTTTAGTTCATACTACCGCCCGCAAAATTTCAAATCTTATTATACTTACGATGAATCTGCTCATGCCTTACAGCTTCACTCGCCATTTTGCCTAACATGTTTAGCTTAAGGCGGTTTTACAAACTTTGAAGTAAGATTCTTCATCTGAATCTAAAATAAATACTATGGCAATCCTGGAATGTGTACATTCCGAGGAATACGTGAGAGAGGACGTGTGCTTTGTTGTCCTCATTACACCTGTTGTTGAGAACGGTCCTCGAACGTAAGTCTGTGTTTTTAGCCTATAGGAGAGGGTGAAAACTAAGGGAAACACGCAGTATTTAATTGTCTCAGGCGAAATGAACAAAGGACGACTGTCAGCACGCGTTTTGTTTATGGTGTAATTCGAGGACACACACGTGCAACATCATTGGTGAATCGAGGACAGGAACCAAATCGAGGACGACCTCGATTAGAAAACGTGTACACAACCAATGAGAGCTGTTGAAAATACGTTAGTACAGACAAAGGAAAATGGAAGAGGAACAAAGCAAAGTCCTCCATTTACACCATAAACAAACGTGCTAGTGCGTGTAATCTTCTGTTCCAAAATGAGAAAGTATTCGCTGTTAATAACGAATTGTGAAAGAAAAAAAATAATTGAGGAGGAACAATTGGGACAGTACCGGTACTTACATTCTTCCAAAGTGACGTACTTCTCCATGTCGAAACTCGAAATGTTTAGCCAAGTAGGCTGTAGCGTGCAAAAAGTAGTCTGCAAAAAGAATATATTTCACAAATGAATTATACGCCGCAGCTGTGGTTCTATTCTTGTTGTCAATGGTAATCAATGAAGAATTCAAGATAAGGTTTTATCCTGGGGGGCGGGGGGCGGGGGGCGGGGGGAGGGCGGGGGGACATGCCCCCCCCCCCCCCCCGCACTTTTTGAAGGATGGGGGACACATTATCAAATGTCCCCCAGCTTTTTGAACTCGTGTCTTATTTACAGGGCCTTATTATGTACTACAATTTATCTTTTGCTTTGAAATTATAAGCTAAAATGGTCAGAAATTGCCTCATATCGCACAACAAAGCATTGAGAATACATTTTTTCGGGGCCCTTACGCCGGCCCCGGCCGAACCCCACGCCTATAGCTGAGAATGTAATAGCTTGCTACAACCTCGAAAATGATTATCTGTTGCTAAGAAAATATTGGTTAAAGTGGTCAGAAATTGCCTCAGATCGCACCATTGAGCATCTACAATCATCTTTTCGGGGCCTTTAAGCGGGCCCTGAACCCCACGCAAGGGCTTCGTGCCTTCGCGCTCACATTAGTTCTAATCAAGGTATTCCCTCCCCCGACCCAAACTTTTGTGAAGTAATTGACGCCCCTGGATAGAGGGTATTGTTTTTTATTTCTGAGAGAGAAATAGTAGGGTTTAATATAAAAACAAGGACTGCACAGGAACAGCGCATAATAAAGATGGCGATATTGCCGAAACGAACGGAATTCTCCCTTCTGCTGTCCCGTTGCACCACAACATTGTTGATTCAGCACGCGGTTGACAGTAGTCATTGTATGCACGATTCAACAGTTGGAACTAAATAAACATGGGGAAAACGTTTGTGTGCCCGATACTATCGATTAAGCATAAAATGAAAAGAATTACAAAACACGGATATAACTGGCCTATTAAGGGGGATAAAAGGGGAAAATAGACAGAACAAACACCAACGTCCGAAATCTGGGCTTCGGCACACTTTTTACATGCACTTGTATTATTATCAATACATTGCGTGCCCAATTTCTTGACCAAGCCTCCAGTGATTTCTACTTTCAAGTTCAACCAAACAGTTTTACTAACGTACGTAGTGATCGTCTTCTTCTTGCAACAACCTTCACTTGATGTTATTATTTATGCACTCTTCGCCATTCCAACCCAGCTGTATGTCTCCAAACTTCGATGCGGTATCTGATGAAACCTCCGAAAATAACTCGACAAGCGCATGGATTTTTACTGCAGCGAACTCGTGTACAAGCTAACACCACTCACACATACACCCACACTTATCAGGGAAGCGTATCTGTTTTGCCTAGAAGGGTCAGTGGACATCAACAATGAAGTAGTTTTGATGGGACAGTTATGTATATTCATGAGAACGGAACAAGGACATCAACAGCATTGTTGTTGCTTCGTCAACCAGTTACATCAAAGCGTTTCAAAGAACGGACGTCGTCGAGCTACCACTCAGTATCTAAGTGGATAGCCAGAAGAGCTATGGATGGACATATCCCTGTTACGAATCCACGTCCTCGATGCTCATTTTCATCGCCTTTTTTTCTTCTGCAAATTTAAGGTTGATTTGATTTTAGTTGAAGTGGAAAAAAAAAGAGAACGAGAACGTAAGGGTCTTGCAATGATTCAAGGGGAAAAAATGAATAATTGCCCCTAACCTTCCTAGGAAAAGAGAAATACACTTCTGGGAATGCTTATTGCGCATTCACGGCTGTTCCGTGTACGACTCAAAAACCCACAGCGAAACCTGCCCTCTATCCAAAACAAATTAACTAGCGACGGTGGGATGTAGCTGAACAGTTTCTTGAAATTATTGTCCCAAATTGTAAACAATCAGCCTGGGCCTGTTTTTTACCTCCGGTTTTACAGTTTTTGGGTTGGTTTTCTAGCAAACTACATATTTTAATCTTTCACATAATTGTTTCCACAGATGGCACTTCCTATCACTATACATCCGCGACTCTACGGAGACCTACATGGTCCATACTTATTCCCTGTGGTTCCAAATTTGTTTTTCTTCTCTTTTTTTTTTTTGGGGGGGGGTCCATTTTTATTGCAATTACTCTTCCAACGCCAATCCGCCCAGAGATGATAATTCTCAACAAAACTTTCAATATTACTGTCAAATGATAATCTACCAGTTTATGTTAGCCTAATGGACCATATAGTTTCTTATTTCGTGTCCTTGCACTTGCATTTCTACAGAAGTTACTGTATTTTCAACCAATTTAACCAGTTGACATTACTCCTCCTAACATTTCAAACCCCAACACAAATTCGCCTTAGCTGATCGGGTACATCAGCTTGTACTTTATAAACGACATCCATTCCAACATTTTTTTTTAACCACTTGGCGACGGGATTATTTTTTGCCCAAAATTTCTATTTTCAAAAAGGCAACATATAGCAGCCAACATTTTGATACACATTCAAACGCCAAATATACTGATTCACAAGAGACATTTCAACAATATTTGTACGATATTTCTTTCCGCAACCTAATATTTGTCAACACTCCGGGATATGCCCCAATTGTACAACAATAGGCAGTGCACGGCGGCCCAGTTCAAGTTCAACACACGGTCCACCTCCACAGACTTGCGTGACTTTGTGTGTATGTATGAACAGAAGAAATGAAGGATTGTTTAAACATCATCCAGAGGCGAGTCGAGGCGCGTTTGACGTTTTAACCCGTCAGCCGTGCCTGTGTATAGACACAGCCGGATCGTGTTAACACGTCATCCGACACGAACTGGTTAAAAGCATGTATTTCAGGACCATGCCGATTAAAACAAGCAAAGTAGAATCATTTAAAAGTCGCGCAATTAAGCGTTCGAGCCCCACCGTGGCCATGCGTGTTGTGCCCTTGAGTAAGGCGCTTCACCTCAATTACCTCTCAACCCAGGTGTTAAATGGGTATCGGCATTATTCAATGCTGGGAAGGTAACGACACACTGTGGAGGAGGTGTGGCGATCCCTCCACAGCAGCATATGAGTTTGGCCCAATCGCTAATGAAAGAGAGATGGGCACTCCGTTCCTGTGAACACAGGTTCGTCCCCCTTTACCCCCTTTACCCTTAAGTGGTTTAGACTGTGGTGAAAAAAAAAAGAATAAAGAAAGATATGCTCAGTAACAACGTAAGCCTTGGCTTGAATGCTGATAAAAAATAATGATGCTGATAAAAAACAATCAATAATTTATTTCAGCGAACCGTTGTTTCATTATACGATATGCATCTACAATTAAGCATTCGGGTCAAGGTTTCGGCTCCAAAAACTCAGTATGTTTGTATGTGTTAGAGAACTGGGTATCACCTGCTGTTTTAGCCTTTCTTGTGTACAATTTTGAAACTTTTCTATCAGTTTAACCGATTTTGTTTATAGCCACCTATACGGAATGTGTGATACACATCGATTCTGCATTTGAGTCTGGAAACTGGCTAAGTTTGAATACTAATCGATATAAGGCTACAGTGACGTCTGCGAACAAGTATAGGCCCTCTTCAAAACATAATTTTATTCACAAACGGGGTGAAAACAAAAATCAAAACAAAAATAAAAAAATCACCAATTCAATACAAAATGGTATTAAATGTACAAAATGTATGCAGTATAGTGTCATTATATTTCTTTAGAGGATTCCTTCTAATCGTTCTATCCTGAAAAAAATATTTTCTGCAAGCAGTTATCTTCTACTTTACAATTTATACAAACACTTATCAATTTAAAAACAGTAAGCTAAAAAAATGTTCACCACACATGTACAGATGCATGAAAAGAACTTCCCAACTGTAGGCCATTTCTATCAATCCCTACGCAGGCTAACGTTCAGATGTCATTGCAATTAATGGTCTATGGACCAACTGGAAGCGAGAACTCTACGACCGTCTAAATAACACGCATAGACAGCTTTAAGACCTGTTATTGCAATCCGACCCAGGTTCGATCAAGGACCGTTGGTTGCGTTGTGGCTGGTTCGTGACGTATGTAGGCCTTGTGCCCTAGTATTAAAGTATGTTACCCCGGTTCAGACAGGCGCTCCAAAGTCGCGCCGATCAAAATATATTTTGCATTGACTCGAGTCGACCCAATATATTTTTGATTTTAGACAGGTGAACTTAAAACACTGGCGAATGTTGTACAAACAAACCAACAAACAAACAAACAAACATACGACCTTGGCAACAAGCCGCCATTGCACAACACTTTTGTGTTTTGTGTATATTTTCGAACAGTACCACCGTATCTGATATTATTTTTCCTGAGCAATGTCTGACCGTGTTGACGTAGCAGGAGAGAGGCAGAAACCATGGAGGTCAACTGATCAATCTTAATCTGAATTATGGCCGAGAGAGAAATGAAGGACAAGAATATTGGCAACTATAGGTTGTTGCGTGGAGCAAAATAATAATGTCCCTACCTCTGCTTCTTGGTCGGTCTCCTGCTGCTTTACCACCACGACACAAAAACTTTGGTCGTATGCATGGATTGTGGGATATGTCTTATTGCCACTACTTCTTTACACCATTCACATACATTTGCATACATTTAGAGCATCATTATTCTTACTATAACTGGTTGTACTTTGTATTTATTGTTCAATGACTTGTATTGTTTTAGTTTATAACCCAGGGCCCCAAGGAAACAGTCGATCTTTCGCCATTTAGGGCGTCTAGCCGCCCCTAATGATTTCGGACGTCGGACTTCCCATGTCAATAGTTCAAATGTTGACTCTAAAATTGGTTCTGAAAAGCCAGTACCCTGGCGTTTCAGTACAAGCCGCGCATTAACATCTCTATTAAGTCAATCTTCCGCACAAACGTTTGACCGTGTAATTTGGTCACGATTTTTTCAGTACTTTCGATTGGAATATTTCGTTTATTCATGAGAAATAAACAATTACGTCAACTCAATACTTTAACTACGTTATATTTCGTCAACGAATATCATCAAGCTACAACATTAGTATATTGGATAGTGCGATTAACTATGAATGGCAAGATCCCTGGTTCCAATCATTTGATTTGTTTATGCTACCGTTTCTTCAAATTCATCGTTTTGATAATGTTCATTTAAGGTAAAGAATCCGAGAAAACTACTGACAAGTCCAACCATAAAATGCACATGTCGACTCCCATAAAATGCATTCTATGGGGTTTTATAGTCGAACTACTGGATGCAACATTGTCTTTGTTCGAACTTGCTCAACGAAGACAATTAGATTCTTGACCCTGCTTTCATTTGATTGGCGAATTAGTTGATTGGCTAACTGAAGTCGAAGGTGAGTCCGGTACCGTGCAACTTCTCCTTAATGAGGGCGTCCATGGCTTCGTTCTGTGCCACAGTGAAGTGGTTCTTCCAATCCCCGACGATACCTGAGAAACAAACGGTTGACAAGGCCGGGCAGAGGTTGAATTAGTAGATCACGTGCTGGCTGAATCACTGATTACATTCTCCGATTTGATTTGAGTAAAATGTAATCTTCCCTTTGAGCATGACAATGCTGTAATTGACAAGCATTCCTCGTATGGGGAGAGTTGCAACAGGCCAGCATATGTTACATTTACTTACAAAATGGTAAAAGTCGTGACATTAATACGGGCAACTTAACATGCAAAATGTACATTGAAACTTGGTGGGGTCCGTGGGTTGCCCATTGGTATTAGGCCTACGCCACGGGGCACACGGTCTGTACATGTTTAGGTATCGGGTTCGCGCTAACAACATGCTTCGAATCCCTTTGTGAGTTTATGCGCTCATGAAAATAACGATGTAGTTAATTCAACGTTTAATAAAAGCAGTTTGTTCTGTCCATCTCCTCAGGAGACCGCTTCCTGGAGACGGACACTGTATATCCATTGCAGAGGATTTGAGTTTGCAGTAGAAGGTCCAAGTTTTAAAAAAAAATGTCATTGAACAGGAAGGGTGTTCTGAAACAGTGGCTTTTCTGGTTCAATTTTGCTGGCGCGAGCACTTGAGATATTAATCTTAGGTTTTTTGGGGTTTTTGTTGGTGAACCTAAATCTGATATTTACATTGAAGAGGGACCACGAAGGGTGGGGCACATATTTAGAGCGGTGTAGGTGGAGGTGGGGCTGATGTGCCCCGTCCCCCATTACCATCCACCATAGTTATGAAACTGTTCTAAAACAGTCGACTTCACAATTACCTTTTCTCATGAAGGCCACCGGTTTCTCCTCCTGTGCGAACATGTAGTCCAGGTTGGCCATGGGGTTCTTCTTCATGTTGGCGAAGGTGCAGTGTTCCGTGATTGCATCCAGTGTCTCGGCTGAAAGGCGTTTGCCCAAGAACTGACTGATCTTCTCAACGTTACCTCTCAGATCCTACCAAACGGAGGAAATTTTACTTGCGATAGTCTTTTGTAATAGCAAAGCCTGTTACATTGTGCACCACTTAAGAAGAATACGCAAGCGATCAGCCAATACCGTTTTGACTCAATAAATGAAATGGAAATTTAATATAAAGGAACAAGTATCAGGTTTCGTCAAACGAAGTTCAATTGAGGGAAGTGCAGTGCAATGTGCTAATTTACGTATGCCTTTAGAGACCTATTACGGTTAGACACAAAACAAATACTTCTTTATGATTGGAGCTAATACCTTTTACGTCAAAAAGAGAGAGGGAAATATTAAGCTCCGGTTCAAATCTGCGGGTTCGGTGTTCATGAAGCAAAAATGGACACGTTTAGAGATAACTATAGAGTCCTTCCTAACCTTGTCAGGTGCAAAAAAAAATAAAACAAATAAAATGTTGAAGCCATGCAAAAGCTTAACTTTGAAGAAAAAATCATTGTTACCGCTGAGGATATTATTAATTATGCACTGAATTCATCTTCCAAAATAACCCTATCCCGAAGAACCACCTATAGACAGAGTCTGGTTCCCAGACCAAAAGATTCTGACTACATGTATTTCTGATGAATCTTAGGTCAGACAGCCTCCGTGGCTAAAAATAAACATGACGACATTGATGGCCCTTTTTCAAAGTTCGGCTTCGTTTCCGATTTCGCTTAATCGTTTGTAGCTTTTGCTGTTCTGATCAATTTTTTTTTTAAATAAATCACTTGCTTCGTAATATCATACAGTTATGATAATACAAGTTGATGTTTCTGTAAGATAAAATTGACTAATGTTGATCTGGAATCTTCAAAATTAGGCACCCAAATAGTACTTTTAGCAGGCGGAGCCGAATGAAGACCGAGTTTTGGAAAATCTCGGTAAAGGTCGTCAAATTTAAAATTGTACATGACGCAGCAAAAAGTTTGCCCATACGATCCGAGTAATTTGATGCACACCATCGTCGTTGAATTTCAAGTTTTTTAAATGAAAGCAATTAATATTAATTATCAACTCATTTAAAATAAAATTAATAAGCAATTAGCAGTTAATTAAACCTATATTATATACTCGGAAATACTCGGGCGCTATCCGATTGTCGACGAAACGACTTCGGCAAACTTCAGAAATTTTTGGAAAAAGGAGGAATTCCTCCCGTTTTAGTCACGTGACGTAGATTGTATACAATGTATTACCGGGGGCTACCGGACCTAAGATTCATCAGGAATAGTCAGAATCATTTGGTCTGGGAACCAGACTAGCGCGCGCACCGTTTCCTTGTGGGTGACGCACATACACCAGGGAATTTGTACTATGTGCACGCAGTGGCCGCGCTTCGCAGCACAATATTGCAGTCAAACAAGATGGCGTCGTTTGGACACCCTCAACTGTACTTTCTTTGCCGGTGATGAGGGGTACTTGTGAACTGAGCGGATAGTTTCGAGTACCGGGGTTTATTGTTCAACACTTACCCTTTTCATGTCTTCATACTGCAGTAACAGGATGTTGGGCTCGTGACGTTGCTGCCAGAAGTACAAATAATGATCCCACCATGGTCCATAAGAAACTGAAATTAAACTTCTTTTTTTTTAATAAACATATTGCGAAATCACATCTTAATGATTGCAGGGCGAAGCTTTGATGTTTCCCTTTGTACTGTTGTTTTTTGCTTTTTTTGTTGGGGTTTATTCCGGGTTTGTGATGTATAGCAATCCGTTTGCAGTTGATCTTTCGGTAACAAACCAAAACGTTAGCTCGTATAAAGAATTCGTTGGAATCTATTTAAGGCGTTTAATTTGTTTTAAAAAAAGAAGAGATAATTACCGCATACGTCCCGATATGTGCTCTTTGTATATATTTTTTAGAAAGCGTGTGTATTCGTTGCCACATAATTATTGACGAAAAAGACAACTAAGGCGACCACTATATGTAAAAACACTTGTTCTATCTCTGTTGATAATCAAGTGTATTCTGTTGTCTTTAATACCCACGGCATAAATAAGCAAGCATTATGTGATTGTATCGTTCTTCAATTCAAATAGACAAGCTCTTGTCAGCCGACTAGAATATTATACAATATTGGTAATACAAGAACATGGCGCGAACCAAACAAACAAACACCCCAACAAACAAACAAACAAACACCCCAACACCCCAACAAACACTCCCACGCCCAGCAGCCCGACAAACAAACAAATAAACAAACAGCCCAACAAACAAACAAACAAACAAACACCCCCACACCGAGCAGCCCGACAAATAAACAAATAAACAGACAGCAAGTAGTTAAGTTTACCGTCTCCCCTGAGCATCTTGTCGAAGAACTGCCCGAAGGATTCACTCAGTGAGTCCGGTGATGGGTTGGCCATCTTCATGAAGTAGAAGTAGGAGACCACGAGGTCCTTGGGGTTGCGCATGACGTAGACGATCCTGGGTCTCTTCTCCCACAGCTGAGGCGGGAGAAGCTGGCCCGGCATGTGTGACTTGAGAACACGGGGAGACGGCATCTCCTCAGCGATTTGAAGGTTTGATGGAAGCTATATTTTTTTTTTGAACAAAGAGTCTTAGCCCAAAATATGTATTTCCGGCATTTTTTTACAGTGTGTATAGAATGCCAAACGTAGAATTTCTTGCTATCAGTTTGTAAACATGTTTACCTGCTAAACATTTTTAGCATGAGTTGATAGTAGGAAAGTGTTTAGAATTGTGTTTACTCGCTAAACACGTTTGTGTAGGCTAGGCAAACACAGAGGCAATCGGGCCATGTTTGTCCCAACGCTAACATTCCAAACTTCGTCCCATGGTCATTTGTTGACGTACGCCTCTTGGAAAATTTTCTCACATTTGAGCAGAGTGCGCGCCATGCATTGCAATAGTAAATTGAACTTAAGTGTTACTTCGTGAAAACGAAAATTGTCACTTTTGCGCAAAGTTGCCATGGTAAGCCTTGATGAATGTTTATAAATGTAAGAAACTGAACATCGAAAAAATATGGTTTAACATGTGGCGTGTTACTTCGTGGTGTCGGTGCCAACAATATGTTTTGTTTCAGTATTGCACATTTCAATGTGTATTTTAATAACCCATTGTCATTCCTCTATAACGGTTTGTGATTTTGTTTTACCTTGATCTGTATTTGTAATTATGCACGGATTATGCACAATTTAAGAATATACGATCAAATGAACATTCAGTTTGGTGTTATTAAAACACCAATTGTGAATACCAAAATATACTGTCAACATTTGTAACTTACATTTTTCATTTGCCTGACACGCTCTGGAAGTTCAAGTTCCAGGAACAGAACTCGGAACATTGTGGGCTTCTTGTTGATTTCTTCGAGGTTTCCGTCGTACATGACGCAGGACATAATCTCCTGGGCCCAGGTTGTGCCTGTATCAAAGTATGCAAGCAGCATCCATCGACACTATCTTCGCAGTGAACATGTCATTGGTCAATAGTATGTACATATTAACTGCCTAAATTGAAGTAGTAAAACTAACCTCCCGGGGATTAAAGATGTGGTTACTCATTTATTTAAAGCAAGAAATCATCTCATCGACACTATATATGTAGTGGACAAGTCCTCGGTAAGGCCAAAAAAAAGTCTCCGGTTTCTGGTATGCGCGCGCGTCGCCGTAGCCATGCGCGTCGGCAAAATGAAACAGTTTTTTTTCAATAAAAGATGATGTCTCAAAACCGCCAAACTCACTGGTTTGACTGGAATCCTGCTGCTGCACAATTTTAACGTGTTTTTAGATTGGGTTATGGTCGAGAATAAGCTTTATGTTGCCTCTCTGGACTCCCATAGATTTGGACTAAGTTTAGTCGGGCACCATTTGCAGTCATCAGGCGACATTTGAAGCAAAAAAATCGGGTAAAAAAAAAAAAGCCGCGTCGCCGCACCACTTTTTGGGCAAGTTCCATACCAAAAACCGGAGACTTTTTTTGGGGGGGGGGGGGGGCCTAAATAGTATACAACTATTGACTGCTTCGTGTGGTTTAATTAGAACTACCCAATCTGGGATTTGTAATATTTATTTGGAACGTCGTAATATCACAATTGAGGAACTTTGACCACCGTGCCAAGTCTTCGTCGTTGCATGGAAATCGAACTCTGAATGGTCCCAATGATATATCCAGATAATTTCGTCATGTGTTTTATAATATAATATAATGTACGTGAAAATGAAGTTAAATACGATTGGAACATTTTGACATGTTTACTTCCCGCAGGTTTGCGCATAATCCTAGTGTACAGTTGCATTTTTTTTTAGAAAGGTCTCACTGCAAAACAAAACACCTCGTTCATCGAAATATGTGAAAGCAGTGTTGACAACATACATGCAATTTACGCATGCGTGTTTCAGTGACGTCACTTTATATACGTCTTTAAGAACGCGTGCAACATTACAAGTTTCTAAGTCTGGGGCCAATTTCACGGCACTGCTAAGCACAAAAAGTTGCTTAGCACAAAGAAAATGCTGGCTTATTAGAGCAGGTTCCCAGACAAAGCTCCGTGTGGTGTATATTGCTCGTGATTAGTATTCAGCTGTTGTTTGCTTAGCATGAAATATCACATGGAGTTTTGGCTGGCAAACTGCTTTTAGAGGCCATACTTTTTTTGTACTTAGTATTTGTACTTTTTTGCTAAGCATAGCCGTGAAACTGGCCCCTGGTCGCCGGATTACACTATACCAATACCTGCTTTGGGATACGTGACCACCCACACGTCATCCTGCCTAACGTCCCATTGCTTGAATGCCTCTGCCACGTCAGCTGCTCCTGGTGGTAGCTTGATTCCGCCCACTGCGACTTCCACCGGTGGCTTACCCGCTGGTAAAGCTGACAGAAAGTCGAAAAAAATCTTCCACAGTCCACGAACTGCAATGGATTGTCATTGAAACTAATCCCAGCTTGTCTTTAAAGATACAGTCTATCATTTGCAGATCCCCAAAAAGTAACGGAGTGGACGTAAATATTTTGCAAAAGCACACTTTGTTTAAAGAAAGTAATGAGACTAAACTACATGTGGAATTATTCTTTCTGGCAATTAACCCTAAAAGGGCTGGGGGCGGAATCCGCCCCTCCCCTCGACTTTTTCCGCGATAGCCTTATATTTTTTTTATTTTTTGCGACCCGAGCTGTTATGACTTTTTAGCCTCGAATCTTTTGATACCAAAGATATAAAAATTTCAGGCGCTACGTGCCGTGAAAACTGAATTTTCTCAATTACGTCGTGTAGACAGAGCAGAATTTCCATTCGTACATTTGAATAATTAATTAACCATAATTCTAAAACCCTTTGACCTATAGTCATGAAATTTCTTGGGTACACTGCAAAAACTGTGTTTAGCAATTAAACACTTTTCTAAACACTTTCTTAAACCGCAAAATTATCTTGTCTTAGTATCTTTCCACCATGCAAACCTTCAAATCTCATCTAAAATTTTTCTTGCTATCAGTTTGTAAACATGTTTAAGTACTAAACACGTGTAGCGTAAGGATTGATGGTGTGTAGCAATTGAGCAATAATGTTTAGCTTCTAAACATGTTTACAAAATGAAAGCAAGATTGTGTTTAATTGCAAAACACAGTTTTTAGAGTGTATGTTTATAATAGTTGCTCTATGCACGTACCGAGTTTCACAATTTTTCGTCACTCGACGGCCGAGAATCCGCCCCCCCCCCCCCCCCGGCTGAGAGATGGTCAAAATAACCCGGCCCTTTTAGGGTTAAGCTGTCGTTTTGAAAAAAAAGAATCAAAAAGAGAAGGCCTTTTCAGCGTTGCGTCTTAAGAAAATGGAAATGTCCGTTAATAGGTCGTATTTATATTCGGCGGAACGCGCGCAAGTGTTGACACGACGCACATACGCGCGCGGTTCCTATAATTCGTCGGTTCAGTGCGCGAGATCGAGATCGCGTAGTTGCAATCGGCTCAGTGAGAACGTGTCTGACGCTGAATTAAGGCCCAATTCAAAACATGATTCAAGCAACTTTTGATTTTCGGAATCAGGTTGGCGAAGATTGGCGGGACACTGGTGAAGTTCCTGCGACATATATTTGGAATAAATTCAGCTACAGAAATCAATTTGGCAGCATTGAAAAGCCAACGATTTGCGCTTTAACAGGATGTACTTGAAAAGTCAAAGGTGGGGGTTATTCCTCATTATGCAATGGCAGGTCACAAATGATAGACGCTACCTTTAATGGTGCATGCGCCATCACAACGTCACTACATACTGAATTTGAATGAAGGTATAACAAACTCTTTTCTTCTATATTTCCCATTGATTTGATTTTCATGAAAATATAAACGATGAGATTTTCTTTAGGTGTAAGACAACTCTGTTAAAAGCAATTCGGAAAAGAAGGGACATAAAGGGGTTAGGAGAAACAAACAGAATACTTGCATTCTTCTCCGGTGACGTACTTCTCCATCTTCCGACGTCAAATGAAACGACCAATCTGTCTACAATTGAAGAAATTCAACAAAGTATACCAAAAAAAAGACTATCAATTATAAGGCCAAATAAAACAAACGTGTTCAGCGTTAATTGTGCCTTTAAAAAAAGGAAGGAGTAGGCCCCTTTTTCCAAAAGACCGGCCGTGCTATTTTTCAAGATAACTGCCAGCTTTTTTTAAAATGGCCGCCAGCTTTTCGAGTCTAAAAGTACGACTTTTATTCCAAAGAAGATCATTAAATTAATATTTTTTGTTTGTGGTCTTTTTTTTTCTTCAATGAAATCATAAGGAGGCGGCTTCCAAAAAGGAAGCGGTCGGGGACGCTTCATATGTTTTTCTTTTTAATTTTGTGATTGGGGTCCGCGCAAGTCAGACACCTCATATAGGTCCTACGCCACATAAGTCCGACAAATCTCATCCCCCAACCAAAGCCCCATACGTCCGACGCCTCATTTGTCCGACGTCCCATGGTTCCGATGCCTCATAAGTCCGACGCCTTATAAAAGTCCGAAGCCTCTTTATTCCGAAACATCGTTTGTCCGTTGACGGAATTATGGGGCGCCGGACTTATGAGGCGTCGGACCTATGGAGCCGAATTGAAGTGCTTCAAAGTGAAGTGTTTCAAAACAAGTCCATAGTCAAGAAAGATGGCGATAGTCAAACGTGTCTGCTTCGGTCCCATATATACAGTGAAATCTTGATTTAGTCGAACTTCAAGGGAACAAGTTCACAGTTTGACTTAAGCAGAGTTTTAAATTGAGCAGGGTCGTATATCATTAATTGTTTTACTACTGAAGGCAATGGATTCTTTGTTTGACCTAATAGTTGTTTTGAGTTATCGGACTTTGACTTATTGAGATTTCACTGTAGGCCTAGTTCATTCTGTAATCGACGCTTGTCTAACTGTAAGTCTATATTAAAGTGACACAATCCTATGTTTTGTCCAGTATCTCAGTATTGCGGATTGTAACGTTCAATCCTCGAAAGCTTGCACAGCTGGGTGTGGGAGACGAAGTCTCAACATAAAAATGCAGGACAATGTTGTAGTCTTGTTGTAATCACAAGTCCATCAAAATTCGGCCATGAATGATTAAATCATCCAGCCCAAACTCAACTCACAAGATATACTAATGTAGTGAGCTCTGAGAAAGGCATTATTCTCTTCTGTTGATCATGTCTGGACGTATTGGTGGATTGACTTGTTATTTCATGACCGGCCTTCAACTGTGATTCATGATCCGGCACACATATATAGTGAATTCGCTACGACCGATTAGGCCACAAAAAAAGTCTCCGGTTTCTGGTATGGAGCTTGCCCAAAAAGTGGTGCGGCGACGCGGCTTTTTTTTTTTTTTTACCTGACTTTTTTGCTTCAAATGTCGGCTGATGACTGCAAATGGTGCCCGACTAAACTTATTGCAAAATGTACGGGAGTCCAGTGAGTCCACATAAAGCTTATTCTCGATCATACCCCCATCTAAAAACACGTTAAAACTGTGCTGCAGCAGAATTCCAGTCAAACCAGTGAGTTTGGCGGTTTTGAGACATCATCTTTTATTGAAAAAAAAAACTTTTTCATTTTGCCGACGCGCAGGGCTACGGCGACGCGCGCGCATACCAGAAACCGGAGACTTTTTTTTTTGGCCTTAGGACTACATTTTATAAAACAGGATTTCCTAACAAAATTATGGAGAAAAAAACATGCGCCCTCTAGCTTGAAGCCGTACGTGCAACATTAACATGGTGAGAACGCGCAATGATAAAAAAAAGGACCGCTCCAAACTTTAAGTACTGTGCTAATACGTTGTCTAGAATTTGAAACTGGTTTATCTGAGAACTTAAACCCAGATGAAATGCTTTCCTGAATTTCGGACGGAATAAACTGCTGGTACACAGTACATAGCTACACCGTCCCTTTGACACAAACGTGTATACTATACTAACGTCCGACAATATTTAAACCTATTTTCTTCTGATAGATTCTCTGGACAATACCCATTTGAAAAGGATTTACTGCAGGAACGGACAGCAGTATTCCTTTCAAAATACAGCCCCCTAACATTAACGGCTGAAACTATAGTACTCACTTGCAAAATGTTGTGATTCACTCAAGAGGCCACCTTACATTTATTCATTTATATCGCCACGTCAAAAGCCTGCACAAAACACCAATGGATCAGGAATAGTACAACGGAAACAGTTGCGTGAGATGTCAAATAAAAAAACCTGTTTCTCGCTATATATTCACATTTTGGTGGAAATGCATGAAAACAGTTCACAATGTACATGTACTGCAGTTTGCACATGTACTGCTTACCGGGTGTTGTTTCCTTGTTAACGTCACCTCCTATCGATACCTACTTTTCATCAGTAAACCTTACACAATATCTATTGCTTATGTTTTGACACAGAATTACGAATGGTAAAAGATGCGCCCTTGACAAGTCGCAAAGACTATTTTGACCGCGCTGCCTGTGGATAAACCAAAACATATTTTTCGATGGCCTCGGCCTCGAGTTGAAAGAGCGTGTGTGCACGATAACACAATGAAGGTTCAGAATAGGAATAGGTCAAATATGGCATACAATAGTTCAGTTGTGAGTATAACGAGATTGAAAAGAGATGGAAAGAGTGTTCTATGGTATTGTTGTGGCGCTCTTATGTAATACCAGACGTGGCGCTCTTATGTAATACCAGACGTGCGCTCTTATAATACAAATTCTTCTAATACCCTCCTAATCTTGTGTGGCTATATAAGCACGCCCGTATTCATTGTTCGTTGCAGTTGGCTTCAGGGCGTTGGCTTCATCATGACTTTCTGTACCATTTTCTGTAGTCATATTAAATTATTTGGAAGCGAAGTTTGAGTGTCCTGTGTTTGGATTTGAGTTGTCCAATGTCTGTTTTTATAAATTCCTAATTCGCTACATCACAAGCATCATAAGAAATGGTGGAAGATCCGCACCAACTCTGTGTTTCTACACCGAGCTTTCCCGGTCCTTCATTCCGGACTCTGACGGCCAACGCCCCGGTCAGCTGCCCTTGCCGGGCACGGTAAGTTTTTTTTTATTTTTCAAAGTGGCATCAGTTTCGTAGGTTTCATTTTCTTTTGTAAATAAAGTATTAAAGGGTATACTGGACACAGTTGTAGAATTATACAGTAAATGATATAAAGTGGCGGATTGTCCAAATTAATTTCATTTGATTTCTGTGTTCAAGTATCAATCCTTCAATGTTTATGGAAGTCGATCTAGAAGAAAAACCAACAATGTCGGGCACCAAATATGATTTAGCCTCTAGTGGACTAAAATATTCAGGTCTTCCCGAAGAGGACGTAGACGAATTTATTTCTAGATTTAGGACTTTGGCCTCATTAAGAGATTTTGCAGATGCCAAAAAAGTCTTGGCTTTACAGTCTCGAATATTTGGCCACGCCCGAATTTTTCTAGAAAGTGTGCCGAATGAAGACAAAAATTCAGTAGAGAGTATCCAAACGATTTTGAAGAAACATTTTCAAGGTGACTCTTGGGTGTGGCAAGTTGAAACAAAATTGCTTGAACGAAAACAACTACCTTCCGAAACATTGGATGATTATGCTTCAGATATTATGCACATGTGTCAACAAGTTAAGAAATCAAGTGCAGAGTGTCTTTCCATATTTGTACGTGGATTATTACCATCCATTCGGGCATTTGTATTTTCCAAACAACCGAAATCATTCCATGATGCTCTTGATTATGCTAGACTGGCTATTTCTGTGCAACAAACGGCTCACGAGCCGGATAGATTGAAAGCAAATGATACTAATCCTAGTGTTTCCGTAAATGCCATCCATTCCACTCTGCAATCCCTTACAGTAACCATGAATTCAATTGCGAATAGGTTGGATAGGTTGGAACAACAGAAGGAACAAAGTCCAAAGAAACCAATTTCACCTGGTAGAGCTAATCCTCAGCAATCCAATCGTTATCCATTTACTTGTCACAGATGTGGTCGCACAGGTCACAAATGGCGCTATTGCCGAGCTACTTTCGATGTCTTAGGTAATCCTTTAAACTAAGGAGCCCACCTGTTAATGTCAAAACTTCAAAAATTCAAACACCGACAGGTGGGGAAGCCTCAGACAAACAAAAAGAAGGCCTTGTGAATTTACAAGTAAACAGTAGTTCTGATTGTGTTGAAATTAATTTGAGTTCTTCAAGTACAATTGATGTAAGGATTTATCATGTACAAGTTGAAGCCCTTATTGATACTGGTGCTTCCATTAATCTTATCGATAATGACTGGCTTTTAAAACATCTTCCTGCCATGCACCATTTAATCGAAAAACCACGTTTGATGAGTGCTAAAACGGCTAATAATTCTGACTTAGACATTACAGGGTTTATTACCTTACCAGTGGCTATGTGTGACACCTGTTTTCAAATAGAATTCCATGTTGTGTGTAGTCTTACCTCACATATGATTCTTGGTTCACATTTTCTAAGCGAACAGTGTGCTAACATAGATTATAGGTCACGTAAACTACGACTCACTAAGAAAAACCAGTTGCGTGTTCTTAAGAAGCAAACAATCCCACCACGCTCTCAAACCGTAGTTTGTGCAAAAGTTTCAAATCAACTTCCTGTAAACACTGTTGGTTTATGCCTTGGAGGTAGACATATTACGTCACTAGGTGTAATGGTGGCACGCACCGCAAGTCAAGTTACAAATGTCAAGGGTCAAGCAAATGTATTGGTTATGAATATTTCTGAAGATCCAATTACTTTGTATCCACGTACCAAACTGGGAACGTTCAATTTAATCGATCCCTGTGAGTTAGTACCAATGACAACGATAGATCTTAAGGAACATGAGGCATACGTTGCAGAAGTTAAAACTTCTTCTGACAGTAACAATCCAAGTTTGAGTGAAGCTTGTTGTGAGAAAACAGTGATTTCTGGAAAACAGACAGAAGAAATTCTCTCCAAAGTCATGTTGAATACAGATCACATGTCTAATTCAGAAACAGCTGCGATAACTCAGCTAATATCAGATTATTCTGACATTTTCCAAGTTGGTGGAGGACCTAGAGGCCGATATTCAGGAGTTAAACATACTATTAACACAGGAGATCACCCCTCGATTAAGTCTCGGCCCTATAGACAACCACCTCACATCCAACAGGAAATACAAAAACATGTCAAGAGTATGTTGAACGAAGGCATTATTAGAGAATCCACTAGCCCATGGAGTTTCCCAGTATGTATGGTACCAAAGAAAGAGCAGGGTTCATATCGTTTTTGTGTAGATTTTCGTAAGCTAAATAAGATCAGTATTATGGATAATTTTCCATTACCGAACATATCTGATGCACTTGATAGCCTAGGCATCATGAAACCACAGTATTTTTCAACTCTAGACCTAGCAGCTGGATATTGGCAAATAGAACTTGAAGAATCATCCAAATCCAAGGCTTGCTTCATTACGCAAGATTCTCTGTATGAATTCCAGGTACTTCCATTTGGTTTGCACTCTGCCCCTGCCACATTCCAAAGAGCTATGCAAGAAGTGTTGAGAGGTCTTAATTGGAAATCTGTGCTGTGTTATCTAGATGATGTAATAATCTTCTCAAATACATTTGCAGAACATATACATCATTTGAAGCAGGTGTTTGATCGTTTTCGTAACTCTGGTCTTAAATTACAGCCAAAAAAATGTGTTTTTGCCCAACAAAAGATCAAATATTTGGGCATGGTTCTGAGCAGTGAAGGGATTGAAACCGATCCTGATAAGGTAGAAGTTGTCAAAAATTATCCTACACCAAAGAAAGTTTCAGAAGTAAGATCATACCTTGGATTTGTAGGGTATTACCGTAAATTTATCAAGGACTTCTGTAGGATTGCAGAACCTCTCACTAACTTGACTAGAAAAGATGTGCCATTTATTTGGAGTGAAAGTTGCCAAACTGCATTTGAGACTCTCAAACAACACCTGGTTGAACCACCTATTTTAGCGTTTCCCAGATTTGACGGTACAGAATTTTACCTTCAAACAGATGCGTCTGGAAAAGGACTCGGCTTTATTCTAGCCCAAGTCCAAGACGATAAAGAAAGGGTCATTGCCTATGGTGGTAGAGCATTACATAATGCAGAACGCAACTACACTACGACTGAATTAGAGGCTCTTGCAGTTGTCGAAGGTGTAAAGAAATATGCACAGTATCTCCAGGGAGTAAAATTTACTGTTGTTACTGACCATTGCGCATTAAAGTGGTTATTTGACAGTAAACATGCTACTGGTAGATTAGCACGTTGGGCACTTAAATTACAGTCATATAACTTTCAAGTTGTACACGTCAAAGGCCGAAATTGTCATGTAGATACACTTAGTAGAATTGACTATGATAGATCCTGTACTGAATGTAGTCGGTGTCATGTTTCTAACAATACTGTTCCGACACAAATGGATACCAGTTGGGTAGAAACAGATTTTGATGATATTGATGATGAAGTTTTGTGTTCTGCTGATGAAGTTAAGTCATCCAGTCCGAATGTTAATGTTGTAAAGAATTTAAGATATCAGCATGGAAAGAGGATACCGAGTAACGACTGTGTTGAAAAAGAGGCTCCTCAATTTCCAACTGGAATTAATCTTGAAAATTTCAAACAAGCATTAGCAGTAGATGACTTTTCTGGTACGATGCTAAAGTTTTTAGAAAGAAACGAATTACCAGACGATGACAAAAAGGCCAGAAATCTGATACTACAAGCCGATCAATATTTTGCCAAGGATGGTTTATTATATCATATTTGGCATACTCCGTCAAATCGACACATGCCAGAACGGAATATATATCAGTTGTATGTACCCCAACTGTTTGTAGGCACAGTACTTGATAATTGTCATGACAGTGTCCTTGCCGCTCATTTTGGATTTCATAGAACTTATAGCAAAATCCGTCAACGTTACTATTGGAAAGGAATGTACAAAGATGTAGATAATTGGGTGCGTAGTTGTATTTCATGTGCTCAGAGAAAAACGCATAGACACAAGGTTTTAGCACCGTTGATTACAATGAAAGTCCCTGGGCCTTTTGAACGAGTAAGTGTTGATATTCTGGGGCCATTACCTGTTACAACAAATGCTAACCGTTATGTTCTCTGTTTCACAGATCACTGTACGAGATGGCCTATTTTGGTTCCATTGAAGAACATAGATGCATCCACAGTAGCTAGAGCACTCTACGACAATGTTATTTGTGAACATGGGTGTCCAGAGACTCTACTAAGTGACAGAGGATCAAACTTTCTTAGCAAGGTGGTATTAGAGGTGTGTCGAATCATGCGAACTCACAAATTAAATACCAGTTCCTATCATCCTCAATGTAATGCTATTCAAGAAAGGTTCAACTCAGTTATCCTTGATACCATTTCTCACTATGTAAATACATGTCATAATGACTGGGATCAATACTTAACCTCCGTACAGTTCGCTTATCGCACTACTCCTGCTGAAAATTCTGTGGGATTCAGCCCCTTCTTCCTTTTATATGGTAGAGAAGCAAGGTTACCCTTAGATGTGACACTCCTTACAAATTCCAATTATCCAGAGAAAACACTTAGAGAGCACATGCATCACTTGGTTTCCCAACTTGAAGTTTTTCGAGATGTATCCAAGCGTCATGCAGAGCTCAATCAAGCCAAAATGAAAGAGCGTTTTGATGAAAAAGCACAAAAGGTACCATATCAAATTGGAGACACAGTTTGGATTTATATTCCTGCATTCCAAAAAGGACTATCCCGTAAACTTATGAAGTTTTGGGCTGGACCGTATCTTTTAGTAGAACAGACATCTCCAGTAAATTTTCGAGTTAGAAATCTTGAAAATAATAAATTACTGTCTTCCCCAGTACACGTGAACCGAATGAAATTTGCATATAACAGATATGTTCGCCCAAGTAATGATTCTGTTCCATTTGATCCAAAGCAGAATACATCAATACTAGGTTTGCAAGAAGATGACTGCCCACAAAACATTTTCCATCCTCTCACGGCAGTACATCAGTCCAGTGAGTCGGAATCTTCTGGAATTCCCTTTGTTCCAGGATTACCGCAGATTTCAGAGAAACCCAAAGAATATGAAATTGAGCGCATAATCAGAGGCAGGTATAAGAATAAGCGACTTGTGTACCTGATCAAGTGGAAAGGTTTTCCTCACTCAAAGAATACTTGGGAACCCGAAACAAATTTGAATGCTGCGGCATTAGAGTTCCTTAAAACACATCCAGTGAAGATTTCAGGTAAAATGTAAAATAAAATTTAAAAAAAAAGAAAAAAAAAAAAAAAAAAAGAAAAAAAAAAAAGAAAAAAAAAGAGAAAAAAAGATATTAAAATATATAATTGTGTAATCAATTAGCATTGTAATTGTTTTGATTGCATATGTTGTGGCCTTGATATTGCTGTCTTGATTTTGTGATCGACTTTCTCATTTTTATGCCATTTTGATTATTAGAAGAATCAAATTAATTTATGAAACTTACTGCTGATGTCACTATAATTGTATTTTACTCTTGCATAAAAAGAAGTGTTAAGTTGTTAAAAAGAGTAAAACCTGTAGCAAATAAAAGTCGACTTTATAAAATAAATAAATATGAATTTAATTTAGTTTACGATGCTTAAGTGATAATTCAGCTTCCAGTGGCGCCCTGGATGGGATCGTTGAGGATGTCGGACCACGTGAGGAACCTGCGGCCTGATCAGCCTGATGAGTGACTGTGTGTGATGTGATGAATGACGAGATGGGAGAACGTGTGGAGGTCCTACGCGGTTAATGGAGACGACTATGAACACCATTTACGACACGCAACGATCGACCCAGTATGGAATAAATTGGCTGATATTATAACTTAAAAACAAATATAATAATAATGTAATTTTGAATAGCTCGAATTTTGTTCATATTTTGTAATTAAATTGTCAGGAGCCAATTCAGTTAGGGGTGGCGTATGTTGTGGCGCTCTTATGTAATACCAGACGTGGCGCTCTTATGTAATACCAGACGTGCGCTCTTATAATACAAATTCTTCTAATACCCTCCTAATCTTGTGTGGCTATATAAGCACGCCCGTATTCATTGTTCGTTGCAGTTGGCTTCAGGGCGTTGGCTTCATCATGACTTTCTGTACCATTTTCTGTAGTCATATTAAATTATTTGGAAGCGAAGTTTGAGTGTCCTGTGTTTGGATTTGAGTTGTCCAATGTCTGTTTTTATAAATTCCTAATTCGCTACATCACAAGCATCATAAGAGTATATACATGTACGCGCCACGACAGAAACTTGCTGTATCACGTAAGCCTTGCTATTATTGTACTCGCCCCGTGAGATCTGTCTTTGTACATGTACATGCGTTGGCCTCGGCCATACTACATTCACCATTGGTTTTATACTTTCTTATCCACACTCCCGTGTTTAATAACCTACAAACTTTTTTTTAACCAGAATGAAACATGATTAACACATTTTCTGCAAACGGTTTTGCTTGAGTTTGTTTTTGTTAGTTTAGAAGTGTTTGTTTCTTCTGCCATAAACCTAAAAAAAGCACGCAAAAAAAACCCCACTTATTTGGAGCTCAGATAGGTCTATGAGCGGATTTCCTCTGGCCAACAAAATTTCTCGCTGTCATAAATTTGCTCCCTTAAGCTGACCCTCAAACGCACACATGACAGCATTATAATCCCGCTTAAAAAAATGTCTACTCTCTTAATAAAAAGTGCCCTTCAAAAACACAAATACCCCTCTCGCAATAACAAAATGTTGCCCCTCTCGAGATGGGAAATTGGCCATCAAAAACAATAGTGCTCCAATCGCCATAACTTCTATCAAGATGGAAAACTGCCCCTCGAAAGCAAAATATTAGTGCCCAAAATCGCAGCATTAAACCTTTGCCCCTGTCAAAGGCCTTAAACAAAATACTAGTGCTCCTCACGCGACTAAAATGGTCACTAATTAAGTAGCCACCAAAAGGATCAGTGCCCCTCTCACGATAAATAAAAATGGTCCCTTTGTATAGGTCTAGGCTTACTAGTCACATGCAAGGGCAGACCCACAATCCTGGCCAAATCCCGCTTGGCCCCCAACCCCCCGGCCCTCTCATTGCGCGGTGTGTGCTCCATTAGATGGAGAGAACAACATTGACCGGGGAGCAGGAGAATGGGTGACCGTGGCAGGCTCAGGAAAGTGTCCCAACCATTTGGCCGGGATGGCAGATAGGTTACTGCCGATGATGCGGCGGACGCCGATGGGTTTCTTCATGAAACGTTACCTTATTTGAGAACAATCTTGCAATATTGAGACTTTTTCAGTAATAGGTCTACACTGTATTATTTTTTTAGTAAGGGAATTAACATTTTAAAAATGTTTAACGCAAACGCGTAGTGGACATCAATGTGGTTAGTAAATTGTATTCAGTGTAACACGTATTCATTTCAATGTGAACAAAATAGTTTGACAATTTTCTCCTCTTTCACACCAGCGGAATGTCCTTTTTTTTTCTCGGAGCAAGTACCCCGTTTTGGTGATGCCCCCAGTTTGAAAAGCGTTCCGCCGTCCGCCGTCCATGGATACGCGGTTTTTTCCCTCAAATTAGTGCCCACTAATAAATCAAGAGGTTTTTATAGGACACATGTGATCACAGTGGGCCAGAATGGGATGAAAGTGCGCCAAAAATAGAAATCATTAAGTCTTGTGCAGGAAGGTTCACCTAACTGGGTTTTCCGACCCGTAGAATCCAATGGTGATAGTTACATCAGAGTATGACGTCAGCAAAATACCGATTTTTGATTGGTCCTGATGTAATGGACTGTATATCGCGGTACAATTGTGACCAATAATTGCTTTTCAGTAAAAAAAAAATAGAACAAAAAGGGGAAATTGCTAACATCGTTGTTTTTTTACGATTAAATATGCTAAATTTTAACTTCATAATGTCATGACGTCATCTGAAACAGATATTCCATTGATGGTTGCGTCATGTTCAGTTGTGAAGGAATGTACAAACTTTTACATATACTTTTTGATATAAACATACACAACAACCCCGTTATCGAAACTTTAATAGAAATGAAAAGGACTTTTACTCACATGCTATGAAGTGTCACTATCTGATGACTCACTACCTTGATCCTGATCAGGGCTGTCACTCTCAGAAGATAGGCACAGTTCAGGATTGGTTGTCATGTCTACAACTTCTTGAGGAAGAGGTCTTGATTTTCTCCTGCGATACACAGACCTGCTGCTGACCACAATATCACCTGTCACCATAAGCCTGTGAAAGACGTTACTCATGGTATGAACTCTAGATGTTTTCCTTGCATGTCTTAGGCGGAACATCTTGTTATCTTTGTTTCTTGCCTCTTGAGCTTCTTCGCTCATCATCCCGATTGGGAGGACTGAGGAGGACATAATGTCTGCTCCGTGGATAAGTACCACATGAACACTAACTGGCATTCTGAACCAGGGATACAGCTGGATGTATATATTTGCTGTGTCCTTACAATATGACCCGAACTTTTTGTGGTCTATGGGTAGACCACAAGACAATGCAATGAGAATGACGTGGAGTTTGTGAATGAGGCTCTCATCCAGTCCACAGATTGAAGAGAAGATCTTCTCTGCTTGAAATGCTCTGCGAGCTGTATTCCCGTCATTAGTGCTCCCACCTCCTGGCTTTGGTTTATCCACTGTCAATCCAAGTTCAACTTTGAAACGTTCCTGTATCTCCTCCTTTCTATTTTTCATCACTGCTTTGTCGTGATCAGACTGCACTTGCATTTTCTTCAGTGAAATTCTGTAAGCAATGTGAAGCAGCATTTCAAAACAACGTATCCATTTATGGAGTGGGCATAAACCGAATCTGTATTTATCTTCGACCGGTTGCGGTAGCTGATCGATGTTATTGAAGTCTTTGGGGGTTGCACCACATATGTAGCATCGCACTGATGACTTGGTGGATGTGATTGCGTTGATTACTTTTTGATCCACCATTGTCAAGTGCAGATCATAGTGTACTTGAACAATTACATTTGTTGTCTGTTCTCCTGTTTCATTTTCAATGTCCAATTTCACAGTGATTGGTTTGAGAGCTTGAATTTCTTCTTCGATACACCTCTGTTCTTCTTGAGACAGTTCTGTAGTTTCCTTCTGGTATTGGAGATGCATGGGTCTGCAAAATCTCGTCGATGCTGGAACTGGATTCACCCAGATAACTAATTTGTTTTTCCACTTGAGTTGCAAGGGAACAAGTGTCGTGCAGAACAAACTAGCGTCTGACGTATCTGTGGACTTGAAACTTTGTTTGTACTCACTCTGGCCTGATGAGCCATCAAAACCCCATTTACAGGTCAAATCGAAGGAGATAGGGTCTTCATCTTCCAGACCTTCAAGCAGTTCATTTACTTCTTCCTTCTGTTGTTCGATAATTCGGAGAGCAGTGAGGTCCAGAAGGTTTTGCAGTGAAACCTTTGCTGATTCCTCAGTAACTGAGATACCTTCAGGGTAACATTTTTGTTTGGCTTCTCTAACCACGTTGTATGGGGGATAGATGTCTGCATGCTTATCTTTAGCAGAAGTCCTCAATGTTTGATAAGAAGATTTGGTCATCCCAGTCTCTATCAAAAGAGCTAATGCCTCATCTGATGTGAAAGGTTCTGGGTCGGTAGATCCCTTTGAGATTAGTTTTCTCAGCTTTGTTGGTTTGGTTGGAGTCATTATTGTAAACTTTAAAACATACCTCAAATCAGGGTTTTTTCCATACGTCCCCTGAGAAGCTGCAAAGAGCAGTTCGCTTTGTCTTCGCTCTTGAAGGAGTGTCTGTGCTTTCCTCTGCTTGGTACGCTTAGACGAAGACAACCAGTCTTTTTTTGGACGACCCTTTGACGTACTAGGCTCGGATGATGTGGCATCCTCAACGAATGTTACCGTTCGTTTTGTTCCTCTTCTTGAGAGCCAGTCATCCACTTTAGTGTCAAAACACAACTCTCCTTTCAGCCAGTGTGTGTTCTTACGCTCAAAACTATTTTTGTTTCGGCTGCTTTCTGCCCATTTCCTCCTCAGTTTGTAAAGGAAATCCCGAGTGCTTTTCATCACTGACTGACGAATCTCCTCTGGAATATCACATTGTGGAACATTGAACACATCCATGAATAATTCTAAGTAACCACGGCAAGAGTTTTCAATGTTTGATGCATCATCAACAGAAGTGGCAACTTCAAATAATCGCTTTCTTGGTAAAGACGCCATAGTGCACTGTGGCACAGCTTACAGATACATATTTAAAGACGACTAACGGCAGTACTACTCATCACAACATATGAGACACCAAGTATATGAGACACCAAGTACATTGTAATTTCAACTGCGCAATCAGACATCTAATAGGGGTATCATATTACACAACACCGACTTTTCCGGCGAGCGCAGCCTTGCTCGGGTGTCGTGTTTCTCAGTGAAGCGCGCCACATGTAATATGGAGTTCAGAAAAGGGGCGAAAACGTACGGTGATCGCTTCAGAAAAACTGCTCTAAAATCGTGTATCGCAGGTTGTCGCAGCTAAATTTGGTACCAAAATGATGCAAACAAGTTGCTCTATTATAAAATAAGTAGACTTTAGGCAGCAATCGACGGCAATCCTTAGTTTCCGTATTGCTGAACACAGGAATCATAAATTTCATGTCAATTTTGACACAATTGTCAGTATTTATTCATAAAAAACTTCAACAAAAATAAAAACCGATTTAATTTCCTTTAAATATGAACCATAAACTAGAGCCAAGTGAAAATTTAGCTCCGTAGCTCAATGCAAATTGTCTGATTTTGCTTTATGAAGATTTCTGCAACTATTCACATTTTATGGCAAATTTCTGTGGATTTGCATACCTTTAAGAGGCCATGACAAGTCAATATACATATTTTTTGCTTAATTTCCCCATAAAATGGTCCGATGGGGTATGAGCAACCTCAAAAGTGTCGAAAAAATTAAAACTAGCAGGGTCACGTTTCACCCTTTTTGGCGCACTTGTGTGACGGGTCGACTGTGTACATTCGCTCGTAGCCCCGTCTTCTAAACAGGACGTTTAGCGCTGATCTCATTGAGCTCTCATCGACCGGATATCACTGCAAAAACTGTGTTTAGCGATTAAACACTTTCTAAACACTTTCTTGCTATCACTTTGTAAACATGTTTCAATCTAAACACGTGTAGCGTAAGGATGGATGGTGTTTCCCTTACAAAAATGTTCTATAGAATTCTTTAGAACGTTTTATACAGTTCTATAGAACTCTACAGGCTCGCCAATTCTCTATAGAATTTCTATAGAGGGAGTCTATAGAAATTGTTTACTCTATAGAATTCTATAGATTTCTAAAACAATTTTTTTCTATAGACCCCAAATTTCTATAGAAAGCTATAATTTCTATAGAGAAGTACTTCTATACAAAGATAATTTCTATAGAGAAGTATAATTTCTATAGAGAAGCATACATTCTATAGAGAAGTATATTTCTATGGAAAAGTACAAGATTATCATTTAATATTAAAAAAAAATAGAAGCTATACATCAATACATTTCCAGCGAGGAAATGAGGTTGTCTGTTAACCATTCATGCTACATGTAATGTATTCACGATCTTGAGTTACTACTCATGATTTGCATAGCTTGAACCATGCTATATAACATAGCGTACTTTTTTATGCAGGAAAGTTTTCTTTTTACAACTACGACTATTCATGGAGGAAGGAACTATTCAAGCACATACAGAAATAATTATTTAGTTTTAAAATGTGAAAGAAGAAACTTAGTTCCATCTGCATTTTTATTGTAATTAATCCTTCAAAAAGAGCATACATCACATTACATATCATACTTCATGTAGCAATAAAATCATCAAGTCAGGATACCCCTCCTTATGCAGCCCGCCCCAGACGCACTGGATAAACTAGGAGTTAGAATAAACAGAAGGCTACATACTTATCCAATTCCCCCCCCCCCCCCCCCTCTGGCCAGCCCCACACCCAGAAGTGACCACCTGCTAAAAGCAAGGTCAGGTTACAACCACTTGTATTGCCTTCCGCTGGTAACCAGTCTCACCCAACATGTTTTATAGTTCCATGCACGGCATGTACATGTACACACGACCTTGCATACCAGTCAGTACCAGAACAGAAACTGCCTGTGTAGCAGATTTGAATTCAGTCAGTTGGACCAAAGTGGACAATGGAGCTATGGTGGGAAGGATCGAGGAATGGGTTTGCTGGAAACAAAAAATACATGATGTATTGTCATGATTGTACTTGTTTGTACAAGAAGTTTGAGATGAAATTGCTCAAACCATGAATGTTGGCAGTAAAGTGCATGCCTATGGAAACTTTCAAGAATTAATTGCTGTTCTTGCAAACACATTTGATGGATATTTAACTGTGTGCCTCCATGGTGTAATGTTGCCTACATCTCCGGATGATCATGATTTGCACGGTGCTGTACTACTCTGCTAGAATTACGGAAGACGTGAAGGGTCTGGGTGAAAACGATGGTGACTGGTGAGTTAGAAGATTTGATTTAAAACCACCTTAAAGGGAATATACATCATTTGCTTTTGCTGTAATTTTCATAAATGGATGGAATTGGGGGGTTGGAAATATATAGCAAATATAGTTACACTGACTTTTTTGAGGTTTTGTGTTTGAAAATGCTATAAAAACCAAGAAAAACGATCATTTTCCTGTAGTCTGGTTCCCTGACTCCATTTAAGAAGAAACAGAGCCTTTAACATACATTGGGGAATTGTAAGGTCAGGGAACCAGTCTAGCTGGCTCGTACCCATTCATAGGTTTGTAATCGATTGCAAACAAGTGTGATGGTCAATTGGGGCCAGTATTTGAAAAAAAGCCAGTTGTTTCCAACGCTGATCGGCCGATCAGCGTTGGAAATTGATACAAAAATACCACTTTTCTTGAAAATGACAGTATACCAGGTGCCATGATTTTACAGGATGCTTTACACTGTCATTCACTAACAGTCCAGCAAGGTATTTCAAAATGATTTGGTAGTTTTATTTTTTGATGTTTGCAAATGTTGTATTTTCCCTTTAAATTGTTGCAGAATAGAATAGTGACATTATATCAATATTTTATAACAAACTGTCAATGTTGTTGTCTCAGTCATGACGGTATACAGTTCGTGATTACCAGATTCCTTCCTCAGCAAAATTGCAAGAGAACATCAATTTGTAAGAACTACAAAAGTACATGTAACTTGTCATGCTTGTTTAATATGGGTCAATTCTGCCCGTCCCATGTTCTGGGTCGCTATAACTCCTTTTTGACATTTGGGATGTTGGTCTGTCGTACTTGGCTACGACAGACCAACATCCCAAATGTCAAAAAGGAGTTCTAGCGACCCCGTTAGTGGGACTACTTCTGCCCAAACTCCCTCCCTAAACCATGGAGAAAGTATTCCTCCATGACTTAACTAGGGTCGAATCAACAAATAAGAATCAGCTGACTTGACATGTTTGAGGAATAAGATTCTGAATAAGAACAGCATTGAGGAATAAGATTCTTAGGTCATCATAGCCATGTTTGTTAGTGGACATTAATTTCATTAACATCACACTTTTTTTGTAAAAATTATCATTTACAAAATGAACAATTCATTTTCCCCACTGCAGACTTCCTCAAATGATACATCTAGAATTCTACATCTACCTGTCTCCATGATCCTTTGCGCTATGCATGGATATGATCTACCAAAAACTACCGAGATGAGCTGCAGTACGTGCATGTACAAGACAAAGACTGTCTGACTGCTTCTGCCCCGGCTCTGCAAATTGGAGGCAGCGCCATGCATCCTTAACAATCAGTTGGAATCATCATCCTAATCTACAAGATGTCAGTTCCGGAAACTACAATGGACATTACTTTTAAAAAGATTATCATAAAGTTTGTTCCATACATATGTAACGTAGAAAAATGACTCACTAAGAAAAAAACCTGGTTCCAATGATTATGTCGCGATTTAGCTTTTTAAACTGGGACAAAAAAAAGAAAGAAAAAGGAATCAAGGAAACGAAAATAGACTTCTCACAAAATTTAATTTAGTCTCAAAAAAAAAACTTCCAACAAACAAAAAAAGAACAATTTCTATCCTTAAGCGCAAAAACTAGTTTCCAGAAATACTTCAAGGCAAAAAATCTCAATCAGGATCAACAACGTATAAAACACTCAAAAGAATTTGCCAGGGATAAAAAAAATTAACAATTTGATAAAAAAAACTAAGTTAAAATAATAAAACCCAAAGAAGAAAAAAAAAGGAGAAAACAAAAGGAAAACCCACACAGCACTAAAGGAAATGACTCTAAAAGCACAGGAATGAACTAAAAACCTGCAACAAGAAAATAAGAAACAAATGGCAATTTAAAAACAGTTCTTATAAAACAAAACTCCTATGAAACTACAGTCCATGTACTAAAGTATGCTCTAAGCAACAAAAGGGTCCAAATGCAAGTTTGCCACTGTGTGCACAAAGGGATTAACACATATAAACTTCAAGATCCTGCACAGTCCAATGGGCCTCATAATGATATGCAAATCCTCTGGACTGTCTCAATAAACTATTACTTCTAGGAAGGAGGGAACTAAGGATTAAGGCATGGTCTAGGCTAAATGAATACAGGTCTATGTCTATGTGTTTATAGCTCCATGGTACAAGTACATGTATGTACATGTAGTCAAAAAGAGCAACTAAAAAAATCTAGAAAAATATGAAAATCCACTCAAAATGCAAGAAAAAGGAACTTAAACTCTGTGGATAACATACACATGAAACTTAAATGCAGGTAATCCTAGACTCAAGCAATTAAAACTTGGACAAACTTATATTACAAAACTTATTAGAATAACACAACTTCAATATTTTCAAAGAATGGACACCTTAAAATGTTTAGAAATGAGCCAAAAGAATAAACAAGTTGGAATAAAAACTTAAAACAGTAATCAAAAGTTTCAAGGTTTCTAAACAAAAAGGCTAGTTAAAACGACTTCTAAGAAAAGAGCGGAGACACAAACGATTTCATGTATAGGAAAAAAACTCAATCTGAAAAGGAGCTAAAATGATACTGAACTGGATAATATGAGTATCATAAAGGCAAATATAAAACTGGAACTATACAATAATAGAAAAGTAATGAAAACTCACCAATGACTGGACTAGCAGACAAAAGAAACAGCTAGGAAGACACTCTCCAGGTAGGAGGAAATATATGACTATGTTAAGTTGTCTCACTGCTGGTCTGCTGGGTAATAATGACTCTGGCATGACAATGCGGCAGCTTTTATATGGGGGGACTTGTGGGCTAAAATAAACAAACAGGGGGTCACACTACCAGGAAAAGGGGGGGGGGGAACATCCAAACTAAAACAAAAATGATTTTCTTTTTCTAAGGGGAGCTACTCCTAGTTAATACACTATCAAAATACACAAGTAAAACTTGGCACTGCCACACTCACGCCATCTTTAAAATGTTGGCTCCTGACAACACACAAAAAATTACATACAAAAATACTTCTATATACAAAATTAATTAATCTCAGAATCGGACTGGTGATCGGATTATACGCCTAGGTCTAGTGAAAATCTCCACAGATTCGTCGGAGCTAGAGAGACAGTCATCTTCAACCGAACCTGGGGTAGCTGGTGGTGATCGTGTGAAGACTGGAAACTAGCTGATGTGGGGGAGAGGCTGGAGAAGGCTTGTCTTGGGATTCGTGTGAAGGGAGAACTGGGGAGGGTTCGTCCTGGAATCCACTGGGAGGCGAGACTGCGGTTGACACCTCATGCTGTCTCACTCGCTTCAAATGCTGCCGCATGTATCCCATTGTCTCATTATGTAGACTTGGCCAAAAGTACCGCTGACGCACAACCTTTAGCACTTGTCCATAGCTGCATGTTTCCATGTTGTGATGGAGATGCCGGAAGATGTCTTCCCTCATACCACGAGGAAGTACAGTTAAGTACCTGGCTTGAGTACCGCGCCCTGTCCTGAAGAAAAGAACACCACCTTTCACCTCCAAACAATCCCATTGTTGAAGAAGTCTCTGTACCACTTTTGGCTGATGGGCCATCTTTCTACGGCTGATCCTCCTCGGACTGGCCCGCTTCATATCCACCACCTTCTGTATGGCTGGATCTTGCTGCTGGGCTGCCTGTAGACTTGGTCCACATCTGGTGCCTCCATCACCATGGCTAGACTGGCCAACGGTCGGGGCAATGGTAGGGACTTCTCTAGGGCTTCTTGGGGTGACTTCAGGGGCGTGCAGAATCTGAGGCTCTGGCTCTTTCGTGGGGACTTGGGGTATGGGGACCTCTGCAGCTGACGGTGGGTTGGGGATTTCTGGAACCGGTGAGGCTTCTGGAACTACTTTGGAGTGGTGCAGGGCATACTCCAGCCTGCGAACGTAGTCTCTCTGCCGTTGCTGTTCACCAATCACTTGAGAGATCGTTGCCTTCAGTGCGTTGATTTCCTGGAACTGTTGTAGGATGACTTGCTGCATACTGGCTTGAAGTTGCAGCAGTCCCAAAATAGTTGACTGTGGGTTGACATCAGTCGGTTCATTTTCTCTGACTTGATTGTGACTGTCAGGCAGTGGGTCAAACCCACACAACTGAAGCGGAGTCAGGGCCTCCGTCATGGTGTTTTAGTCACCCTGCACTTCTCAAGTTCATTAACCAAAAAGCACTGTGTGGGTTTCGATTAAAAAAATGTCAAAGAAGAAAAAAAATGTCCCAGCTAAAAAAACATAAATGGCTAAATTCCTAAAGAAAATTAATCATCCCGGGTTTCGGCACCAAAAATGTAACGTAGAAAAATGACTCACTAAGAAAAAAACCTGGTTCCAATGATTATGTCGCGATTTAGCTTTTTAAACTGGGACAAAAAAAAGAAAGAAAAAGGAATCAAGGAAACGAAAATAGACTTCTCACAAAATTTAATTTAGTCTCAAAAAAAAAACTTCCAACAAACAAAAAAAGAACAATTTCTATCCTTAAGCGCAAAAACTAGTTTCCAGAAATACTTCAAGGCAAAAAATCTCAATCAGGATCAACAACGTATAAAACACTCAAAAGAATTTGCCAGGGATAAAAAAATTAACAATTTGATAAAAAAAACTAAGTTAAAATAATAAAACCCAAAGAAGAAAAAAAAAGGAGAAAACAAAAGGAAAACCCACACAGCACTAAAGGAAATGACTCTAAAAGCACAGGAATGAACTAAAAACCTGCAACAAGAAAATAAGAAACAAATGGCAATTTAAAAACAGTTCTTATAAAACAAAACTCCTATGAAACTACAGTCCATGTACTAAAGTATGCTCTAAGCAACAAAAGGGTCCAAATACAAGTTTGCCACTGTGTGCACAAGGGATTAACACACTAAGGACTGCAAGATACTGCACAGTTCAATGGGCCTCATAATGATATGCAAATCCTCTGGACTGTCTCAATAAACTATTACTTCTAGGAAGGAGGGAACTAAGGATTAAGGCATGGTCTAGGCTAAATGAATACAGGTCTATGTCTATGTGTTTATAGCTCCATGGTACAAGTACATGTATGTACATGTAGTCAAAAAGAGCAACTAAAAAAATCTAGAAAAATATGAAAATCCACTCAAAATGCAAGAAAAAGGAACTTAAACTCTGTGGATAACATACACATGAAACTTAAATGCAGGTAATCCTAGACTCAAGCAATTAAAACTTGGACAAACTTATATTACAAAACTTATTAGAATAACACAACTTCAATATTTTCAAAGAATGGACACCTTAAAATGTTTAGAAATGAGCCAAAAGAATAAACAAGTTGGAATAAAAACTTAAAACAGTAATCAAAAGTTTCAAAGTTTCTAAACAAAAAGGCTAGTTAAAACGACTTCTAAGAAAAGAGCGGAGACACAAACGATTTCATGTATAGGAAAAAAACTCAATCTGAAAAGGAGCTAAAATGATACTGAACTGGATATATGAGTATCATAAAGGCAAATATAAAACTGGAACTATACAATAATAGAAAAGTAATGAAAACTCACCAATGACTGGACTAGCAGACAAAAGAAACAGCTAGGAAGACACTCTCCAGGTAGGAGGAAATATATGACTATGTTAAGTTGTCTCACTGCTGGTCTGCTGGGTAATAATGACTCTGGCATGACAATGCGGCAGCTTTTATATGGGGGGACTTGTGGGCTAAAATAAACAAACAGGGGGTCACACTACCAGGAAAAGGGGGGGGGGGAACATCCAAACTAAAACAAAAATGATTTTCTTTTTCTAAGGGGAGCTACTCCTAGTTAATACACTATCAAAATACACAAGTAAAACTTGGCACTGCCACACATACACCAATGAACATGCAAATGATATACAGGTATGTCACAGCTTGATAGAATGACTCTTGGAAATTACGATCAGTACTTTCCTTCAAACTTCCAATTCTAGTTGTCAAACGTGTCTGAATACCATTGCCTTTCAACAAAGGTCTATGCATGGTTTTACAAACTGAATATAGGCATGGATTGTTGCAACCATCACAAGTCTTTCATGCATGTGTCTTTCATGCCAAATTTATAGTATCCTCTCAGGAAAACAATTCATATATAAATGTGTTTATTTTATTTTTTTTTAGCCCAACTTCTGCTATTTTTTCACCACATTAACCGTGTACACTGTACAGACTGTGTTCATTATTGGTGCCTTTGATTTTAATACACTGCACTGGAAAGATATCTGCTCATCCCCTACATGCACAAATTTGTAAATTCGGAAGAATTTTTTTTTAAAAGAACAGAATATGTCTGTCCAACTGTAATTGTGTCATGGTTGTTTTCCTGATTTTATTTAGTATAAAGAGTAACGCCATGGTTATGTCACATTTTGAAGTTAACCGAAATCTATATTAATTTTCAACCAAATTTTTCTCAATGAAAATGTGTAAAAATGTCTGCAAGAGTTGAATTAAATGTTCTATAGAAAAACCTACATGTATCATATTTCTAAAGAATTCTATTAAGCGAAGCTTATAGAAAAGGGCCAAACTTCTATAGAACTTTATTGAGTTCTATAGTCTATACAATGTTGCAAAACAAGCTACACATTTTCTATAGAGTTCTATAAAACGTTTTTAGAGAATTTCGAAACCTCTATACAATTCTATAGAGTTCTATAAAATAGTTCATAGAAAAAGTTCCAAATTTTCTATAGAGTTCTATATAATATTTTTTATAGAAATTACAGAAATTCTGAATAAAATTCTATAGAGTTCTATAAAATAGTTTATAGAAAAAGTTCAAAATCTTCTATAGAGTTCTATAGAATATTTTTATAGAAATTGGAGAAAACCTCTATGAAATTCTATAGAGTTCTATAAAATATTTCATAGAAAAAGTCCAAATTTTCTAAAGAGTTCTATAGAAAATTTTAAATAAAACTAGCCTTCTTTCTATAGAATTTTGTTCATTTTTCTATAGAAATGGTATAATTTCTATAAAATTCTATAAACCGCTGTATAGAATTATGGCCCATTTTTCTATAAAATTTCTATAAAATCTCTATAAAACCTTATAGAAGACTTCTAAAGAAACTCTATAAAATTTCTATAGACAAAATTCTATAGAATGCTTTATAGAATTTCTATAGAATTCTTTCTTATAGAATTCTATAGAACTTTTTTGTAAGGGTTAGCAATTGAACATTGATGTTTAGGAATTGAACACGTAATGTTTAGCTTCTAAACATGTTTACAAAGTGAAAGCAAGATTTTGTTTAATTGCTAAACACAGTTTTTAGAGTTTAGATTTTGCGTGACCTGTGAGTAGCATGCGGCACACAAAGGGGTGCCCCTCGGAAAAGCACCGCAAAAAGGAGTTAAGAAAAAAAAATAGAGGCGCAAAACCATATTGCTGTTAATTTAAGGGGTTGAGGGGGGGGGGCAAATGTCTCTGTCCACCCTCAAAAAAATACTAATCGAGAATATGCTGGAAACTAAAGAGCAGGGATTTTGAATGGAAAATGTGCTTTGCCCCCCGGCCCCTGAAAATAAAAGTCCTGTCGACGCCCATGCATGTACACTCGGCTGCGATAACAGTGACTCCATCCGTACCGTGTACCAACGTGCCTTGTCATTGTTGAAAGAGGGGTCTACGTGCCTGTTTCCCTGTTGCACCTATTAACAGAGTAAAGCAATTGTTGGAGCCCACGGATTGCGTGTGTGGTTGAATCATAAGCCCGCAGTAATTGTTGCACTTGCTGCACCGTGAGTATAGTTGTGTTAATGTTCGGTTGTTTACAACTTGTTTCTCGCTATATATTTGGTGGAAATGCATGAAAACAATTCACAATGTACATGCACTGCGTGAAACTGGTGTCTCATGTTTCCTTGCTAACGTCACCTCCTATCGTAACCTAATTTTCACCAGTGAACCTTACAAAATATCTATTGCATATATTTTAAAACAGAATTAAGAATGGTAAAAGATGCGCCCTTGACAAGTCGCAAAGACTATTTTGACCGCGCTGCCTCGGCCTCGAGTTGAAAGAGCGTGTGTGCACGATAACACAATGAAGGTTCAGAATAGGAATAGGTCAAATATGGCATACAATAGTTCAGTTGTGAGTATAACGAGATTGAAAAGAGATGGAAAGAGTGTTCTTTGGTATATACATGTACGTGCCACGACAGAAACTTGCTGTATCACGTAAGCCTTGCTATTATTGTACTAGCCCCGTGAGATCTGTCTGTGTACATGTACATGCGTTGGCCTCGGCCATACTACATTCACCATTGGTTTTATACTTTCTTATCCACACTCCCGTGTTTAATAACCTACAAACTTTTTTTTAACCAGAATGAAACATGATTAACACATTTTCTGCAAACGGTTTTGCTTGAGTTTGTTTTTGTTAGTTTAGAAGTGTTTGTTTCTTCTGCCATAAACCTAAAAAAAGCACGCAAAAAAACCCCCACTTATTTGGAGCTCAGATAGGTCTATGAGCGGATTTCCTCTGGCCAACAAAATTTCTCGCTGTCATAAATTTGCTCCCTTAAGCTGACCCTCAAACGCACACATGACAGCATTATAATCCCGCTTAAAAAAATGTCTACTCTCTTAAAAAAAAGTGCCCTTCAAAAACACAAATACCCCTCTCGCAATAACAAAATGTTGCCCCTCTTGAGATGGGAAATTGGCCATCAAAAACAATAGTGCTCTAATCGCCATAACTTCTATCAAGATGGAAAACTGCCCCTCGAAAGCAAAATATTAGTGCACAAAATCGCAGCATTAAACCTGTGCCCCTGTCAAAGGCCTTAAACAAAATACTAGTGCTCCTCACGCAACTAAAATGGTCACTAATTAAGTAGCCACCAAAAGGAACAGTGCCCCTCTCACGATAAATAAAAATGGTCCCTTTGTATAGGTCTAGGCTTACTAGTCACATGCAAGGGCAGACCCACAATCCTGGCCAAATCACGCTTGGCCCCCAACCCCCCGGCCCTCTCATTGCGCGGTGTGTGCTCCATTAGATGGAGAGAACAACATTGACCGGGGAGCAGGAGAATGGGTGACCGTGGCAGGCTCAGGAAAGTGTCCCAACCATTTGGCCGGGATGGCAGATAGGTTACTGCCGATGATGCGGCGGACGCCGATGGGTTTCTTCATGAAACGTTACCTTACTTGAGAACAATCTTGCTATATTGAGACTTTTTCAGTAATAGGTCTACACTGTATTATTTTTTTAGTAAGGGAATTAACATTTTAAAAATGTTTAACGCAAACGTGTAGTGGACACCAATGTGGTTAGTAAATTGTATTCAGTGTAACACGTATTCATTTCAATGTGAACAAAATAGTTTTACAATTTTCTCCTCTTTCACACCAGCGGAATGTGCTTTTTTTTCTCGGAGTAAGTACCCCGTTTTGGTGATGCCCCCAGTTTGAAAAGCGTTCCGCCGTCCGCCGTCCATGGATACGCGGTTTTTTCCCTCAAATTAGTGCCCACTAATAAATCAAGAGGTTTTTATAGGACACATGTGATCACAGTGGGCCAGAATGGGATGAAAGTGCGCCAAAAATAGAAATCATTAAGTCTTGTGCAGGAAGGTTCACCTAACTAGGTTTTCCGACCCGTAGAATCCAATGGTGATAGTTACATCAGAGTATGACGTCAGCAAAATACCGATTTTTGATTGGTCCTGATGTAATGGACTGTATATCGCGGTACAATTGTGAACAATAATTGCTTTTCAGTAAAAAAAAAAAAAGAACAAAAAGGGGAAATTGCTAACATCGTTGTTTTTTTACGATTAAATATGCTAAATTTTAACTTCATAATGTCATGACGTCATCTGAAACAGATATTCCATTGATGGTTGCGTCATGTTCAGTTGTGAAGGAATGTACAAACTTTTACATATACTTTTTGATATAAACATACACAACAACCCCGTTATCGAAACTTTAATAGAAATGAAAAGGACTTTTACTCACATGCTATGAAGTGTCACTATCTGATGACTCACTACCTTGATCCTGATCAGGGCTGTCACTCTCAGAAGATAGGCACAGTTCAGGATTGGTTGTCATGTCTACAACTTCTTGAGGAAGAGGTCTTGATTTTCTCCTGCGATACACAGACCTGCTGCTGACCACAATATCACCTGTCACCATAAGCCTGTGAAAGACGTCACTCATGGTATGAACTCTAGATGTTTTCCTTGCATGTCTTAGGCGGAACATCTTGTTATCTTTGTTTCTTGCCTCTTGAGCTTCTTCGCTCATCATCCCGATTGGGAGGACTGAGGAGGACATAATGTCTGCTCTGTGGATAAGTACCACATGAACACTAACTGGCATTCTGAACCAGGGATACAGCTGGATGTATATATTTGCTGTGTCCTTACAATATGACCCGAACTTTTTGTGGTCTATGGGTAGACCACATGACAATGCAATGAGAATGACGTGGAGTTTGTAAATAAGGCTCTCATCCAGTCCACAGATTGAAGAGAAGATCTTCTCTGCTTGAAATGCTCTGCGAGCTGTATTCCCGTCATTAGTGCTCCCACCTCCTGGCTTTGGTTTATCCACTGTCAATCCAAGTTCAACTTTGAAACGTTCCTGTATCTCCTCCTTTCTGTTTTTCACCACTGCTTTGTCGTGATCAGACTGCACTTGCATTTTCTTCAGTGAAATTCTGTAAGCAATGTGAAACAGCATTTCAAAACAACGTATCCATTTATGGAGT